GGGGTGGTATGAAAGGAATTGGGAGAGGGGAATGAATATAATTGAAACACGTTGTATGGAATTCTCAAAGAATTAATCAAATGTTTTCTAAGGCACATTTGTTTGTTTGTGATACGGACTTGCTATGTATCCCATTCTGGGACTGAACTCACGATCCTTGCCTCTACTTCCTCAGTGCTGGGATTACAAGCAGGTCCTTTAAACTATGGTTTTTTTTTTTTTTTTTGGTTTTTTCGAGACAGGGTTTCTCTGTGTAGCTTTGAGCCTTTTCCTGGAACTCACTTGGTAGCCCAGGCTGGCCTCGAACTCACAGAGATCCGCCTGGCTCTGCCTCCCGAGTGCTGGGATTAAAGGCGTGCGCCACCACCGCCCGGCTAAACTATGCTTTTATAGATGATGCAGCTATAACTTAACCAGGGGTTTCTGGAATCAGAAACAGGAACTAGAACCAAGCAAGGCCCCTTGGGTAAGCCTCATGTCACTGATGTATAAAATCAAGTCAAACTCAATACAAAGAAAACAAGCAAATTGACTGAAGAATAAACACTCAAGGAGATAAGCAGATAGAAAACAAGCTTATGAAAAGATGTCATTAGAACATCTTTAATGCGAAAACTAAGTACTACCACATACCTATAGAATGACTCAAATCCCAACGATGACACACGCTTGGGAAGATGCGGAGCAACAACCCATTGCTGGTGGGAATGCATACAGAATGCATTTCACCAGAGGAACCTATAGGGGGCATCATGAAGTGCTAGAGACAGTGTGGGCTGTTTTCATTCACAGCACTCCAGGCTCTGCCTTTGCCCAAGAGTCAAGACTTTGCCGTTACCTATTTCCGGTCTTGTAAGCAGTCAATAATGGGTTCCTGCACTAAACTCAAACTGAAAGCAAATCCTTCCCAGACTACTCTATGTTTAAATATGGACATATCTTGATTTGGGGCTCTTTTGCCCACTACCGATCCACTAGTTCTATGGAATCCTGCAATTGACAAAGTTTCCTTCACTGTCACTTCGGGCTCCAAAGTGTTGTTACGAATGTGGATTAGTTTACGTTCAACTAATTGTCAAAGACATCTTAGATATAGGGTAGAGCTGACAATCTAATGAATTGGTTTAATTTAAGCTGTGACCTACTTCAGCAGGGTTTTTTTTTTTATCATTTGAACTAAAGAAAGGCGTGTTCTTCCCTTAGGCAACTCTGGTACACACTACCTTTATTTTTCCTGCTAAGACATAAAACTGATTACTTATTGCCTCTTTGTGGGAGAACATGGTATCTATCCACTGAAACCCATCACTCCCCATCTTCCTCTCTAATCATACCTGCCACCTTATTTTTTTTTTTCTCTCCAATTTATCTCTTCTCTGGTCTCATTCTATTTATTTCCCGTAGTCTTCCATTTCTCCCTTTTATTCCGCCCGGTCAGCCTCCACCCCTGGGTGTTGCATCCCCCAGCCAGCTCTCAGCCCAGGGTCTCCTTTGTCTTCGGTCTCCACCCCTTGGTGTATTGTAATAACTAAGGACTGCAAGAGGAAGTCCATTCTTCCAACAGTTGCCATTTCCAGGGCATCTGGGGCCTACATGCCTCTTCGGCAATCCTTTTCTTTTTACCTTGGTTATTGTCTTCTCCCATCCCTCCCACTGTAAATGCCAATTTTTTTATTGCTATTTTCAAGTTAAGGCTTCGTCTGCTTTCTCATAAGACCATCTTGCATTCTGCTGAACAAGAAAATGGAGGCCGTCAACTGTCAGCTAGAGACAAACATCTTCAAATACTTATCTGGAGCACTTCCCTTGTAGCCTCAGAGAGGAAGACATGCTTCCTCATCACAGGCAAGCCCAGTTCCTCTTTCTGTAAGCCGAGAACCACCCTTCTTGCCTCATCTTCTCCAAAATTGTCTCCCACTGATGACTCCCCCTGTCTCCTCTGCATCATCAACTGTTCCATGAAAGTGTTTTTTTCCCTTCCTCCTGTCTTCTAGACCTGTGGCTCTGCCATGATAATGCACATTTGTAATTTGAGCACTCAGGAAACAGGAGGATGAGGAGTTTGAGACCAGCCTTGGCCACATAGTGATATTCTGCCAAATAAACCAAGAGCTGAGGGTTGTAGATCAGTGACACCACATCTGTATTGTAGCATGTAGAAATAAGTCCCTGGATTCTGTCCTCTGTCCTCATCACCACAAAAACAAACCTTTATTTTCCATCTCTTTTGGAAGGAAGGAAGGAAGGAAAAAAGGAAGGAAGGAAGGAAGGAAGGAAGGAAGGAAGGAAGGAAAAAAGGAAGGAAGGAAGGAAGGAAGGAAGGAAGGAAGGAAGGAAGGAAGGAAAAAAGGAAGGAAGGAAACCTTCAAACTTGCCATGGACCATCCTCTCCTTTTATGGCCTATCTCCATCAGATTTCTTAAACAACTTCCTCAGAATATACCCTCTCAGAATACTCCCACACTTCCACTGTATTTCTCAAATTCTCCCATTTCCCAGTTCTTTCTTTTCTGCTTACTCCCTCTGGACTCTGGCTCCTCTGCTGCTGGAGTTCCATTGGCCGGGATCACCAGTGGTTTCCCAATTGCTCCACTCTCCTCTGGCTAACAGTTCTCTCTGTTCTTTCGTAAACACCAACTTGATGCTACACTCTATTAAAAGGCTCCTTGGCCAGGCATCAAGCTGACCCAGGACTGATTATCAATCTACATCAGGTCCAGTGGGGAGATGACAAGGAAATGAGACAGTTGGTGACTGGCAATCGCCCTCTTTGTGAGAAGTCCAGGTAAAACTGAGAAAATCGTCGGACTGGGAAGATAAGAAAGGATTTGTAGGTGACTTCTGGGCTTCTAGCTTGGAGACAAAAATTATGCCTTCTCCATATTAACTAATATAAATATGACAACTGCTTGGGGAAGTGGGATAGTTTCTCAAATCTTGTTTGTGATTAGCTTAGTTCAGGGGAAAGAAAGAAATGTACGAACATTACTCAGTTTGTGGAGGTCTAGATATAGCGAGACTGTTTTCATTGAACACTCAGGGACTTAGAGTTGAGTGCACCAATCATCAGTTTTATGTTGAGATCAGGCTGTTCCCCTCTAAGTCACTCTACATTGTGTAAAGCAGTGTTTTCTCAGATGCGTACTGCCCTCAAAGGCTTTATTTCACAAGCAGCCGCTGACCCCGTTTTGAGGGTGGAGGAAGACTGCGCTGGTGGGCACGTGACCAGCACCATCTGTCTGGATTCAACTTCTTAGGCCTCTTTGAAACATCTTGCCTCTTGAATCCTTTGTAGTCATTCTGCAACACACACACACACACACACACACACACACACACACACACACACACACACAGAGGTAGATACACTGTGTGATGAGTGATAGGTGATCTAAGAGTTAGTGTTAAAAAACAGAGCTCAGAGGCTGGAGAGACTGCTCAGAGGTTATGTGCTACTCTTCCAGAGGACTGGAGGTTGGTTCCCAGTACCTGTTAGGAAGCTCACAGTGTCTGTAGTGCCCAAACCAGGGAATTTAAGACCCCATCCTCGCCTCAGCAGACACCTGCATTCATGTGCACATACCAACACACATACACATACTAAAAATAGAATAAATCTTAAAACAATTGAGATTGCACTAGATAAACGCATGTTTGCCTCAACCAGAATTACAAAGGAAGCAGACATGTTACCACCGAAACTACGGGGCCTTGTGATCTGATAGTCCATGAAGTCTGATACTGTGCACTGCCACAAACATGTCTGTCTATGTTTCTGACACAGTGCTTTCATGAAGGCCTAGTTTAGAAAGTCTTTCTTTTGGGAACTAATTCAAATTTCTCTTCCTAAGCAAGATACAGCTACTGCATTAACTAGTAGTAATGAGGTCTCTGCTTCTGCAAGAGGGGTTTAGCATTAGAAGAAGCCTAAGATTAAAAAAAAAAAATAGGAATCGACAACATTCTCCACAAGAATCAGCAAAGGGTCAGACATAGAGCTGAGTAAGAACACAGCCAAAAAATTTTTTTTTTCTTTAGCTGGGTGTGGTGGCACATGTCTTTAATCCCAGCACTTGGGAGGCAGAGGCAGGCAGATCTGAGTTAGAGGCCAGCTTGGTCTACACACAGTTCCAGGACAGGCAGGGTGCCACAGAAAAACCCTGTCTCAAAAACAAAACAAAATACAGAGCCCTTTGCTAGGGAGAGTTTGCAGGTGTCTGAGGAAGGGGAAGGGAGGAATTGGGGGGAATACTGGTGTCGCTTCTGAACTTGTTCCCTGTGCTTATTTATTGGGTCCACTGACTTGCCTTTTTAGGTGTCTGTCTTGAAGAGACAAATTTGACCAGACCTTATGCAGTAACTGGGTTAGCCAGGAAAGACTGGAATGGGTTGTCTTAAGTTTTTCAGATACCTGGGACTGAGAAATGGGGAAAGGGATCACTAGGGGGCAGTTCTGGACTTGTTGAGAAGAGCTTTCAAGTAGATCATCTAATGGATCATTGGAACTATGCATTTGAACCCAGAGGGAACAAGTATGAAGGATCCTCTAAGAGGAGCACAAAGAATGAGAAATCAGTATAACACAGATGGGATCCCTACTGAGAGATGCTAACAGACACATTAAGGGCTTGAGAGAAGGCTTTGTAAGAGAGGTTTAGTGTGCAAGCCTCACGACCAGAGTTTGAATCCCCAGAAGTCATGTAAAGAGATGTACATGGCTTTGCATGTCTGAGACTCCAACAAATTCAGGCAGAGACCAGTGGATCGTTGGAGCTTTCTGGCTAAGTTGCCTAGACAAAATGGCAAGTTTCCAATTTACAAGATAAGCAGACAGACAGCAAGAGAAAAACCCTTGATGTCCTTCGGTGCAAATGCACATGGAAGCATGCACCCATACACTCATGTGCTACACACACACACACACACACACACACACACACACACACACACACCACATACACCACACACAAAAGAGAAACACTGAGCCAAGGAGACTAAAATCGTTTAGAGATATATATAGAGATTTATTCTTTAAATAGTGCTTGCAAAATCTTTAATACCTCAATTTGCAATAGCTGGACACTTTCTCATCATACTAGACATGGTATACAGTCAAACCTAGTTCAGAGATGCTTTTGCATGCACGGATCAACTCCAACACTTTTAAAAGGCAAGACAACTTTACCACGGCATCAGCTTTATACACAGCTGTAGTCACATTGTATTGGTTTAGTTCTCTGAAGACACTCTTAATGATTATTTAAAAGACGCCTCAATAAAAATATTTAGAACATTTGTAGACCATATTAAAACAGTCTTAGAAAATTATTTACAACTTTATGATAGTATAAACACCTCAAACAAAATAAATCTGGATCTCGTACAAAAATATTCTAAAGTATAAATATGAGTTAAACACTGAATAAAACAGTCACCCTATTTAGTGGACGTGACTTGTAGAATATATTCCGGGTCTTAAAATGGAAATTACACCCACAAAATAATATTTTCCTAGTCACTTAGGTTTTAAATATTTCCACATTAATCACAAAGTTTCAAGTTTCATGGTCTTAGAAGCTGTCATTTTTACAAATACAAAGTTAGCAAATACCATTCAAAGACCACTTTTATGTTTTGCTGGGGTAAAAAGGCAACAAAATAACACATTCATCAAAAATTGATGTGCTGTGTGAAAATTATAAACTGTAAGTTCAAGTCTCATCTGTAGTTGGGTCCTTGTAAAAAAGAAAATCATCAAACACAAGCCATGCTGATACAGCATGCCTAGTCAATTTACCAGTAACATTCCCACACTTTAGGAAACATTAAACTGTTTTCACAAAACAAAATAAAAAAAACCCCACTGAATATGAGTAATTATAAACAGAAAACATAACAATTAATTAATATTGGTATAAATATCTTCAAAATAATATAAGAAACATCTTCCAAGAGGCTCCATTTTCTGTGTATAAAGTATGCCTTATTAAGTATTTTTTTCCCAGTGCCATAAAAGGCTATTTTGGAAACATCATTGATCTTATTTCTAGTTGAGTTTTTGCCTGAGGTACTAACTTTGCCTTTGGCCAGATGCTCATATAAATTAAAAGGTACACGTGGAGCCTAGTAGTATTGACAGCTTTAATTTTCTAGGAAGCTGTTAAAGCGCTATTAAGATATGCACATATCTACTTAGCAACCGCATTTTTTTTTTTTCCCGAGACAGGGTTTCTCTGTGTAGTTTTGGAGCCTGCCCTGGATCTCGCTCTGTAGACCAGGTTGGCCTCGAACTCACAGAGATCCACCTGCCTCTGCCTCCAGAGTGCTGGGTTTAAAGGCATGCGCCACCACTGCCCGGCTTGCGACTGCACTCTAACAGACACAATTCACATTGGTTGAGTTTATCCCCCTATAAACAATTTGAACCTCCATTTTGGCTTTAAGACCTGTCTGCTCTGGTAACTGGAGTCATTAGCGTGGCGGTTAGCGGGTTAAGGAATTATGCGCCTCAGCTGAGCAACTCACCAACTAAAAGCGTCCCTAAGACTTCTACTTTGAAACAGAGTAAACACTGATCGTGGGGCAATGTTCAGCGGCTCATCTTTCTTCTGGAACATTGGTGCCAACGAACAACTCTTGGAAGAAGTTAGTCGTGGAAAGGAGGGAGCATCACCTCATCTTCATTGGCTCCATGTTCGTACCGAACAGAGGACAAGCCAGTCCAGCGGAAATGGTTTTTTTGCACGAGGAACCAAATCAGTCCACTGATGAGCGCTAAGACACAGAGCACAGCGAACAGGATGGCTATGCCCCTGTAATCCGAACCTGGAATCCGGACAGTACATTGTAAGACAAATGCAACGGTTATCATTGTTTCTGAGTTTATTCAGCAAACTGTAAGAGACAGTTTCAAGATTGTTCCACAGCCATGACAGATTCCGAACCCACCATTAAACACCAAACTCCTTTTAAAAAAAAAGTGGTTTTCTTTACATCAAAATGCTTTTCATTTTTCTCCCAAAGAAATTAAAGGATTGCCATTACTTCCTTCTACTCACCACCTTCCTTAGGAGAACAGCTTAACATGTATTATTGGACTTTCCATCCTCCCCTCCTAATGGGTTTGGACCTCGGGGCTTTACACATGCTAAGGCAAGCACCCCACCAAGCTACATCCTTACTGCTCGTTCACGAATTCAAATGCCGTCCCTATGCTGCTCACCCACTTCTCTTACGTATTCAGCTGCAGACTGGATATCCCCGTATCGATTTCCATGTCCCAAACTCAAAATGGCCACGACCAGAAATGTAACTTTTTTTTTTTTTTGGTTTTTCGAGACAGGGTTTCTCTGTGTAGCTTTGCACCTTTCCTGGAACTCGCTTTGGAGACCAGGCTGGCCTCGAACTCACAGAGATCCGCCTGGCTCTGCCTCCCGAGTGCTGGGATTAAAGGCGTGCGCCACCACCGCCCGGCCAGAAGTGTAACTTTTATCACACCGGTGCTGTCCCCTCTTTGCCCAAAAGCCCTAGTTGCTGCCAACTCCGCTCAGAAAAGAGCCAGGGCTCCCTGCCCGTCGTTTGCAGCCTCACTAAGGGTCTCTGTCCGCCTACCATGCTGCTCTTCCTTGAGCATCGGTGTTCTTTCTGCCATTGGAGTCTCTCCAGCTGTACCTGTCTCCTGAGCTTGCTGGGCTGACCTTTCTGAGCTCAGCCTCAGCACCTCCACTAGAGACACCTTCCTAGAGCTATATAATAACCACCAACCTGGTTGTCAGCACATGGAGTTGCTAACTATTTGTTACTTCCCTCTCTAAATACACACACACACACACACACACACACACACACACACACACACACACACACACACATACACAACAACAACAATAAAACTTGACCTGTTTGTCCCTAATCTATCTTCCTCACAGAACTGGACAGTCTGTGATAACATGCAAGCTGACCCACCTCGTTCAGGTGCATTTCATCATGCAAAACAGGGTGGCGCACAGCAACGCATATACAAACGTATACCGCAACTGGATTTTATCATTAATATTTAGAATACCAAAATGGAAAGCCTATGCTAGTTGTTTTTAAATGTTAATGTAAAAGGTTTTGAGCCTTTCCTCCACAAATGAAGCCCAATGATATTTTTATGGTTGTTTTATATATCAATTCAGGACAAGACTAAAGTTCAGATCGCAGTTTCATACAGCTACCATGAGCACTTTAGGTAGTTAGATCTAGTTTTAGATGGTCTTAAAATTTTTTATGGCCTGGTGTAGTGGCACACGCCTTTAATCCCAGCCTTTAATCCCAGTTTTTGGGAGGCAGAGGCAAGCGGATATCTGTGAGTCTGAGGGCAGCCTGGTCTACATAGTGAGGTTCCAGGGCAGACAGGGCTACATAGTGAGACTCTATCTTAAAAAAAAAGCAAAAACAAAATATAAAATTCATTATGAAAGTTTCATGGGACCGAAGAAGAAGGACGCAAACTAGCTGTGGTGGTTTGAATGAGAACTATCCCCCAAAGGCTCATGAATTTAGACTCTTGGTCCCAGTTTGTGCCCCTGTTTGGGGAAGTTACGTAACCTTTAGTAGGCAGTGCCTTGCTGGAGGAAGTATGCCACAGGGTAAGGCTTTGAGGGTTTATAGCCTTATCCCATTTGCTGCTTGCTCTCTTTGCTTCCTGTGTATGGATGGCAATGGGATCATTCCATCACCTTCTACCATGCCTGCCTGTTGCCATATTTCCCCCAACATCTGGGGTTATATCCTTCTGCTCAAGCCAAAAGAAGCCTTTCTTCCATAAGCAGCAACAGGAAACCGGCCACACTATACTAGCCACAAAAGCAGACCTTTAAGCTTTTATACAGGGAAAATACAGAATAAAATACATTGTACGGACGTTCTCAAAGAAATTTCCTCCTCGATTCTACAGCAGTTTCCATTTTTAGTTAGGAGAGACTTATATAGAATTTGGGCTGTTTAATAGCTTTATTTTGGAATTCTAGATGTATTATATATTTATATATCATATAAAATCTCTGTGATTTAATGAGGATTTGAGATATGCTTTATAAATACTTAAAATTACATGGAAAAACAAAAGTACATAGATGTGCTGTTTATTTATTTATTGGCATTAATGAGTGAACCTAGGGCTTTATGCTCACCAAGTAAGGGTTCTCCCACTGAGCTACAAGAACATCCCTATATTTATTTCTTAACTTATTCTGCTCAAAACTCTCTTAAGGACAGGTTGCATACTTACTCAGAGGAACTTTGCAGACAACTCTCGCATAACCACGTGAACATTCAACTTTTTTCCAGGTTTCATTTGAAGCTATTAAAATGCTACATTTTCCATCACCATTCTTACTTTTATTTTCCCATTTGACAAATGTCGAATCTAATCCATCTAACCAACTCCAAGACTGATCTAAAGAAAGATAATAAATGTAATTATATTTCTTGCTACTAATTACAAAGCTTTAAAAAAAAACACAAGATTCAAATAACTCAGTTTCTTAGCATGGTGTTGTTTAATTAATTTTTTAAAAAAAGATTTATTTATTATCTATACAGTGTTCTGCCTGCATGTATGCCTGCAGGCCAGAAGAGGGCAGCAGATCTCATTACAGATGGTTGTGAGCCACCATGTGGTTGCTGGGGATTGAACTCAGGACCACTGGAAGAGCAGTCAGTGCTCTTAAACTGCTGAGCCATCTCTCCAGCCCCATGGTGTTGTTTTATATGATGCTGTTATTTAAAAATAAAACTAACAGGCTGAAGAGACAGCTCATTCAGTGACGTGCTCCCCATGTAAGTACAAGAACAGGAGTCTTAGGACCCATGTGAGAAAACAGGACGGCATGGCACATGCCTATAAACCCAGCACGGTGAGGTACAGACCAGATTCCTGGGCTTCGTTCACCAGCCACTCTGGATATTTCACTGAGCGCTAGGCTCAGTGAAAAATCCTATCTCAAATAATCAGGTGGGGAGCAGCAGAGAAAGATGTTGACCTCTGACCTATGTACACATGCATACACATGTGCACGCACACATGAACATGAGCACACATAAATACGGTGGAGAGAAATTCAGGAAGCTGAATTTCAGGAAGTGAAAGAAATTCACCCAGCAGTGACCTCTAGCCTTCACACACATGTGCACACATACGCGTGCACAAATGAACATGGACACACACAATGAAATTCATTAAAAATAAGCAAAGGCCTGTAAGCCTTAATGCTCAAGGCGGCTAGTAACCGCTGTCTTGGATAATGAGAAACAGAATGTTTTTATTTTTAAAGCGATGTATTTTTGTTATTTTAAGTTATGTGTAGGTGTGTGTTTCTGTACATGTGAGTGCAAGTGTCTGAGGATGCAGATCCCCAGGAGCTGGAGCTCCAGACAGTTGTGAGCCAATGGATGTGGGTACTGGAAAACTAACTCGGGTGCTCTGGAAGGGCAGCAAGTGCTCTTTGCCACTCAGCCATTTCTCCAGCCTCCACTTTCATCTTTATAGACACCCACACATGTGTTTTTGATAAAGGTACAGAATGCTTGCTTGCGATAAACACATTTGCAGGGATATTTAATCTCCATTCTTTAAGAAAACGTGTCATTGAAACTATGTTGCTGAGGGAAGGGACTACAAGGGCTTGGGATCACCCCCCACCCCATTTTTGTTTTTCAGCAGTATAAATGTGTAAACATTTATAATTTATTTAGACAGCTAATATTGAATCTATTCATTTTTGAAAATGACTTGATATTTTAGAGTTGACATTTATTTTAATTATTTAATATTCAATTTTACATAAAGTATGAAACAGATTACCAAATTTATATACTTAATTCATTTTTTTTTTATCAATTTCAGCTTCATCTTTCAAACCCTGTATCTGTTCTTTACTGAAAAAATTCTTCCACAAATTCTCTTTAGATTTAACTGAACTTATTGGAAAAATACAGCACTGATAAGACTTAATTTTGAACTATAGTAAAACCATTCAGTGTTAGAAAACAGGTATGGGCCACTGTGTTCAACTTTAGAACTCTGCACTTGCATGCGCGCGCGCTCACACACAGACACACACACACACACACACACACACACACACACACACACACACACAAATGTGTCACTTACCGAGTGAATGTTGAGATAATCCAAGCCAAACTCTCATAGTTATATTATAATTCTCCCTCATCAACCTGCTCACAAATTTATTCTCATTTTCATCTGCTATGGTGACAACGTTCGCAGATTGATCTGTGGAAAACAAACAAATTGTACTTAATTAACTCCACATTAAACATGTAAAGCAAGCGCTTTATTCTGAACGAGCCCATTTGGAAAAAACAATCTCTATTGTGAAGAAGACCATTGAGAAATTCAAGCTTCACCCAGAGGCTCTCTTTAAACTTTTGGTATTTATGTGAAAAGTGAAAAGTGCTCCCACAAATAACAGTTCCAAAGAAATTAGAAATGTTTTTAAATTAAAAATTTGCATAAAGAAATTTCCTAATTTAAAAAACATGTATCTGGCCGGGCGGTGGTGGCGCATGCCTTTAATCCCAGCACTCGGGAGGCAGAGCCAGGCGGATCTTTGTGAGTTCGAGGCCAGCCTGAGCTACCAAGTGAGTTCCAGGAAAGGCACAAAGCTACAGAGAGAAACCCTGTCTCAGAAAACAAAAACAAAAACAAAAACAAAACCCAAAAAACCAACAACAACAACAAAACCATGTATCTGGCAGCATTTTGTGGTTCTGGAAGTGCCAAACTAGTGAGACCTTTGTGTCTGAGCAGCTGGCTGCAATCACTGGGGCTTGTGACTGTAAAGTATACGCCACCTATATATTTCTAGGTCTTGCCTCAAAAAAAGTATTTTTATGTAACTTAGATTTAAACTTCCTTCTGCTCAAAATAGAATTCAAAGAAGCCTGGCCTGTGATCTGAGGGAGCATGCACTCTCCTTCCATGGTATTGCACACAGAAATGTGATCAGTCACAACCATCAAAAGTTCCTAAAAGTGATATGGGATTGAGTGAGTGAAAATTCCTTAAGCTTAGCATGTTTCCTAAACACCTACAGGAAATAGTGTTATAAGTTACATCAGACAGAATAGAAATTAGTAATAAGTAGGCTAGGAAATCCATCTTAAAAGGAAAGAAAGCCTTTGCCCCTGCACTGAATGTGTTTAACATTATGTGGCCTGGGAGATAATATCAAAGGTATTATCACCTTTTACAGAGAAGGAAACTGAGTCACGAAGATGAAGCCAGCCAGCTGGAGAACTTAAAAAGGTGATCAAAACCTTTGAAAGAAGAACGGTTCTGAGTTCACCACCTGCAGGGCGCTGTGCTCCATGTGCAACACTTAATGCCATTCCGACGATGCCCCCAAATGTCTCAGACTCCCAAGTTTCCATTCTCATTGGTTAGATGAGAAGAGAAACAGGTCTGCAACTTCTCAGTGTCCGTTAGCAGCTCATCTGAGAGTTGGGAAATGAACCCAGCCTGTCTGCCTCAAAGGCTTAAATATCTTACCTGCTCACATGCTACATGCAGAGCAAATGTTCTTATTTCCTCCCTTAGGAGGAAGAGGCATACACCCATGTATATGCATAGATATGTCTTACAGTGCTTCTCATCATATATAAACATGTACAGCACACCAAGGTTCCCACACAAAGCTAAGTTAAGCAGTAACTAAAATGCTTTCTAACCAGCCTACTGCCTCCACAATATTGAGCAAAATGAACGAGTTAAATGCCATCTGCCTGGCTACATAGCTACCCAAGGATGAAGTGAAATGGTTTTGATTTTTGAAATAGCATAGGTGGCTTTCCTAGAAGTCATTTTACATTTTTATTGAAGGCAATGACTGGGTCCCTCATAGGAGGTAGTCAGTCACTGATGCTTTTTTTCCTGAAATGGCTAAATCTGAAGACTAAAGTCCTGCCCCCGTTGTGGGGTTCTTAGGATGTGGGACAATCCTATTCAGAATGGATGGACAACTCATGCTCAGTTGATTTTATTATCCTCTTCAGTATCAGCTTAGTATTAAAAACTCAGTAATAGACTACAGAGTCAATTATATTTTGCCTCTTAACCCCTTTTTCTAAGCATCTTGAAGTATATTTAAAACTGTTTCATTTGTTATCACTGCTACTTGATGTGAATAGATAGATCACTTGGCATTTTTACTTCTTTCCATTTTTATTTTCAATATATTCACTCTCATTTTGATATTTATTTGTTTTTGAGACAGGGTTTCCTGTGTAGCCCTGGCTATCCTAGAACTTGTTCTATAGACCAGGTTGGCCTCGAACTCACAGAGACCCGCCTGCCTCTGCCTCTTGAGTACTAGGATTAAAGGTGTGTGCCACCACCATCAGGCTTTTTCTTTATTTTTGACATTAAAATCATGAATGTTTATTATAAAGGTAAACCCTGATCCTTGAGATGGGCTTATCAGTAGGTGTGTCAGCTACAAGCAGGGTCCGATCATACTGAATGAAGATATTTTTGCTCTCCTTCTTGGAGGCCCCATCCACATACTTGTGGTAATAAGCCACCAGGGCTTTGGAGACAGACTGTCGGATAGCATACATTTGGGCCACATGACCACCACCCTTCACATGGTTATCCACATCAGCAAGTTGCTCCTTGTCCAGAAGCAGAACGGGCTCCGGTAACTTGTACTGCTGCGTGTGTGAGGCTCGATTCTCTCCAGGGGACGTCCATTCACCTAGATGAGCCTGTTTCCCTGTTTGCAGTGTGCTGCAGCTGTCTGCTTGTGTCTGAAGACCTGCACGACTGCAGCTGACCCTTGGTGAGGGGTGAGCATGGACTCGAGCTCCTCAATGCGCAGCGCCGCCACCGGGAAAGGAAGGCTTGTCAAGCATAGCTCTACCAATTGAGCCGTATTTTCAGTCCACATCAGTCTTTTTTTTTTTTTTTTAGTTTTTCGAGACAGGGTTTCTCTGTGTAGCTTTGCGCCTCTCCTGGAACTCACTTGGTAGCCCAGGCTGGCCTCGAACTCACAGAGATCCGCCTGGCTCTGCCTCCCGAGTGCTGGGATTAAAGGCGTGCGCCACCACTGCCTGGCAACATCAGTCATTTTTAATGACCATTGCAATATTCCATTGAGCTATTATGCATAAAATACTTATTTCCCTACTATTGGACAATAAGGTGATAATGCTACTATAAAATAAAAATACCTTTAAAACACTGTCCAAGATATGGTAATTCCCCTGCCCCATTATTTCCTTAAGAAAAAATTATGAAGAGTTAAATCAGTCAAAAGAAAACAAGTGAATTTTAACTTACCAAGTTCCTGACACAACTGTTTGGCCTCCGAAAAGCTGTGCAATGCTTGGTCAGTCGAGTAACAGTGATCCCCATACTGGACCCACTGGGAACCATTCCTTTTCGCCGTTGGACACTTTGATGAGTGTACATGAGGTGACAGCTCTTTAGCTGTGAAAAATGTTAGAGACAGCTGTAATAATGCACAGAAGAAAGTCAATACTTCCCTCAAATCTCATTCAATGTTCCTATATGAAACCTGTGCTTGTGGATAAGCAGCCTGTAACTCAATCCATACACCAGCAAAAGCCACGGTCTGAACTCTACAGATACACTCTGGTTAGCTGTTTGCAATGCCCTTTCCAAACCTCGATGGTAGATGAGGTAAGTGCTTCCCCTCGAGGATGGAGTTCAACCAACTTAGAGCAAGCAGACACACAGACTGGGGAAGGAAGAAAACACAGGCTTTGGTAGGCCTGTCAGTACTCTGAGCCAATAACTAAATTTTGTTCCCCTGGCTTCCCTTTTATTGTGAAAATGTAAACCAACGTTTATCTAGATAGATAAGATTGACTTTAAAAGTTGCACCCACAAGTAAAAAAATTGGCAATTTGTCAATCTCTTTCAAACCAGAAGATGTTATCTTTTGAAACTCTTAAAAGTTCTTCTGGTTTCTACCTAACCTGTTTTGTTTGTGTTTTAGCTGTGCTGAGTAATGCTAGCAGCCTCTGAAGGAAGAGTGGGTCCCTTAGGGCTTGAGATTAATTCCTTTTCAAGAGCAAAAAAACTGGAAAGAGGCTAAGTACGGCTCATCTGAGTCAAATTTCTCATCTCTCAAATTTCTGGCCTTGTCCCAGGCGGTGATCTCAGCCCAGACTTCAGCTCAGTTGTGCTTTCTACACTACCTTAACCCTCTCCCTGTGGGCTCTGCAGGTCACAGGTGGGTGGGATTTGTCTTATTTGTGGCTTCTGTGATTCCAGAGAAAATGGCTTCTAACATTTTCTTCATCAAGAACCTTGGGTTGACTAGTTCCTTCTGCTTCTGTCTTCTGTTAGAAGGCAGGATCAATCCTTTCAAATTTCAGCTGTTGGCTTAGCCTTCCTAATGTTATCCCATTTGGGCACCCCTGCCCCTCCCCCTCCTCCTCCGCTCCCCCCTCTCGCCCCCTCCCCCAGTCAGTTCAACAGCTGGAGTAGTGGGTGACAAACGAATGCAACCGTTCAATTCCCCACTGGCACCAGTGGTGGAAGGAGCTGCTACCAGCAAATTCTTGCCTTTACCACTTCGTGAAAGTAGCTGACAAGCCCCAGGGATATTGCCCTGTGAGTCTGGGAGTAGCTGTGTGTTGCTTCAGCAGATGTGAAAGTGAGTTCACCCACCAGTCACCACAGCACCACAGGGCATATGGCCTCTTAACATCTCACACCACCAACCTTTTTGGTTTCTAGAATTGTCTGTAGCTGGGCTGCCCTGTGTTGCAGACATTCCTTTCCTTTCTGATCTTTATGAAGTTGTGTTTCCAACTCCTAAACATTTTTTTAAGGGCTTGCATTGTGGTAAGTTTGTTATAGTCTTTTTGTTGTTGTTTGGAACTTAGAATCCAATATAGGGTCTCTCAAGTGTTAGGCAAGCTCTTTAACACTGATCTATATTCCAGCCCTGTTGAATTTCTGCTTAGGGTAAAAAAAAATATTTTGAAACTTTATCTCATGTAGCTCAGGTTGGTTTAAGATGACCTTGAACTTCTCATCCTATCAAGTCCAACACCCCACGTGCTTGAATTATAGGCATGCATCACCAGATCGGTTTCTGAGGTGCTAGGATAGGAGCTGGGCTTTCTGTATGCTAGGTAAACAATCTACAAAGTTGGCTATGGTGTACAACCTGACCCCATTTTTCATCCTACCAGAAAAATACACATAGCATATCCTTTATCACCTCAACTTTGTTTGTTTTCTGTTTTATTTTGAAACAGGGTTTTGTTTCTGTAGCTTGAGGCCACCCTAGAGCACACTATGTGGCCCTGAGTGGCTCTGAGTTCCCTTTTTTCCTCCTGAGTGCTAGGATTACACAGTGCACCAGCACACACACCATCATCCCGATCACGTTTTAGTGCGCACCGCAGTGGCATTAAGCACAGTCACACTACAGTAATCACTACTACCCAACTACAGAACTTTTTCATCTTGCCAAACTGAAACTCTGTATGCAGTCACTGTCTAAACCTCACCCTCTCTAGACCCTGACCTCCTATTACCGTGAACTTGAGAATTCTAGGTACCTCGTAATATGGAGAATCCTACAGAATTCCCCTTTTATCACCAGCTTATTTTGCTTATCGTGTTGTCTTTAAGATTTAGCCACACTGTGGCATGTGTTAGCATTTCCTTCCTCTTTAAGAGGGATCCAGTGTGTGTTTTACATAGACATATTTATACACATCTTGACACACTGTACTAACTTCTACTTATCCACTCAATTGTTGGAGGATGCCTGGGCCCTCTGCCTTTGACTATTATGAATTATGCTCTATGAACATGGCTGTACAAATATCGGTTTGAGTGTCTGTTTTTAGTCCTTTTTAGTCTAGCCCTGAACGTGGACTTGCCGGGCAATATGGTAATATTATGATTGTAGTTTGAACGATCATTCTCCACTCTGAAACGTCTGTTTTCTCAGATTTGTTTTTTAATCACTGTATGCTTTATCATATGTCATGGATTCCAACAGTTTTTCTTTGCATTTCCTTTCCCCTTGTACCTGCGAAGCTGGTTTTTGATGATGCCATTAAGGGAACACAGAAGCCTTTGAGAACCATTTCTATGTGAAACAAGAATCTTTAGATTCTAAAGTAAAATGTAACCGGTGCTAGAATGATGAATCTCCTTGGGAACAAATTCCCTGACAGATATATCAGTTATACATCCATTCACAAAATATCAGAAAGCGTGTTCTGATTTTTGTGGGCAAGCCTTATTTAAAATCTATAAAAATGTTCATTATATAATGATGTACATACATTTATATCAAATTATAGTAAATACATAGTTATTTGAAATCAAGTCTTACATTTTGTAGGCTTGTAACAAATAGCTCCATCCTTAACAGACAGGCATTTTTCATGTTTCCAAATTCCTTTCGGATCTAAGACGACACAGTTTCCAGGAGATCCTTGGCTTTTCCATGGGGTGTAGTCAAATGCACTGCCATCGGCCCACTCGAAGCTCGATTCACTCCCCTGTTTAGAAACAGTTTGGATAGCCTGGGCTCAGCTGTGTGACTTCAGAAGGAATGTAAGAATGCACACACTGTGAGAAGTGAGCTCTGATTATCTGCTTATAAATATTGTAAGTTTGGGCCTGTGTATAATGCCAGAGATTTGCTTTTGATACAGTCATTTGGAGCATTTACTCTGACAGAATTTAAGCCGGACTTTAAATTCAGAAACAGAGTCACTACATTCTATCCCTGGATTGTACTTAAAGACTGGATTCATGAAACACAGGCAAATGGCTTCCATTTTACCTCTTTACCATAATTCAAGGTTTAGACCCCGACCATCATGTTGTTCTGAAATTGTTTCATGTTGTTCTTTTCCTTATTTGTGGTGCTGGGAATTGAACCCAGGGCTCACACAGGCTGGGCAAGTACTCCGCCACTGAGCTGTATCCTGCTCTGGAAAGCTGTTTTCTGAGCTTCATAGTTTCTCGGTTTGTGTCTGGCAACATTACAGAGGCCATCGCACAGCAGGGGCTAGAAAAGGCCACCTCTCCCCAAGGAGCTAGGTGTGAGGAGATGACTTTCAACTTGTGCTTGAATCCACAATCTTAATGCATCTTCTTTCTCTCCCTCCCTCCCTCCCTCCCTCCCTCCCTCCCTCCCTCCCTCCCTCCCTCCCTTCCTTTCTTCCTTCTATTTTTCTCCATTCTTTTCTAAAGATTATTTAAAGAGGCCCCAAACTCTCAATGGATGGCTATTTTTGTATGCCAGACATTATTAAATGTATATAATATAAGAGATAGGACTCAAATGATGGTACCAAAGATGTGTTATCAATATATTAATCTTTTTTAGTTTTTAAATTTTTTTTTTTGGAGTTTCAAAATTGAGTGCTGTATTTACACTATTTCCACCCTGTGTATCCTTTCTCCAACTCCTCTTGTGTCCTGCCCTCTCAAATCCAAGAGGTAACTGACCATATTAAGAATTTTGGTTGCCTGTTATATGTATTTTTGTGTTAAAATACAAAAGAAAATGTTATTAGCTGATTTTACTGATGAGGAAATAAGATTGCAAAGGTTAAATAATTCATTAACTATCAGCTACCACAGAAATGACAGATGTGCCATTAATACTGAAAGGCTTTTCTATTCCATGCTATGTACTTCATAGGAGCTTTCTAACTGGTCCTTCTCAAACAAGCTCCAGGGACCAAGGATGGAGCTCAGAGGTGGAACACGGGATGTTGACCACTCCACCCACAACAAAAATAACTCCAGATCAAAAGATTACAGGAGTCTGTTGAGTTATTAACCCACTGAACCCTTGGGATGGCCTGACATTTACACTCTATAATTTTATTTATTCCATGCTGTAAAAGGCAAGAAACAACCAGGAATTAACCAATTTCAAAGTCATAGTTTTTAAAAATTTCTGGAAACAAAGTGAAACTTACATCATGACTCGAGAGCCCAACCCAGAGAGGGAATCCATCACGGTTCACAATGTCTTCCAGAAAGGACTGCCCGTTTGTGTTGTGAACACTTGCTAAGTGTCCTCCACTTTGAGAGCACATGCTCAATGCTTGGTACCACGTCACCTTTTTCTGAATAACATTATAGATGCCATCCTCATACGGAATGAACTCTGGCAGTGTGCTATTGTGTTCTTCCTTGTAGTCAACTATGACATCGAACATAAAAGGGCTGGTAAGTTTAAATAGTTTCAAATACATATTTTGAACAAAATAACTTAAGAGGTCAAATGCAAACTTTGTGTTTCCTATCTCCACAGAACATATAAGGCTCCTGAAAAGTACACACACACACACACACACACACACATTATATACATATATATATATATATATATATATATATATATATATATATATATATATATATATATATAATAGTTGCAGTGACATGATGGCAAAGTGATTCAGCACTTGGACATGTGAGACTCACTGTAAAGGAGAGTTATCTGCACTGGGGGAGTCAGAAAGGTTGCTTGACAAACAAATCAGGTCTGCAGTGCAGGGGAAATTAAGGCTAAAGAGAAAGAAGATATCCAGGAAGTAAGGAAGTGCTGAAGATAAGCAAATCGACATGAAAACAGTGATGCTGGAATTCCCGCAGGGACACTGGAGTCCAAGGATCCAGCTCCCCGTGGTCAGGCTGCAATGAGCCAGTCTGAGCAGGTCAGTGATTAGTGTGATATGCTGAACAGAAATCCAAAGTACCAGGTGTTTTTTGTTGTTTTGTTTTGTTTTCAAGAAAGGTTCTCAGATACCTCAGGCTGGCCATAAAATCACTATGTAGCTGAGGCTAGCCTTGAACTCTTGATCCTCCTGCTGGGATTAACACACAAACCATAGTCCCTGGCTGCAAAGTATAAATTAATAACTAAGAGTCTGAAGTAGTTATAGAGGGTTAAGCGAAGGATATAAAGAAAGAATCGGGTTGGCAAGATGGTTCAACACCTAAAAGCATTTGCTCTGGCAGCCTGATAACCTGAGTCCAATCCCTGGAGCCCACATAAAGATGGAAGGAAGAATGAACCCCACAAAGTTGTCCTCTCCTAGCCACATGTACGAATACACACACATACACACACACACGCACAAATTTCTAAAACTAAAAACAGTAATTGAACAAGCAACAAAACTACAGTGATGAGGGTATAAATGACTGAATAAATTTTAAAATGCAAACAAACAAATGTCTTGTACAGAATTCCAGATAATCACATAGATACCCTGCCCCACATCCCAAAGATGGAGGATAGCTCTCTCCTCCTGTAAGTGTGGACTGAGTGCAGTAACTTTTTACTCTCTTTATAGAGAGCACAGCATGGAGAGGGGACAAAGGGTAAGTTTACAACTGAGAAATCAACAACACAGTCTTGACCAGAGAGATCAATGCTAAATCAGCAGTGATGTTGACAGCATTCGTTGTTCACAGGCTATGCTAAAAATGATACCTTCTCCCACACTCAAATCACAGCTTAACCCAAACTGATCATCTAGACAATCTATGACCAGATAACCTCAAAACTGTCAAAACTAAGAGACATGCTCATAGCTAAGAGGAGCCACGGCTGAGCCTAACGCAGTATCCTGCATGGATGTCTGAACAGAAAAAGTAACTTAGTAACAACTAGGGGGTATGAATAATGCACAGGCTTTGGTTAATTCTTACGCACCAATCAACGTTGGCTTATTAGTTGTGACAGATACTCATGAAAGATGTTAACAGTAGGGAGATTGGCTGTGGGGGAGTGAGAACTCTCAGTTCTGACTGTGCAGGTTCTCCGCAAATCTAAATCTAGCCTAACATGAACATCTATTAACATGTATATGAAAGAATGGAAAACAAACTAAGCTGACACTATGTGGTGGGACACTCAGAGAACAAGGAAGTGACTGGCTGACAGAATGATGCTCAGTGAGAACAGAGAGAGAGAAGGTGAGGGTTGGGGGAGGCTTAGACAGTCCGAGGAGAGGCTGGTGTCTAACATCTTAACCGTTTACAAGGACCCAGAGTGACTGTCAGTAGGAGAACTCTGATGTGACAGGTCTCCAGCACACCACTCGGCAGCACCCGGAACAAAGAGGGTCCACGAGGGTGTCGCTGCCATGGGCCCCACATCAGCAGAGGGCTTAGCAGAGCAGGCTGCTGTACTCAAGACATCAGCAGAGGGCTTAGCAGAGCAGGCTGCTGTACTCAAGACATCAGCAGAGGGCTTAGCAGAGCAGGCTGCTGTACTCGAGTTCTAAAGCTGACGGTAACTTATACATAATTTACATTTCAAAATAGGCTTGTTTAAGGATTAGACAAGATTGTAGGACACACATTTTGCCTGGAATGTCAAAATTCTATTCAAGCCCCTCCCCCTTTTTTAAAATAAAAGTTCTGTCCCTCTTTCAAGACTCAAATCAACCACCACCTCCTCATTCTCACTGAGCTCTTTGTTCACCAAATAATCTAAGACTTGCCTGCAAAGGATAGAAACGTCAATGCTGTCTCACCAGCAATGTTTCCCTTCTGGAGTATGAGTCTAGGACTCCAAGGGCTCTGTTCTCTTTGGTAACCTTCTGCAGTTCCACATGTGGACTAAATATGAACGGAGCTCTCCAGACATGCGTGGTCTGAGTCTCTCTAGAAAACAATGGTCTTACACTTGCTTCCCTGGAGTGAGACCACACCTTTTCATGCTTACTGCTGTGGCTTGACTATCAAATGTCCCCCGCTGATGACACTGTTTGGGAACATTGTGGAGCCTTCAGGAGGCAGAGCCTCAATGGAAGAGGTAGGTCACTGGGGTGGGCTTTGAGGCTTTACAGCCCTGCTCTACTTCCTGTTAACTCTCAGTTTCATGAGTGTGTGGCAGTGTGACCAGCCAGCCTCCTGCTCCTGCATCATGCCCTCCCTGCCTGCTGCATGTCTTCCCCACCGCGATGGACCATATCCCCCTGAACCATGAGCTCAAACAAGCCCTTTTCCCCTTCAGCGGCCTTTGTCAGGCTATTTTACCACAGAAACAAGAGAAGTGACCAAGACTCTTACCCATTGCGATTTTACAAGCTAAAATGCTTTGCTGGTAAAAACGAATTGTTTCTTCAATATTATTGAAGGACTGAATATCCCAGAAGCCATCAGTACTTAGACCAGCCAAAAATTTGTGGTTTTTCACAGCTGGTCTTCCCGCTCTCCAGTGTGTGTACGACAATGCGGTCCTATCAAACCACATCAAAGAGTTGTCTAGGAAAGAAATACATTTTTCTATATTAGAGATTAAATCAAAATTTCAGTTTCAGTGTTAGTATTTCAAACCACTGATTTATTGTCTCCTTTCCTTACCTTCTAAAAGGTTGTCAGATTAACTATACCTTTAAAAAAAATCTCCTAATTGTAACAGTAAATCATGCTTGTTTTTAACTTTAAAATATGAATTATGAATATAAAAAATTAACTAGAATTCCACTCTTTGGTGGCTTATTTGTTGTTCATCAACTATCCATTCTCCTTATATATACTTTCAACTGTAGCATAAACGATTATAACTATTTTATTTTTTTAAATTCTTGATAGCTTATAAAATTAGTGAAAGAAATTATTTTCTCTGGATATAATTGTTATTGTTTGTTTTTGCTCTTTTAGGGGGCCCACCATCCAGCTCCCAAATAAATTACACATGGAGGCTTATTCTTAATTATAAATGCCCGGCCTTAGCTTGACTTGTTTCTTGCCAACTTTTCTTAACTTTAAATTATCACCTCTACCTTTTGCCTCTAGGCATTTTCCTTTTGTTACTTCTGTATGTCTTACTTTCCTCTTACTCTGTGGCTGGCTGTGTGGCTGGGTGGCTGGCTCCTAGCATCCTTCTCTCCTTGCTCTCTTGCTCTTTCTTTTTTTTCCTCCCAGATTTCTCTATTTATTCTCTCTGCCTGCCAGCCCCGCCTATCCTTTCTCCTGCCTCGTTATTGGCCATTCAGCTCTTCATTAGACCATCGGGTGTTTTAGACAGGCACAGCAACATAGCTTCACAGAGTTAAGCAAATGCAACATGAACAAAAGTAACACACCTTAAAATAATATTCTACAACACACAATTGTGCATACTCCTGAGTGAAAGATTTTAACACACTTCATTTCAATGTGGAGATCATGCTTCTCAACAAATGGTGCTAAATAGCTAGGCATTCATACACAAAATTATGAATGTAAGCTCCTTGCTGTTACCACAATAAAAAATTAACTCAACCAGGCAGTGGTGGTGCACATCTTTAGTCCCAGCACTCAGGAGGCAGAGGCAGGTGGATCTCTGTGAGTTCGAGGCCAGCCTGGTCTACCAGTGAGTTCCAGGACAGCTAGGGCTGTTACACAGTGAAACCCTGTCTCGAAAACGAATTAAAAAATAAATTAAAAAAGAATACATTTTCAGTTGTTTCTGATAATACTGTGACAAAGAGGGTATAACTTAATTTTACTAAGTTTCTAGAGTAGCATATAAGACAATGACTTTATTTTATGGCATCTTCATACACTCTGTCTCCCTGCCCCACCCTCGCTGCTCCCCCTCCCCACGCAACAGTCCCTTTCTGTTTTCATGTTCCATGCATTCCAGTCCCAGAGGGTACAATTCAAATACTCATGCCTGAGTTTGCTCTCTTCTGCTCTGCACAATCATCTCCAGGGGAACCTGCACCTAGGAAACTTTCCAATTTTACGAGTATTTAATTTTTATACATGTTCTCACATCTTATATATCCACTTAAACAGACTGAACTCTGGGTAAAATGGTCTTTCTGGAAAAGCACAGACATTTCCTGGGAGTGCCCACCCTAGGGGAAGCACAAGAGGGCATAACAAGGAGAGGAGAGATAGGGCACATTGCCCGTTGGGCCCAGGCCTGGAGCTGCTGTTTGTGTCATGGATCTATTGCTTCCTTGCTTGCTCTAATCCAACTCTGCTGCTTGTCCATCGCCATGTCCCATCTGGACTCTTCTCTTCCAGGAGCTCAAGGGCCATGGCTACTGCTAGGGTAGAGATGAGAAGAAATGCCAGCCCCTCCATGACATGCCTATAGATGGATTTCCCTCCCTAATTTCAAGACCTCATGGACTTCAGGATACCCCTGATTTTCCTTCAAAGTTGGTCTTGTTTATTCTATTAGACATGGGGTTTTAAGGTTTGTCCATATCAGTGGTATATTGGAGACATGGTATTTAATCCAAATTTCAAATATCCTTCCCACTGTTAGACTAAGAATCTTATTTTTCTGTTGCTTACTATACACATACCCCAGATAAGGCTATAAAGCCAATGGGGTAGCACCAATAGAAACGGGGCCCTGTGTTTGTTCTTCCCACATAGTTATAATGGGAGTGCAAATTGGGGATTTCTGTGGAAGTGTGGTCATTTTTAATTAGTCTTGAGTCGCCAGAAGGAAGGGTGTAGATGGGAAATTACTCTCTACCATTTAAATCTAGGATTGGGGTAAGGGTGTGTTAGTGGCAGAGCAGACACACAAAAACGTTGGTGGGATTATTACATGCCATAGCAGATACATAACACGTGCTGGTGCATCCATAAACACGGTCTTTAAAGAACTCCATTTTCAGCCAGGTGTGGTGGCACACGCCTTTAATGCCAGCACTCAAGAAGCAGAGGCAGGTGGATCTCTGTGAGTTCAAGGCCAGCCTGGTCTATAAAGAGAGTTCCAGAACAGCCAGGGCTGTTACACAGAGAAACTCTGTCTTGAAAACAAACAAACAAACAAATAAACAAAAGAATTGCACTGTGTAGTTTGATAAACAGGTCATAATGAAGTGCTAAAGGAGAAGCCCGCAGTTACCACTTACTTTCATAGGTTATTCCTAACATGACCCATGAGGCAATGTAATTGAAGTACAGAAGCTGCTCCATAACAAAGGTATTCTCCTCTTCATTTCGAATACTCAGAATATGTGCTTTTGAATCTGTCAAAACAAGAAGGCCAATTTGAACAACTCCTGTGTACACAATCCTCTGTCTTCCCTGAGAGAGTCAGGCGGTCCTCCTTCCCAGATCTTTCTGCACCGAAACAGCCATCAGCTTGTGGAGCTGACAGGCTGAGCAGCGGTCAGACATTCTCATGGACACCTGGCTCCACAGGACACGGGGATCTGGTAGCTGAGCTGAGAACTTAAGACACCCACTTCTCTTTCCCTTCATTTAAAGCTCACTTTCCGAAGGGCACAAATCCACACAGCATTAACGGGGTGCTGCTAAAAACTACCCTGTGACAAAACTTCTTTAGTATGATTTTAAATTAAAATAAAATTATATCACGTCCCCCTCAACTCATAAGACAAGCCTGCCTCTTCCTCAGACACCACTGCTCCATCAGGGTTAAAGGTGGCTAGTATTTCCAAAATGTGTTGCTCAGAAAAAATCAGGGGACCTCTCAGAAAAAGTACACATGGATAAAACATCTGGAAACACTGATACAAACAAGGTTAGTCTAGTTCATTTATGATAGTATTCTTTTTTAAAATTAATGTTCTTATTTTATTTTCTATATTGAAAATAGATTATTTTTCTTCATACATTACATCTTGATTGTGGTTTCTTCTCCCTCTACTCCCCCAAGTTCCTCCCCATCCCTCCTCCCATCTGGATACACCCCCTCTTCAGTCTCTCATTAGAAAACAAACAGGCATCTAAGGGATAATAATAAAGCAAAATAAGATAAAACAAAAACAAACAGAAGGAAATGAACCCAAGAAAAGGCACAAGAAACAGATATAGATGCAAAGACCCACTCATGCACACGCTCAGGAATCCCCAAGAAACACAAGACTAGAAGCCATAATATATATACAAAAGGCCTGTGAGGTAAAAAGTAAAATAAGTTAAATGAAAGATAAATAAACAGTAATTAAGAAAAGAATAAAAAGAAAAAGCCCAGCCATGACATTATGAGACAAGGAACCTCCAAAGGTGCCACTGATTTCGTTCGCTGCTGGCCTACTCCTGGGCACATAGTCTACCCTTAGAGTAGCTTGTTTCCCAGTGAGACTCTGAAGGGACACTAGTCCACAAAGCATGTGGCTCTGGCAGGCTTTGTCCCCTCCCCTGTCCCCCCTGCCTTGTAAAAACCATTAGATTACATCCCTAAAGCTAGCCACTTATTTGACTACCAAGGTTGAGCTATTGGAAGTATTGAAATCTAGCAATCAGAAGCCCCCTTAAGCTCAACTACAATGACCAACCGAAATTAAACACTTCATCTTCACATGGGGTTTCCCATTTTACCTTCATAAACGGCCGTTTGCCCATGAGCCACATCTGTCTCCTCTCTATCCAGAGGCAGTCCTTGTCTCCTGAGGACAAATACTCCTGCCCCCTTTCTTTTGTTCCCTTCCCCTCTCTCTGGTCCCCTGTCTCCTTTACTAGCCCATTCTAACACAGACCTCCCCTTTTTCTCCTCTTAAAAATGACACCTGCCAGGGCATTTGCTGCTGTTTTCTGTCAGAGTCAGAAAGCAGCCATTTTAACTTTTCTTCTCTGCTTACTAAAGGATCTCTGTGAAAACAGGAGTTTGGGTGTGCTTTGTCTTTAATCCAGGGTCCAGGAGGAAGCCCCTGCTGTGCAGGGTGGGGTTGGGGGTTCAGATGCCTTTGGAGAAAACTAAATTTTCATTTGCAAGTGGTTATCAATTGGATGTAGCTTCTTGGTAGGGGGTGGGGGCATGTGTCCACTTCTTTCAGCTCTAGGATCCCATCAGGCCCTGTGCATGCTGCCTCAGTCTCCGTGACTTCATATGCTATGCCAGTATTTCTTTTTTTTTTTTTTTTTTTGGTTTTTCGAGACAGGGTTTCTCTGTGTAGCTTTGCGCCTTTCCTGGATCTCGCGCTGTAGACCAGGCTGGCCTCGAACTCACAGAGATCTGCCTGCCTCTGTCTCCCGAGTGCTGGGATTAAAGGCGTGCGCCACCACCGCCCGGCCTATGCCAGTATTTCTTAAAGTTGTACTTTGATACAGAGGGTAAACAGTCTAGTGTTTCTCAACCTTTATTCTATCTTATTTTTTGTAGAACTTCTCTTAAAAGCCCACTTCGGGGGATACTGACTTGATACTTTCCATAGGAACTCTGCACAAAGTTCATAGTTCCTTCTGTTCCATTATTCAAAAGTTACAGACCTTCAGGGTTTAACTGGGAATTGCTCTGGGTCTGGAGAGCTCCACATGCACAAGGTCAATCCCATCCCCTTGGACCTTGGCTCTGATGAGTGGTATAACGGAGCTGCTGGCCACACTGGGTGACCTAGTTCACTTCAGTGGGTCTAGCTGCTTCACGCCCAGTTCTCTGCTCTCTAGTGTGAAAATCAGGGGAGTCGGTCACCAGCACTACTTAGGAATCTCTATAACAAGTGACATCAAAAGGGAGCATGTCCCAGCACAGGAAGACAGCACGATGTACTTACGCAGTTGCTGGCACATAGAGTGCACTTCCTTCTGTGTGATTGTCTTATGTCTATTCTTCGTTATCACGAAATTGTAGCATGAGTTCTGAAATGCTATCCATGGAGTGTTCTGCACAGGAGACGGACACTTAGCACTGTCTGATGGTTTGACCTCCTTTTCAGTCTCATCTAGAAAAGGAGTTAATGGTGAGAATTCTAATTTCAGATGTAAATGTTAAATCCTGTTCACAGTCATTAGACTTGATTTGTGGGAAATATGCAGGAAGCAAGGAAGTAACAGCCTGGTGAGGCTTGCTCTGTTTACACTCGAATATAGCATAAAGAATGCTGGCTTTCTGTGGTGAGGAAATTATTTGACATAATTTTCTTACCCCTGCTGTGGAGTGGAGGAATGTAAAAGCGAGGTGCTTTTTAGGTTACATGAGATTCTGTCTTCCTGCATTATTAAATGTCAAGTACCAGGAGCCTCCCCAGAGGAACTCCATAAACATATTAATTAACAATAGACATCTAACTAGAACTGTGTAATTCACTCTCACGTTTCTGCTTACTGATAGCTCTAATTTTAATGAAATAACTTAATGGAATAGTTATTCCCTTAACAAAATTAAACAGAGATATCATTTAAAACATGGCCTCCAGAATAGGTAATTTTTTTCATTTTTCATATATTCTAGAAGATGCAAATATAGGTATGCACAGCTCAAAATAATTGAGAAAGATTTACTGTGTCCTAGAGACCACTGGGCATTATTCTCCCATTTTGTGACAAATCCCTCAATCTCAGAAACAGTGTGTTCTTTCTCCCACAAACACACAAATGTGGGCCCCTGATTGGGCTGGAGATTGCATGCCCAACTCAGGCTGAGCCCGACAGATGCTAAGAGATGGAAAAGTGGGATTCGGAAACCTTTCGTGACAGGCAGCAGTGGAAGTTGGGGAGCAGCGGTGTTCCACTACGTGCAGAGACAGCTTAGTTCACAAGGGCAGAGCAAAGAAGCAGAGAAAGGACAGGCACACCCACATCTCTGGGTTTCTGTTTTCTTGTTGGTGTTGGGATTTTTTGTTTGCTTTAATTTTGCTTTTGAGACAGGGTCTTACCATGTAGTTTTGGATGGCCTGGAGTTTGCTACGTAGACCAGGCTGGCCTCAAACTCACAGAGAGCTGCCTGCTTCGGGCTCCCAAGTGCTGGGTTTCTGATACTCCTTCTCCAGATGGGTTGAATTCTACCCTTGTTTGTAGGGTGGTGTTCGAAATTCCCTTTTGACTTAAGCTACCTTGATCTTGTTGTTACTCCTTACAATCAACTGAGTGTTGTTTGTTTTTGAGACAGGGGCTTGCCTGTAGCCCAGGCTAGGCTTTGCCAATCTTCTGCTCTACCTCTGAGTGCTGGGATTAAAAGTATGTGCCACCATGCCTGGGAATTTCAACAGTGGTTTAAGATGTCAGTTGTTGGTGTTAAGAATTAATTAAGAAAGAGTTTCCGTGAGTTAGTTTTGTAAATATATATGAATAAAAATATTTGTAAGATGAGGCTGAGTGACAATGGGACTGTATATGCCAATCAACATTGATATAAGAAAGACAAAAATCCAAAATAAAAAAGTAATTTCAAAACAATTCATAATCAATAATTCTTGAGCACAAATGTTTGCACCAAATTTTTGTTGAAAAAAAAAGTTGACATGGTAGAGCTAGAGAGGGCTCAGGGTGAAGAGATGTCTGCTCCCCAGAGGACTCACTTTAGATTCCCAGCACCTCTGCGGCAGCTTCCAACATCTTTAACTCCAGTTCCAGGGATCTGGCGGCCACGGACACTAGGCCTGCACACGGTGCCCAGACACACATACTGCTAACACACCCATACACAAGATAATAAAAATACACTCTTAAAAAGGACACGATTTCCTTCTAATCCCCAAATAAGATTTTGCAAAACCAAATGAACCAAATTCCACGACATTTGAAATTTACATACTTCCTGGATAGTAGCAAATGGCACCAGGTTGGTTATCATTACAGTCGGCTGTTTTCCAGAATCCATCCGTGTCTAAGATCACACAGTCATCAAGCTTCTCGTTGTTGGCAGCCCAGTTACTAAAATGAAGACGTTTTCCATCTGACCAATCGAAGTTGAGCCCATCCTATGAGGTGCAGAAATTCATTTCAAAGAGACAATATTCACATTATCCCTTTCATATTATTTTAACCCATGAGGTCAAATAATTATTAGTTGTATTTTATATTGTGTTAAGCACTATCTTAAATGCTTGATAAATATTGACTTGTTTAATCTGCGTAACAGCTGTCTGAGGAGGGCACTGTTACCTCTCTTTAACAGAGCAGGGAACTGAGAGTGAGTGCAGTGCTGGAACCCCAGTTCTGGCTCTCAGACTCTGTGGTCCTAACCATCATGCTCTGCTGCCCACAGGTCATAAGAACTGTTTGGTGGAAACCAGAAAGCTAAGATGGAGTGAGGACCACTGTTTGCACGGGATACAATGGAGACAGAATGGCATACTAGAAAGAGCAGAAATCTGGCTGTGAACAGTAATCCAATTCCACGTGAGCTTTTCATTTGTGAGCCTGGCCCTCCAAATTTCCAGACCCCCATCTGTGACATGGCTGTAACACAGACTAGTCAAGTGTGAAATGTTCATTTCCTGAGTCAGCTCAAGCCTGGGCAGCACACACTGCTGTTTTCACACTGGTCTCTGGGGCAAAGCAGCTTCCTTTACAGTACACGTATCAATCTGGAAGCCTCTAAACACTTGTCTGTAGATCTTGACAGGTCCTGACCACCCGCCTGTCTTGAGAATGGCTTTATGCGGTTGACACGGGAGTTTCAGCAATAGCTATGAAGCTTCCCCCTGGTGACACCAGGCACTAGGCCTTAATGACCAACGCTGGCCCAACTGCACAATAGGGCTAAGCATTTCTGAGGCCCAGGGGAAGGTCACACACAGATTCCTTATTTCAAAAACAGTCACATCTAGCACTACCAAATGCTTCATTATTTTGGTACTGCTAGGGGTTGAATCCAGGGCCTCCCGGCTGCTAGCAAAGGCTCTATCAGTTAATTCCTAAGCCACCGTGGGGCTTTAAACTTGCCCGCTGGGGAGGCATTTTACCTATACTCTGGCCTATACTGTCCCAAATTCTTCCTCTCTGCCACCAGCCCCTGCCAATGGCCTTTGGAACTCCCTTCTACCACAGATAACTCCGATCATACTCCCTGTCCACAATGAACGTGAAATCTCCTGATCAAGACTATAAATACCTAAACTTTCTAACATCTAAACTTTCATTGATCTTAATTTGAACTTGGCTTTTCCAAGCTAATAATCTGTTTTAGCTGCACAAGGGAAGCCTGTTCATTTTTTTGTCCAAAGGACTGTAAGTGCGGGGCTGTGGGTGTTATCTCCTTTGATGTCCCTTCACTTGGAGCAAACTTCCAGGATCCATGCCTCCCTCTGACATGTGTCTTACATGAGGACTTATTCTCCCTGCTTCTTCCTGATATTCACTACAGTGTGGTGTGATCCTGCCGTGACCCTGCCATGACCCTGCTCTGGATTTCATTTAACCCAGAATTGCTATACTTGAGATACAGTGGACCTGCTTTATTTCAGGTCAACATCATTTTCTTTATACATGTATTATGAAAACAACTGTCCCCACAGCTCCAGGCTCCATGCTGCTGCTGTTCTCACTATACTTCCCTGGTGTCATGACACTTGAATACAAGTCTTATATTATTTCTATTCTGCTTTTAAAAATTCAATTGTTTTCAATATACACTGTTGCATCTTCACATCCTGTCATGTTCAGAAGATTAAAGGCAGCTTATGAAGACACACCAGCTACACAGGATATGTAAAATGAAGGGAGAAGGGAAAAGAGAAGCTCAGGTCAAGACTGAAAACACAGGAGAGGCTAGCAAGATGGTTCAGTGGGTAGAGCAAACGATTCAAAGGTGGAAGGAAAGAAAAGATTCCACAAAGTTGTCCTCTGACCTCCACATGTGTGCCGCCATCTCTCTCTCTCTCTCTCTCTCTCTCTCTCTCTCTCTCTCTCTCACAGACACACACACACAATAATAATAATGATGATGATGGTGATAATAGAGATCAGACCAAGGAAAAAACACCAAAATCATTAAGTGGGAAATGGGGAAAGTTATGAGACATGACTCCAACTGCTTTAAAAATAAATCCGTAAATACAGTAACTCAAGAACACACCAAAATACTAGCCCATAGGTAACTTCTGATACAGTGGCTTTTCATTGAATAGCAAGAATCTTGCTCCGTAGCTTGGGCTGGTCTGGAACTCATCCTAGAGCCCAGGCTGGCCCTGGACTTATGACAATCCTCCTGCTTCAGCCTCCTAAGTGTTGAGATTACAGGTATGAAGCCACATTACCTCGTTAACAGAGATTTTAATACAAGTGATTTTAATTTTCATTCTTTTAATTTACGATAGTCTAAATTTTTAAATCATAAATGTATGTGTGTGTATGATGCACATGTGTCAGTGTGTGTGATTTGTGTGTGTGTGTGTGTGTGTGTGTGTGTATGTGTGATGTGCATGTGTCTGTGTTTGTGTATCTGTGCACAGACTGGCACACATGTGCCATGGTTTGGGTGTGGAGTCTAAGGTCAGCCTGAGGTGCTAGTCTTTGCCTTTTATCTCATCTAAGACAGGGTCTCTTATTTGCCTCTACTTCTGAAAGATAAATAAAAAGAAGTGGTCAATGAGTCACACCCACTAGGTTTTTTTTTTTTTTTTAAGGAAAAGAAGACATGTATTTGAATGAGAGTAGGGGGTATGGTATGTGGAAAGGGTGGAGGAATAAAGTGAAGGGGAGAATAATGTAATTATAATCTCAAAATAATTACAATTAAAATAGGTAAATCATTAGAGAATTCTAGTATATAAGAGGATTCTAAAACCACTCTGTTCTTAGTCCTCTGTGCATTCAATTTACCTATTACAGTCCTAGAAATACCACAATGTACCTAAGTTCTTGAAGTTGCTTCTGTTCAGATGTTTCTTCCCACATTCTTGGTCCTTGTCTTATTTAAGGTTTCTATTGCTCGGAAGAGACACCATGACCATGGCAATTCTTTTTTTTTTTTTTTTTTTTTTTTTACCAGTAGCTTACTCACTCCACATACTACCCACAGATTCCCCCCTCCTCCCACCCCCCACTAGGTTTTTAAAAACCGCAATCTTGCACTTTATGTCAAAAGATAATTGGCCTTTATAAAAATAGACACTCACGGAATTAACTGCATAAGGCTTTACGATGTCGCTTTCTCTTGGTCTACAAGAGGAGCTGATGGATGGAATGGAGAACTTACATCTTGGCTGGAGAGTCCGATCCAGAAGGAGGAGTTGCGCAGGGTGGCGTGCACGGACAGGAAGGCCTGCTGGTATGGGTCTGTGATGCTCACCAGCCGCATGTTCTCCTTCAGACACTCCTTCAGAGCACCGTGCCAAGTCAGAGGCTTCGAGACGATTTTGTACAGGTTATTTAGATATTTTACAGTTTCCGAATTAGTCTCCCAGGGCTGTCCGTCTTCAGTGTCTAGTGTAGAAGAAAACAACCTACCAACAGTTCCTCCCACACACTGTGCTACGTCGTAGAGGTCTGTTGGATTTCCAGATTTCATTTTAGTTTACCTCAGACATCACTTGCCTATGTACTTCAGAATTCTGTTGAGAGGTTAAGCTATATCTTGCTGAATGGCTTGGGTAAAATATATGACTTGCAACTTCCTAAAATCAGGATGTTCTCATTTGGAGAGAGAAAAGCTCCCCATAAAAGTCTCCTGCAATAAGATTATCACGCCTCCTTTGTGTTAACTGCTTTGCCAGGAAAGGTATTTAAAAGTCTCCCCTTACAACATCTAGGTCACCTCCACTGCTCCAAAGGTCAGGGACCCTCTCTAAAGAGGGGACAGAAAGACTGTAAGAGCCAGAGGTTGGGCTGGACTGGAATGAAACAGTGTCTTTGGGACATGGCAGGCCTGCTGTGCTTATAAACTCCCAGTGGCTTGGGTACCTGGAGGAGGCCTGCACAAGAGCAAGCTGGTCCACTGTGAGCACGGACTGGGAAGAGGTTCCCAAGCCTCAACTGAAGACCTCTGAAGAGTTGGTGAGTTCTGTGGAGGACAGCCAGGCTTCTTTAAGAGTGTGGCGCCTGGTAGGTTAACCAGGCTCCAGCTGAGGGCCCACAGCTAGGACTACAGAAGCAGCACAGGCTTGACTCAATGGGCTAAGTAAGAAACAAAACAAAGGACATGGACTTTGGGGAGGGGAGATAAGGATGGCTGTGGAAGGAGTGAGGGGGAGAAATTTGTGTGTGTGTGTGTGTGTGTGTGTGTGTGTGTACAGAACCAAAATGCATTGTATGAAATTCTCAAAGAACCAATAAAACTAATTTTTAAAAGTGTCCCCTTATGGAGGCTAAAATCTTTTTAGATTATGGATTAGCCTATAGAAAAATGTCTGCCGTAAATCAAACAGTGGAGGGGAAGATGAATAGGAATCTCACTTACACAACGTAAGTAAAACATAACTCTCTGAACAGATGAAGATAGGTCTCTTCTGTATCCCAGAATCTAATCAATATTTATATGTACAATTCAGCTCTCATTTGGCTTAAAAGGGCTTATTGGGAAATGTTATAATTTATACTATTTTCTACAGAGAAAATATTTTACTGTTTAAAATAACCCTGGACTTTTAAATTATAACCTATTTTTATGTTAAAAAAAAAGTTAACTTCTTTTTCCCCACTAGATACATCAGCTGATTGAATAAAGTGACATAAAAAAAAAGTGTCCCCTTATAAAGTTCTCAACTGAAAAAACTTTGCAGAGTCACTGTTACTGCCTTAGGGTTGTTATCTGAACAAGGAAGTCATTAGAGAGGGCGGGACAAAGGGGCAAAGATTAATTTAGCAAGAAAAGATTTGCTAAGGAACATGAAATACGTGCTTAAGGTTCTCATTATGTAGCAAGAACTTTCACTTAAATATTTGTTAAAAACTTACCATGGTCAATAAAATAATGTAATATATTTTCAAAAACTAGGTGGTTTCTATTTAATTTTTTTCCTCTTACTTTGTAGCCCTGACTGTCCTGGAACTCACTATGTAAATCAAGGTGGCCTTGAACTTACAGAGATTCATTTGTCTCTGCCTCTCAAGTGCTGGGACTGGAGGAGTATGCCACCTCATCCAGCGTGGGTGGTTTCTACTTTTGAAGTACATATTTTACCTTATTTTTACTATGGGAAGACACAGACAGCTTTACATAGTGTTTCCTCTAATTTCTGTAAGCTAAAATTAACAGTAAGTGTTTGTACAGTACTGAACTTTTCCTCAGATAAAAACTAAAACCTGCGAAGTATCTGGGTAGAAAGAACATTCAACCATAGCTTACTAGAATATTGAGCTATGACTTTCATTAGACAATTATTAACATGTGCCACCATAGATTTAATTTTATATTTAACTGTGGTAATAATACTTGAAAAAAATCACAGTCTATAAGAGATAATCGGCCTCACTGTGTCAATATGAACTTGTCTATGCTAAAAATGTAAGCTACATAACTACCAAACATATGAATTCACTTGTAAGACTTTAACAAGGAACCATAACAGCATATATCTAACAGCATAAAGCACAGCAGACATCTCGGTGACAGTTAATACCTGAGTACTTCTGACAGAGAGACAGAGAATGGCGTTCGGAGCAGGAAGTAAAATTCCAGGTCCCAGTAAGCGGTGACTTTTTGAGATTGAGAATCAGGGCACAGTGGTAGTGAGACTCTTCATCAAAGAACTAAAAAGAAAATATTAGCACAGTTATGGGGCTAATAGTCTGAAGATCCTTGCAAGAAAATTTTGGATCTTAAATTGGTGTTTTTTCTTCCCCCTACAAACCAACAAATGAACCGAAGCCAAAACCAAACCAACTCTTGAGAGAACTTAGCAGGAACTTTCTAAAGAACAAAACAACAGTAATAACAAAGCCACAATGTTGTGGGATATTCCTTTACACTGTGTGAAGATGTGTCACTGTGGCTGGGTTAATAAAAAGCTAAGCAGCCAATAGCTAGGCAGGATTTTTGGGACACAGAGAACATTGGGAAGAAGAAGGGCTGAGATGCCAGGAGTCACCAGCCAGATGCAGAACAAGTAGGACACACAAAATTAGATAGAGGTAAAAGCCACGTGGTAGGACATAGATTAAAAGATATGGTATGGGTTAATTTAAGTTATAAGAACTAGTTAGAAACAAGCCTAAGCTATCGACCGAGCATTTATAATTAATAGTAGTCTCCATGTCGTGATTTGGGAGCTGGCAGGAGGGACAGAAAAATCCACCTACACCATGACAAATATTCAAGGCATATAAAAGGCAATTACCTTTAGAAATTAAAAAAGTGTTAACATAGACAAGCATATTTTCAAACAAAGAAAGCCTCTTAGAAATAAGACAAAAATGACTACAGGAATTCTAAACTAACTGGTCAGTCTTGATAATCCAAGTCAGCAAAATCGATTGATTAAATTTAATAGATGTGGATAGTTTTTTAAAAATGTGTACATGTTTGGGTGAGCATGTACATGTACATGAGCATGTGTGTGGGTGCATGTGCACAGGTGTTTGGGGTTGGCACCTGGATCCCTCATGGTGGAGAGAGAAAGCCAACTCCTACAAGCTGTCCTCTGATATCCACACATGTGCAGTGGCATGAACCCACACACAAACATACACAAAATCAATAAACATACACAAAAAAAAACAAAGAAAAACAGGCTTATGCCACCAGGAGTGACAGATTTAAAAATTGAATTACTATGTAAATATTAAACTAAAATAGAAATAAGGATATTATAGAAAATAATGAGATATCCAAAAGGGGATATGATTAAAACTGATACAGAGAGAATATATATTATTAAATTCATTTGAAAAGGGAAAAATAAGTGAACACTTCAGTGTGAGAGGCAGGATCATTCCAGGAAAAACAGAATAGGAAATGTAGACGTACTATTAATAACACAAGGGAGGGACTTGACGAGAGTTGGAACCGACAATGCAAAGGACCAAGGATATGCATCTGATTTTGTTTTACACAAACTAAGGCCTGGGGAATTGAAAAACAAATGAACGGTGCACATCTTTATTCTGATACATTTTGGGTGTTAGTGACATAGACAACTTTCTTTAGTCAAAAGGAACCACCAAGTCCCTAAATGTACTAGGAAGTTGGGAGAATATTGGTAATTTACCCTGGTGGATATTGAAAAATACCTATGTGTACTGGACTAAAACTTGAAATATGACTCTCATCCAATCATTAGAGGGTCGGTATAGACCTTCTAACAGCACCGAACTTGAGTGGAGTCAATTTTACAAAGCTCTAAATGAGCTTCCAAAGGCATCATAAACCCAGGCTGGGTCCTCACCTACACCAAGTCCCTTTATCATTAAAGAGGATTCTAGCATGCTGTCCATAGTTCCTTCATTAGCACAGGTGGGGTCATAATTCCAGAACACAGACAAGACAGAAAGCTACATGGTTCATTTTGTGATGGGAGCCTGATGGTAAGAAAAGCTTAAAAAATCAACTGGGTGAACAGAGATGAAAACATCCTCAAACAAACGATAGCTAACCCAAGCCCATGCAACAGAAAAAATAAAAATCTACTCAGAACAAGTAGGTCTGGTGCCTGAAACACAATCTTTTCACACATTTTACCATCTGCCGGTCAGTCTAGTGGGAAAAACTATGTGATTTTTTGCAGATGACGGAAATGAGACTTAGAATCTAATGCTTCTTCCTATTAAAAATATGAAATACACCTGTAACAGAATGCTACATCTCAGAGTTATCAGATAATAAGCAACAAAAGCTTGTAGAGAGGTCTGCTAACCTCCAGATCAAGTCTAGGGTGGTGGCGACCACTCCCTTTGGGTTCTCAGTTTCTGGAAGTCCTGGCAGGTGTGGTGAAGCCAGAGGTGAGAGGAGTGGCCATAGTGACTATAGGGTCACAGTTTTATGCAGATTATAAATGACCTAATTAGAATCCCCAGAAGACCTACTGACAAAATCTTGAGATGCAGTTAAGAAATTTAGTGGGATGGATGCTGTGCCGGCTAATTTTCACTGTGAACTGAATCCACTGTGAGTGGATTTAGAATTGCCTATATAAAGCTGTCGAGGTGGCCAGGCGGTGGTGGCGTACACCTTTAATCCCAACACATGGGAGGCAGAAGCAGGTGGATCTCTGTGAATTTCAGGCCAGCCTGATCTACAGAGTGAGTTCCAGGACAGCCAGGGCCACACACAGAGAAACCTGTCTGGGAAAACAAAAGGAAACAAAAGACTGAAGAGGCACCTCCCTGGGAGTGTCTGTGAGGACTCTTTCATGGAGGACAGCCTGAAGGAGAAACACTCCCTCTGAGTGTGGGCGATGTCATCTCATGGCAGAGGAACCACACCTTATAAAAGGGGGTGGTAGGAGTGTAAAGAAAAGTGGAGGGCAGTGAGCTAGAGACCAGCAGCCTCTGCTCCCTGCCCGGTACAATGTGAATTACTCTGTGGCCCTGTGTCCTCCATCACCATGGACAGAAACCTCCTGGAACCACAGTTCACAATAGAGCTTCCTCCCTGAAGTGTTCAGGCACTGTGGTTACCTTGACCCAAAAGTAACTGATACAGATGCCTATGGGGGGGGGAAAAATCACACAAAAGTCCTCAGGCAACAGCTTTCTAAACATCTGTAAGACAATCAAGAGAAAAAAGCCCGTCTCAGTGGTTTAAAAGGGAGCTAGAATTATATAAAATTTCACAGTGACCTAAAGGAAGATGGGTAAATGATGAGATGCTGTATACCACATTTCCAAACCAGGTGTTGGACAAGTGTCTTATTTCCCCTAAAATCTAGTCAAAATCTCATCAGGAATTTCACTGTTGTGGCAATTGCAAGGTGTCTGTGTAACTACTGTCAATATGGTGCCCTTTTCCCCTCCCCAATTTCCCATTAATGTGAACATCAACCAGGAATTAAATCTATGGCATCCTCACATGAAAGAGAAATGATCAGCAATCACTGTTTGGTCTTTTCATCTTGAGAGACTGAGGTGGAGTGCTCACATTCCCCACATTTGGTAAAACATTTACATTGGTTTCTGGATAGTTACAAGGTTGTGAAGTACTTGCTAGGAGTCTGTGCTACTGTGAAAACCAGGCCACCCACCTGAAGGCTGTGGTTCTCACAGCTTTACTGAGCTGCAGTCCACCTGTTTAACATGTGTAGTCAATAGTGCAGAGTGTATGTGCAGAATTGTGTAACCGTCATCTCAATCAGTGGTAGATGATTGCTTTTCTGAAAAGGAGCCTCCCACCCCACAGCATCGCCCTTCCAACCTCCTCGGCCTTTGGAAACCACTCTTTCTTTACTCCATCTTTCTTAATTTGCCTGTTTGGATCATGTCATAGAAATGGAACTAAGCAATAGGTTATTCCTTTATTATTATTATTAAAAATGTTTTGGGACAGGGTTTCACATATCTCAGACTAGTCTCAAACTTACTATGTAGATGAGGGTAACTGAACTTCGGACCCTCCTGCCTCTATCTGCCAGTTGCTAGGATTACAGGCACATGCCACGCTGGCTGGTTTGTGTGGTCCTGGGGATCCAATCCAGGGATTTGTGCACGCCTGGCAAGCACTCTACCAACTGAGTTATACCCGGGTCCCTGGGCTATTGTTCCTGATTTAGTGATTTATGGGAGACTCAAGTATTTCCCGCACTAAATAGATGATTGAAATATAACTCACATTTGCTGGTATACTCAGCCTCCGACCAACCAGCAACGGGTGAAAATTACTGTAGGTCAGGTCTCTGCCATCTGTCCATTTGTTTATTCTATCATAGGCACTCCAGCGCAGACCAATCCACAAACTAGTTTGCATTTCCGGAAGCAAGGATGTAATAAAATCTGTTCAAACGAATTTTTTGGAAAAGTAGTTAGGGCCGGAGAGGTAGAAAGCTGAGCTGGATTTTCAGACCCCGCATGGTGGGAAGGGGGAACAGGCTCCTTCCTGAATGTTGTTCTCTGACCTTCACATGCATGGGGATGAGCGCGTGCACACACACACACACACACACACCGCATATACACCACACACACACACACCACACACACACCAGACATACACACACACACACACACACACACACACCGCATATACACCACACACACACACAGCACACACACACCAGACACACACACACACACACACACACACACACACACACACACACACACGCATATACACCACACACACACACACACACACTGCATATACACCACACACACACCACACACACACCAGACACACACACACACACACACACACACACACACCGCATATACACCACACACACACACACACCACACACACACCAGACATACACACACACACACACACACACACACTGCATATACACCACACACACACCACACACACACCAGACATACACACACACACACACACACACACACACACCGCATATACACCACACACACACCAGACATACACACACACACACACACACACACACACACACACACACTGCATATACACCACACACACACACACACACACACACACACACACACTGCATATACACCACACACACACCACACACACACCAGACATACACACACACACACACACACACACACACCGCATATACACCACACACACACACACCACACACACACCAGACATACACACACACACACACACACACACACACCGCATATACACCACACACACACACACACACACACACACACACACACACTGCATATACACCACACACACACCACACACACACCAGACATACACACACACACACACACACACCGCATATACACCACACACACACCAGACATACACACACACACACACACACCGCATATACACCACACACACACACACCACACACACACCAGACATACACACATACACACACACACACACACACCGCATATACACCACACACACACACACCACACACACACCAGACATACACACACACACACACACACACACACCGCATATACACCACACACACACACACACACACACACTGCATATACACCACACACACACCACACACACACCAGACATACACCCACACACACACACACACACACCGCATATACACCACACACACACCACACACACACCAGACATACACATATCCCCACACACACACCACACACACACCACACACACACCAGCATACACATATCCCCACACATACATCAGACACACACATATCCCCACACATACATCAGACACACACATATCCCCACACATACATCAGACACACACATATCCCCACACATACATCAGACACACACACAGATCTCACACACACACACACACACACACACACACACACACACACACACACACACACACCCCACATAAATAAAACACAAAAACAGTAGAAAAGCTTTTGGATTATCTATCAAGATAGCCTTTTACCTTTTCTATGGAAAAAGAGTTTAATTATATGATTTTATTTTAATTCCCCACAGCCTCCTAAAACTAACTTGGCTCCCAACTCATACTAAAACAAGGTTCTCAGCATGCAGCACTTGCTCAGCTGTGCTGAGGCCCTGTGTTTGATCCCCAGCATTCCAACAAACAAACAAACCCCGCTTTCCCAGCCATCCTGGGAAATCCTGGTACCTTGTTCACTCTTGCTCAGCACTGAAGGCAGGGTGCCACCATAGGTCAGGCAAGTGCTATTTGCTTGAGAAAATGTAACGGGCTGCTCGGAGTTGATCTTCAAAAAGCACTGTAAACAAGGGACACAAGAAAACCACACAAACAGAAAATGCCTCCCTCACCTTTTAGAGCATTGCTAGCAGTCTGTGAGATATGGAAATTAACAAGCACTATCACATGATTTCAAATTGATACTTTTAATATAAACATGTGATGAACAATCCTCGAGCTATTACGTGTATTTTTAAAGTGTCTCATTACTGTGCGTGTCTGACTTGCTCTGCAGTTTTTGTACTCAGTTACCCATCTCATGATCTCATTTAATTCCCAGAACAAAGGAGGAAACTGAGGCAGGGCAAAATGAAGCAACTTGACCCATAAGCAAAGTAATTACCCAGTGGTAAAATGGGCATTCCGATTCTATTCCATCTGACATCAAAACCTGGGCTCTTAGTCAGCACCCCTGATATTAAACACATCTCTTTTCTTCTGGGTACAACTTTATTTATTTATTTATTTATTTATTTATTTATTTATTTATTTATTTATTTATCTATCTATCTATCTATCTATCTACCACTGAGCTAAATCCCCAACCCTATTTTTCTAATTAATTAATTAATTTCTTAATTTGTGGTTTTTCGAGACAAGGTTTTCTCTGTGTAACAGGACTGGCTGGCCTCGAACTCACAGAGATCTGCCCGCCTCTGCCTCCGGAGTGCTGGGATTAAAGGTGTGCGCCACCACCGCCCGGCTTGGGTACGACATATTATCACTATGCAAATTAACACAGTTCCAGCTCCTTCTCGAAACTGAAAAGATTGTCCTATTTTTTTTTTCTTTCAATCTAAACTGTGGCTGGGAGCATAGCTCAGAGAGAGCGACGCTGCCGACTGCCCCTCCCCCAACCAATCCAGAAGTCAAAATGGTCCCAGCTTCGCTACAGGCTGTCAAATGCATCTCTTCCTTTCTCTGTGATGATGAACAGTTTAGGGTGGAGTAGTTTGTCTCAAATAGTGTTCCCTGAATCATTGTACAATTTTCTTCAGCCTTCTTAGAGACTGGGTAGTTCAATGAAGCTGAGCCACAAAGTCACTGGTTGATTTCCAGAAACGGTCCCAGAAGGACCATGCTGAACTCCAACAGAGAAATCCAGCGTTGAAGACGGCGGAGCAGAAACAAGGACCTTGCTGCCACTGATGACTTTGTGGGGATTTTACATCAGCCTAGCCTGCACCCCTTTAAACTTCTTTTAAGTGAGAGGAAAAAAAATGTGTTAACATCCAGTGACCATTTCTTCCTAGCAACCCAATAATCCTGTAGATAAATATAGCAGTGTGGCGCATACATCCCAAAGAGGCAGGCACAGAACTCACCATTCCCGGACCCTACTTCATCCCTGAACTCTCAGGTGGGCAAAATCAAAGAGAAGTATTTTGTAGCACGTGTGTGGTCTGTGACCTAAGTTGATTGACGATGCTACCTGGATTTTCTCCCTTAGGGGGAAATGAGTCAGTTTCCTCAGGGAGTGGGATTAGCTGTGACTAGTCGGCGGATGGTGACCCATTGGCAGATCAACTTAAGCAACTTGGTGTTGGGAATAATAGAATACAAAGACCTGTAGGCATCACTAAATTTAGAGATGAATTTGGTACCGCCCGTGTTCCTGGTGACAGAGGCCCTCTCAGAGAGGTGTCTGATCGGGCTGCCTTTCTACCACAGGCCATCCAAGCAGCATGAAAGCAATCACCGTTTGCACAGGGCGGCAACTCTCTTTTTACCTTGTTCCGAAAAGGAATCCATTTCCCGGTGCACTGTACTTTAGCTGCAGAATCTGGACTGTATTTCTCTAATGAAGATACATTATATTTTTCACAGACGAATGGCAACTTTTCGTTACAGTCTGCTCGTTTACTTAAGTCTGAAAAAGGAGAGCCGGAATTGCGAAGATGAGAATTTTTCACTCAGTGCATTTTAAGAACTGCTAATAAACATGGGCTCCTATTTTATCATACGGTTTTTGGTGCTAGGCATGGTCTGAAGTCTACCCTCAGCCCCAAGAGAGGCTCTTCCAAGCAGTAATTCCTGATTATTTTCAGTCTTTACTACTCATTTCTGTCTCTACTATATTCGTATCAAGAGGTTATAGGACAGTGATATTGCCCGTAAAAATTGCGCACTTGGTAAAGCAACCACACCATCCAAAGAATGATGGCACGAAACAGGAAGAGAGCTGGCAGGGAAATCTATTAAGGCGGCAGGCCCCTGCCGCTCACCTTTGCAAATCCATCTATCTGCTTACCAGTTCTGAAAGTGCTGAGCTTAGTCTGAAGTAATTGCTTGAGGATAAACAGAGCCGAAAATGCTCACCTTGGGAAGGGGCTTTTATTTGGAATTTGAGCTACTGTCATCAGTGGTAAATTAAGAAGAACCCACTGAACATTCAATTGAAAGCAAGACAGATTAAGGCGGTCACTGAATTTGAAGTTCACATATTACATGGTCAACACCGCAGCATCAGAACAAACCTTACCAAGAAGCCACATCTTGGCTGACATGTACAAGCATTCATCTCCAAGTGGGATGGAAAATCGGTGCCACGAGAATCGTGATCTGAAAGAAAGATGAGATGTGACAACTCCCTATGTAATTGCATGTCCTATCCAGTTTCTTTACTCTAAATTATCTGAATTGTCAATTTGATGTTAACATTATTTTTATACCACTTTTTGATACCAACATGCAAAGGAACTCGGTTTCTCAAACTTATGGATTCATGTTGAAGACTGTTTAGAAGTAGCAATCCACTTGCCCAGGGCAATCAGGACTGCTTCTTCTGTGATAAATTGATGGAATTGGTATCTAAGGTGTTACATACCTCGGGAAGTAATGATCCATTGGATCCGAGCTTGTCTTCACCCACCACCTCTGTTCTTCACCAGATATCTGAAAATAAACCGCATACCCATCCTGACATGTGCTGGAGACTGTAGATTTAAATATTCTGTTTTATTGTAACCACGAATCATGAAAATCTCCAAACACTCCGTTACTTGGTTTCAAAAAACTATATATACCAAGACCTTCCATCAAAAATAATTGGACCTGGCCGGGCGGTGGTGGCGCACGCCTTTAATCCCAGCACTCGGGAGGCAGAGCCAGGCGGATCTCTGTGAGTTCGAGGCCAGCCTGGACTACCAAGTGAGTTCCAGGAAAGGCGCAAAGCTACACAGAGAAACCCTGTCTCGAAAAACCAAAAAAAAAAAAAAAAAAAAAAAAAAAAAAAAAAAAAAAAAAAAATTGGACCTATCTTATTTTATATAGTCATAGGTTCTACTTGGATATAGAAAATGATTACTGTAATCATAGCCATATATATGTGGCTATATAATTGGGCATATAGTGTCTTCTATGGTTAATTATAAATTTTTAAAAACACTAGTTTCCCCTCCCAAAAGCTATTTTGCAATTTAATTTATTTTTTAATTTAATTTTTTACTAGTAGAAACAGAAAATTAACTATAAAGTTAAAAAAATGATAAAGAATAAGGATTATTCAACAAGCAGGGCTCATAGGGGCTCATGGAGACTGAACTGACAATCCGGGAGCCTGTATGGGTCTGACCTATGTCCTCTGCACGTACGTTATGGGTGTGTAGCTTGGTGATCTGTAGGACACCTAGCAGAGGGAGCAGGGCCTGCCTCTGACTCTTTTGCCTACTTTTGGGACCCTTTCCTCCTACTGGGCTGCCTCATCCAGCCTTACTATAAGGGGAGGAGCCTCATCTTATTGCAACTTGATCTGCCGTATTTGGTTGATGTCCCTGGGAAGCCTGTCCTTTTCCCAAGGGAAATGGAGGAGGAATGGATCTGGGGAGATGGGAGGTGGGAAAGACTGGGAGGAGAGAAGGAAGGGGAAACTGCGGTCAGGATGAAATATATGAGAGAATAAAACAAATAAATAAAAAAGAATAAGTATTATTCTTTTTTACATTCTCTACTGATAAGTATCTACCAAGTTGATATTTACTATCAGTTATGTGTATTTTAATAATTAAGCCTTTAATTGTCTTTAGCCTTCTTGGCATGAACCAATGGTGTTTGGAGGCTGGGAAGCAAATCATATTTTGTATGAGCATCCCCCTCCATTCTTCCCCCCTCCCTTCTCCTCTCTCCCCAACCCCTTCTCTGTCTGTCTTCCTATGTAGTTTAGACAGGTATGGCCTCAAATTCACAATTTTCCTGTCCCAGCCTTCCAAGTGCTGAGATGATAGACATATATTACCATGCATGGCTAAGATTTGGATTTTATAGACTTCAGAAATATTTCAGTGAAATAAATGTAAATATAAGAAATGAAAATGCATTTGATGGGCTGGAGAGATGGCTCAGAGGTAATGAGCACTGGCTGCTCCTCTAAAGGATCCAGGTTCAATTCCCAGCACCTACATTGGAGCTCACCACCAACTGTACCTACATATCTAGGGGATGCCCTCTTCTGGGCACTGCCTGAACATGGAACAGACAAGCACTCATACACATAAAATAAAAATAAATAAAATCTCAAAAATGCATTCGTTTCAATTACATTTGCTATTTTGTTTTTGATGGCTTTCAGTTCTGTAAAAGATGTTATCGTGGCAAGAAAGCTGTGATTGCTGGCACAGTACAGGACGGCTTCTTCGTAGTTTAAGTGGGGATCGTCAACAAACCAGTATTCGCTTCCTTCAATTATGACTGGGGGCCCATGAATTCCAGTGCGCTCTAAAGAAGAAAACAGAGTTATAACCGTGATGATCAAACAGTACGGCTAAGCACAGGGGGTGTTCAAATCGGATCATACATACTAACCACTGCCATTTAGATAAGTGTCCCTCAGAGGCCTGCTGGCCCCCAGGCCAAGATTCTATTGGCAGGTAGAAGGATAAGAGGCAAGGCCTAGAAGGAAGTCTGGTTATACCGAAGTGTGTCTTCTAAGGGGGCACTGTGACCCTGGTACCTCCCTTTTCTCTTTCACTGTCCAGCCTCCATGAACAGCTTATTACGTCACCTACTCCCTGACACAGGACATCCTGTCAGGCCAAGATGCGGCAGGCTCCCAGCTGAAACTTCAAAGTTGTGAGACAGAGGAGCCTTTTCTTTCTTTCTTTTTCTCTTTCTCTCTTTCTTTCTTATTTAAGAAAATTTTTTATTCAATTTACATACCAACCACAGTCTTGTCTTTAAAACTGTCATTATCAATTTTCTAAGAAAGCGCCATATTGATTTCCAAAGTGGTTGTACAAGCTTGCATTCCCACCAGCAGTGGAGGAGAGTTCCCCTAGCTCCACATCCTCTCCAGCATAAGGTGTCTTCAGTGTTTTTGATCTTAGCCATTCTGACAGGCGTAAGGTGGTATCTCAGAGTTGTTTTGATTTGCATTTCCCTGATGATTAGGGATGATGAGCAATTCCTTAAATGTCTTTCGGCCATTTGAGTTTCCTCTGTTGAGAATTCTCTGTTTAGTTCTATAGCCCATTTCTTAATTGGACTGTTGGGCATTTTGATGTCTAATTTCTTGAGTTCCTTATATATTCTGGATATCAGTCCTCTGTCAGATGTGGGGTTGGTGAAGATCTTTTCCCATTCTGTAGGCTGTCGATTTGCCTTGTTGACCGTATCCTTTGCTCTACAAAAGCTTCTCAGTTTCAAAAGGTCCCATTGATTGATTGTTTCTCTCAGAGTCTGTGCTACTGGTGTTCTATTTAGGAAGTAGTCTCCAATGCCAATGCGTTCAAGACTACTTCCTACTTTCTCTTCTAGCAGGTTCAGAGTAGATCCAGCTATACCACTCTTGGGCATATACCCAAGAAATGCTCAACCACACCATAAGAGCACTTGTTCAGCTATGTTCATATCAGCATTGTTTGTAATAGCCAGAACATGGAAACAACCCAGATGCCCTTCAACTGAAGAATGGATAAACAAAATGTGGTACATATACACAATGGAATACTACTCAGCAGAAAAAAACAATGGCATCATGAGGTTTGTAGACAAATGGATGGATCTAGAAAAAATCATCCTGAGTGAGGTAACCCAGACTCAGAAAGACAAACATGGTATGTACTCACTCATAGCAGGATACTAGACATGAAACAAGGATGAATTGTCTGCTACTCACATCACCAGGGAGGCTACCCGGAAAACAGGACCCCAAGAAAGACACAGGGATTGCCCAATGACAGAGAAATGGAATGAGATCTACATGAACAGCCTGGACATGAGTGGGGGTAATGAAAGGCGAGGGTCGAGGGAAAGAGAGCTTGGGGGAGCGGGAGATCCCAGCTGGATCAACAACAGAGAGGGAGAACAAGGAATAGGAGACCATGGTAAATGAAGACCACATGAGAACAGGAAGAAGCAAAGTGCTAGAGAGGCCCACAGAAATCCACAAAGATACCCACACAACAGACTGCCGGCAATGGTCGAGAGACAGCCCGAACTGACCTACTCTGGTGATGGGATGGCCAAACACCCTAATTGTTGTGCTAGAAACCTCATCCAACTACTGAGGGATCTGGATGCAGAGATCCATGACTAGGCCCTGGGTGGATCTCTGGGAGTCCAATTAACGAGAATGAGGAGGGTTTATATGAGCGAGAATTGTTGAGACCAAGGTTGGATAAAGCACAGGGACAAATAGCCAAATGAATGGAAACACATGAACTATGAACCAATGGCTGAGGGGTCCACACTGGATCAGGCCCTCTGAATGGGTGAGACAGTTGATTGGCTTGATCTGTTTGGGAGGCATCCAGGCAGTGGGACCAGATCTTGTGCTCATTGCATGAGTTGGCTGTTTGAAACCTGGGGCCTATGCAGGATTGTTTGGCTCGGCCTGGGAGGAGGGGACTAGACCTACCTGGACTGAGTCTACCAGGTTGACCTCAGTCTGTGGGGAAGGCTTTGCCCTGGAGGAGATGGGAATGGGGGGGGGCATTGGGGGGAAGGTGAGGGGGACGGGAGGGGGGAGAACAAGGGAATCCGTGACCGATATGTAGAACTGAATTGTATTGCAAAATAAATTAAAATAAATTCAAAAAAAAAAAAAAAACTGTCATTATCTCAGTTAATTTAACACCGTAACCCACTAAGATTCTGGCTGTCTGCCCTGAGGAAGCACTGTTCGTAACACAACAAGGACTTCTGAACCAGTGGCTGGACTTTCCTGTGCCCACAGAGAAGGAAACTCCATCTCGGCTTCCTCATCCCACACCATCCACGTACCTCTGCTGCCTGCAGACATTTCACTTGAGGATATGAGAAGAAGTTAGCAATTACCAACAAACTACATGCATGATCACAAAGAGGTCGGAGTAGCTTTGGCTCAACTCTGGCGCTCAGCTTACCTGGATTGTACCAGTCTGGTGTTTGGGGAGTGCTACCTGTATAAGGAAGAGAGCAAAGGCTTAGGATTAGTGCTGGCTTACAAAGCACGCATCCTGGAAATGGAGCCAGAAGGTGATAGGAGGCCTTGTGGGGGCCTGTTCCTTTTGGAATGTCGAGTTAGGCATTTCTGAATGTAATATTTCAGTGTTTATACTAATGCTTGCTTTAGTCCTGATCTTTTGAAAAGGCAGACCTATTAAATATTGCTAGTGGTCTAGCACTGAGTATGTAGTTCAATGGTAAAGCACTTGTCTAGTATGTGCAAGGCCATGGGTTCGATCCCCATTGTAAGAACAGAAAGAAAGACTTACTAGCTGTCTTTTAGGAAGTCTTTTGTATTAAGAAAGTCACAAAGAACATATGGCCAGCAATTAGAAACTATAAATAAAATAGCAAATGATGATTCTGTAGCCATTACACAATGCACCAAGGGATGCACAGCGAGGATCAGCACTGTTCTAATGGAATCTGAGTATCCAGTCTGTAAGCGTGGGGTGGATTCTTACCAGTTCCCAAGATGGTATTGGAAAAAATAGACAATAGAGTAGTAAGTGACTCTTTTAAGAAGATTAAGCAAGGCTGAGGAAAATAAGAAAGTCACTCAGGATTCTGGAATGGAAACAGGAAATACAGCAAGCTCTATAGAATTCTGGGCTTTGGGACTGGGTGGGCCAGTATCCAGATGCCCGCACACACATCTCCTTTGCAAGGCTCTGGATGAGATGGCTGACTCCATGAGCTTCCAGTTCCCACTCTGTAAGAGTGCCTCTACTCACAAAGGCCGGGAAGATCACACCATTATGCCTAAGAGGCACCTGGACAATGGCCCTCACAGGACTCCAATGGTTTCCCACATCATTTTCCTATCAGCTGCAGCCACACTGATTTCAAATAAATACATAATTTGCTTAACCTTAGAAATTATAGGGTAAATTCACTGAGCCTCATTTCTTGTGGTCATGAAATTCATGTGGTCATGAAATACCAAAGCATCAGTAGCCCCTCCTCAGAGACTGCCTACACATCAAATGTGTTTAGTGTTTCTCTCTGAGACAGCACTCTTCATTTTGGATAATTTTCACCGATAGGGCTGTAAGACAGGTAAAACTGTACATGGCTTCTTGTTTATAATCTTGTCAAAGACAGGGTGTCATTACGTAGTCCAGGGTGACATCCAAGTCTGGCAATCTTGTCTCAGCTGCTGAGTGCTGGAGTCTACAAGTGTATACCACTATGCCTTATCTCCTCCCTCCCTCCCTCCCTCCCTCCCTCCCTCCCTCCCTCCCTCCCTCCCTCCCTCCCTCCCTCCCTCCCTTTCTCTCTCTCTCTCTGTCATTGCAGGCTCTACTGTCATTTTAACTGGTTTCTTGAATTTGAATTTACATAAAAATATTAGCATCTTGGAGTTGACTGAAAATTGCTTCTAAATTTCACAAGAATCTGCCAAATTTTGATTTCCTCATTCTTGCGTCATTCTTCCCAGAGCACCTTCTAGCCCAGTGTTTGCAGGGTTGAAGCTGAGAAAAGCAGGAACTACCACTTGCCTTTTGGAATCTGACACACCCAGTCAAGCTTTGCATCACAAGCAAAAGGCTTCAAATAAGCAAATTCTCTGTCATCGAAGAAATACCAGCTTCTTCGCCAAGGATGGTCATATACCTGAAGGAGGGAGAGGATGGCAGAATATTCTGAAACTGTTGCAGCTCTTTGCAAACACTGTAAGCTATGGCCTCCATCTCTACTTTAGTTCTAGCACCTACCATACTTGCAAAATGAACAGATGAAGGAATGGAATGTCTAAACAGTAACAGCTTGGGCGAGCGTGACAAAGGAAACAAAGTTGTGTTTATGTCCAAAATGCTAATTGTTGTCTTTTTTTGTTGTTGTTGACATGAAACTTTAGACTTTTTTTCCATTTCTTTTAGAACTATAGTAAAAACTTTTCCTTGGATGTGTTCGTTATACTGTGTTGCAGAAGTTCTTTTTTTTATGCTAGCATATATTTTATATGCTCTTATATATTATATGCTGAGCATCTTGTACTTTTCAAGTTTGAGAAAGACTAAATAGAAACAGGTATTTATTTTGATGGTGTCTAAGCCAGTCTATAACAGAGCAGGTCAGAAAGTGACAGGGACTCCTGGGCCCAGCAGCCCCGGCCCTGGCTGTGCTGTTGCTGTACCACTTCCAGGATGCGCGACCCATTTACGCTCATGGTTCAGGGTTGGAATGTTGACGGCCTGAGCTGGGAGAACCTCCATCACTTTATGATTCTTTTTCTCTTAAGGCCAGATTTATGGGTAGTGTGGTGGGAGAGGCGTGCATCTCTGGACGGGAGAACACGGCCCTGGATGGGTCTCTCCCTGGTGCTGGTTGTATTGGCACCCCTTCTATCATTTACTTTGTTTTTGGTGGGGTTAAAATCTCTTCCTATGTGGAGGTCTCTGTACCTTTCAAATACAGTTCATTGCATCAGTTTTCTAGACAATTCTGAAAACTACATCAGCTTCTCTGAGGGTTTTACTTGCTCTGAGCTGTAAATCCCATAAAATGAACCAATGCTGTGACGCTGACCACGAAAAGAGTTACTTTGAGGATGGCGTTCTTTCCATTTTTAATTGCACCCACCTTACTTTTCTGACCCTTCTTGGGTTATGGAGCGAAGGTGCTACACGCAGTCTCCTCAGCCCTTGCTTTCTTTCTGTGTTTTCCTCAAAACTACTTCTGAGTCTTTTGCTTTTGGAAACATTCGATTCCCTGCTTCGCTTCTATTCCCTAGATTTCAGCTTACTGTAAGGTATGTCTTATACCTATTCTGTATTTAACCACAATGTATCATATCCTGAGGAAGACAGCATATGCCTGTTTCTAGGAGAGGCTTGTCCCATAGTGCAGGGAGCAGAGAAAGCCATGAGTGAGTGAAGTCCAGAGGGAGGGCGTGCTGTTGACATGTGCACAGTCATGTTAAGGACCCCAAAGCCTTCCCTGGGGAATATGAGTGTAGATGCAGAAAATATCAATCATAGCTTTCTCCCCCGGAAATGTATAGCCTGAGGACTACTTGCCTACAGAGACTGCTCCTACTGAGCTTAGCTGAGACTGTCTCTTTGATCAGCTGCATGCAATAACACCGCCTCTCAGGTGAACTCTATATAGTAAACATGGCGAACTCCCAGGGTGCTGTGCTGTCTCCAGCAGAGACCCCAGTTCTCCCGATGTTGGCTTTCCTGTCTGTGTATCTGTCTTTTCTTCATTCCTTCATCACCCTGGTCAGGTCCAGCCCTGGGGATGTGCTAGGACATGGCAAAATAGTACAGTGGTGAAATATCCTGGAACCAGACACATGTGGGTTTAGGTGTTATTCTGACACATCTAAGTTGAAATTTCTTTCTCAACTTGATGATTATGGTAATGGCACCTATGTCACAGTTTGTATACATATTAAGTGAAATAATGTGTGCAACATGCCTACCTCAGTGCCTGGCTCATAAAGAATCTATAACTCTTCGATACCACCATCATGACAGTGCTCTACCATTTTTATTCTCACAATTACCACCTCATTGCATATACCTTCTCTTTTGCCTATTGGAGCCCTTACCCAATAGTACCCCAGCTTATTTAATTGTCCATCTACTGCTGTGCTCTTGTGAAGAGCCCTGTCATTGATATCTTCTAGGGCCTTTATGTACCTCCCAGATACCTCACTTATAAAATGGATAAACAAATGGATTCTGTACAAGATTCCAAATGTGTCCGTGGTATTTTCCAATCCTAATTGCTGTATCTTGAAATAGATCTCAAGATAAATTTTCCTCACATTCTTGGCTTCCTGTTCACATTCACAATCTTGGTTCATGTTGCCCTTTCTCAGTTTAAAAAACATCCTGTTCCCTATCCAAAACAAACAAACAAAACCACCAAGAGTTCAAGCACCTGAACCAGACAGCAACCTAATTTCCCAACATTGTTTTTTAAAATTAAAAAAGTTAATTATATGCAGGTGAGGGTTCTGCTTGCATGTGTTTGTACACCACGGGAGTGCTTGGTGCCTGTGGAGGTCAGAAGAGGGCAGAGGATGCCCTGGAACTGGAGTTAGGGTGGTTGTCAGCCATCATGGGAAACTCAGGTCCCCTGGAAGAGCAGTCAGTACTCTGAACTACTGAGCCATCTCCCCATTCCTGAAGTACTGTTTTTAATGTAGAACCAAATAAAAGTCCTGGATACATCCTGTTCTCCTCACTGCTGGTCACCAGACTTCCTCTTGTACTTCCTGCAATTGCCCATTAGAAAGCCTGATCCTACTGCACCTGCACAAACTCTATCCATCCTTAGAGACCAAGGTCAAGTCCCAACTCTTTCTGGACAGGTCTTAGAGATCACTTCCTTTTTCCTTGGCTACCTTCAGCCTCCTCTTTTGAAGCATCATGAATTATTACTACATCATTACTACATAATGACGATAAAGCTGTGTTTCTTGAACATGAATTTTAGTTTAAGTTAGACAGTTTGGACATGCTTTTCGCTGCATGGGCATCACACTCCATGAACAAAAGGTATTCCATGGATATTTTGCCTGAGTATACATGACTTCAGATTTGTGTGTGGTGTTGAGGGTTGAACCCAGGGCCTCACACAGGTTAAGCAGGAACTCAGCCACTGAGCTCCAACCTCAGTCCCTGGATTTTATTTTTAATGCTGATTTTCCAGGATGGTACTGACCTTGATAGCAGCACAGTCTCTGATGTCATAATCCTGTTGAAACTCCTGCTCCATGATAACAGTAGACACCTGGAAAAGACAAGCCTGCCTTGAGGATGGAAGGCTGATATGATATTTGCTACTTACATATAATTTAGGCAGCTTTTAATAATTCAAGCATGCTCATTTGCCACTGAAAGAAAACAGTCTTTTATGCCACTTTGTGAAAGATCTGGAGGCCAAACTATGAGAGGACTTGGGAACTGCTGGAATGTCTTAAGTTTCTCACAGTTTGAGAAGTGTGGTCAGCAGGGTGTTAAGTCACCTCCGAGTCAGAAATGACAGCTGAAAAGGACTTTTTAGTTTTTGTTTGTTTGTTTTCGTTTTGAGACAGTGTTTCTCTGTATATCCTTGGCTGTCCTGGATCTCTCTCTGAAGACCAGGCTGGCCTCGAACTCACAGAGATCCACCTGCTTCTGCCTCCCGAGTGCTGGGATTAAAGGCGTGCGCCTCCACAGCCGGTGACTTTTCAGTATTTTGGTCAGTTGTATTCAGTATTTGTGTATTTGGTCAGCTGTATACTTGATCAGTTGATTTCAGATATCCCCCAATTTGAAAGCGTAAGCCTGGACTCTTCCATTTATCCAGAACAGAGAATAAACTGATAAGAGCAACACACAGGAAATGATGACTGTCCGGGAAATGGACACTTAGAAGTGTCATGTACCTCTCTTTAGAGAAGGTAAACACTGAAAGTATTATTTAAGGACCTTTCTAGGTTTGCCTATTTTGCTCAATACAGATACTTTCTTTGTTATATAACTAATGTTTTTAGATGATAAAAATACATATTTTCTATTATTAATAGATAATAGAAATCAACACAAAGTAAGTACAAATGAAAGTTTTGGAAAATGATTTGTATTCTCCAAAGATTACCATGATGTTTGTATAGCTCCAATTTTTTTGTTTTTTTTGTTTTCGAGACAGGGTTTCTCTGTGTGCCTGTCCTGGATCTCGCTCTGTAGACCAGGCTGGCCTCGAACTCACAGAGATCTACCTGGCTCTGCCTCCCGAGTGCTGGGATTAAAGGCATGCGCCACCGACACCCGGCATAGCTCCAATTTTTTAAAACTCTATATAGAGAAACTAGACATACAAGCTTTCAAAAAGTGAAAATAAATGGAGCGGGTGAAGGTACTTGCTGTCAAGGCTGACGTCCTGAGTTCAATTCCCAGAATCCACTTGGTGGAAGAAAAGAACTGAGTCCTGAAAGTTATCCACTGGGCTCCACCACCCCACCCCCAGGCACACACGCAAAATAAGTAAACATAAATAAATAAATTAATAAATAAAAGTAAGATGGCTACTTTGCTTTTTCCTTCCCGAACCATATAAGTAAATCTGTGTCTATTTCAAAATGTGTAAATAATTCTAATGATGGAGATGTATGTTTTCCGTCTTTTTGATGGAGGTAAAAGTGTTTTATGTCTTTATGATGTTTTAAAGTGTGCACACCGAGAACACCGGAGTCTAGCTAGTTAGCATTTGCATTTTCTTTCACAGTCACCATGGATGCAGTGAGAACAACGTGTTGCTAACTATGGTCCCACACTGCACGGTAGATCTCTTGAACTTAATTGCTTATCTACCTAAAATTTTGTATCTTTTGACAAACCTCTCCCCTATTTCAGTCTGCCCCAGTCCCTGGTAACCACCACGCTATTTTCTCCCTTCTAGTTCCTCATTGTGTGTGCTCAATGTGTGACACCGTGCCACACCAGAACATTTTCACACAGTCTGTAGTGTCTACTGGACAATTCTGCCCTCGGTCCCTACCCTGCCCTTTCTCCTCCTTTGTGTTTCCAGACAGCTGCATCTCTATTTTCACGCCTATCACATGCCTTTGTATATCTATGTAAACACATGATTTGATGTATCTATATAAACATCCAAGAAACCACAGATTGTATTTCTTTTTCGAGACAGGGTCTTGGGTCCCTTGGGCTGTGCAGTAACTTTTAGCTGGAATCCCATCTGCCTATTTTTGCTTTTGTCATTGGTACTTTCGAGTTCATATTCCAGAAATCATTATCCAGACTCTGTCATGGAGATTTCCTGCTTCCTTTTTCCTCATAGCTACATAGTTTGGGGTTCTGACATTGAAGTCTTCAGTGCATTTTGAGTTCATTTTCATATGTGATGTGCATATGGGTATGCGTGTGGATAGACAGTCTTCTTGGCACAACTCATCAAAGGGACTGACCTTCCCTGATGTGTCCTGGCACTTTTGTCAATAATCAGGTGACCATCAACTCACGAATTTATTTCCTGTTTTCTCTTCTTTCCTATTGATACTAGCATGACATTTTGATCACTGTAGGCTCCTCAGAGTGAATGATAGAGTTTGGTAGAATTATATCCCCAGAGCTGTCCTTCTCCTGCAGACCGCTTTGGCTAGTCGGGCTCTTCCGCAGTTCCATACAAACTTTAGATGTGGGTGTTTCAAACAACTGACTTCCTTGCTTTTGAAGCAAACATTCCTTCCATTTATTTCCCACCATGAAAGTTTGAACTTACCGGTGTACGATCGCTCCACTGCCAGGACCCTTGTAAATCGGGGCTTCTTTTATTGAGACCAATCCACAACCAACGCCGCCCACTATGTTAAAAGAAGAAAAAGAGGCAGTATTAGAAGTAGAGGACAATACTTGCTAAAAATATTTAGCATTCACATGTTTAAGGTGACTGAGTCATGTATGTGTGTTCAGGAGATCTGGCACCAACAGAAGAGACAATCTCAAGCGATACAAAGAAAGAAATGAAATCAAGCCGTTAGTCCGGAGCAACCATAGAAAAGGCACCACATGTGTAAAACTAAATTTTAAGTTATTTCCTGTGTCCAAAAGGCAGAATCTACTCTGCTTTGGGCTTTTAAACGGAAAATGTGATTATTAAGTTTTTACTGCAATGGTTCATATTAGGCAATATTTTCAGACAGAGTCAATGACAATAATGGCAGTTTGCCTTTGTCTCCTTTTTCTAGACTTATTTATGCCCATGAATGCTTTGCCTGCATGTATGTATGTGCACCACGTGTGTGCCTGGTCAGGAGAGGACATTGGCTCCCCTGGAACTGGAATTATGAATGTTGTGAGCCATGATGTGGGTGCTGGAAACCAAAGCCAGGTCCTCTTGTAAGAACACGAGTACTCTAAACCATGGGCCACCTACTTGCCTTCTTTTGAGATGGGGGAGGGGGTGTCATGTGGCCCAGCGTGACCTTGAACTCTTTATATGCAGTCAAGGTTGACCTTGAATTTCTTATCCTCTGTCTCCACCTCCTAAGTGCTGGGATTGCAGGCATTAGACACCATGTTTCATAAGGTGTTGGCACTTGAACTCAGGACTTTGTGTAGGTACTTTACAAGGTGACACATTCCCAGTCCCAACAACTGCATTTTAAAAACAGCGCTTGTCTAGGGGTTAAGGATGTTGCTCAAAGGTAGATCACTTGCCTAGCAAGTACAAGGCCCTAGGTTAAAACACACACACACACACACACCTTTATGGCATTTTATCAAATTTCTTTTCTTTATAAAGCAAAATAGGCTATTTGATTAAAATTTTATTAAGGAAAAATTTTAAATACTTCAATTCCTACTGTCCATTAATTTTAAAGTGAGCAAGTAGTTAAGTTTTTGTTTTTGTTTCAATCTAGGTTTATTCAGGTAGCAAAGAAAATGCCAGGACAAGTTAATGAAATAATCACTTCAATCATCATGTTTAAGACTATCAGTCTTATATTCCTATGTAAAAGCATTGAGCTGGGTATAATGATGTCACAGAGAAGTGTGAGACCTAATGTCGCCTGTCAAACAGAATATTACACAGCCAAGGAAATATCACTACAAAATATGATACATATGAACCCATGGGAGCTACCAAATGAGGTATATAGCATTTAAGCATTATGAAATCCCAACACTTTTATGAGAGGTCATAGTGGACTGCAGTATGCAAACACTTTTTGAGGCTGGAGGAAAAAGACAGTCTTCAAAAGATGGATAATATTTCTTTGGAGCCCCAAATCCAGGTGCTTACCATGTTCCAGTGGAATGCAGGTAGGTGCCTCACGGATGAAGAGATACAAATGGGAAGGCAGGAACACACATGTAAGTAATGTCCTTCCCTCAAACAAACTTCCACACTAGCAGGCCTACATATGTGACAAGTAATCCAGCTGCAAACCTCCAACTGAAAACATTCCCTAAAATTCACTAGACTTTACAGCTTTAATAAGTAACCAAATTATATCCCTTTAATTTAACTTCATGGTGGAACATGGTATCAGTGGTATAAGCACAGTATACATGTGCATGCATAGATTATATATATATATATATATATATATATATATATATATATATATAATTATTTCAGAAGAGGAAGGATCTAAATGCAAAAGCAGTCTGTACTGTTTAGCTTTGTAGAAAATACAGAATATATAGAATGTACAGCTATAAAGTTATTGAGAAATATAAGCCTGTATATCTTTTTGTTTGTTTATTTGTTTGTTTTTCGAGACAGGGTTTCTATGTGTCACAGCTCTAGCTGTCCTGGAACTCACTTAGACCAGGCTGGCCTCGAACTCACAGAGAGCCATCTGCTTCTAACACTCAAGTGCTGGGATTAAACGTGTGCGCCGCCGCCACCACCACCTGGCAAGCATGGATATCTTTATACAATGTTTTAGTAACCTAGAGAACAAACCTAACTTTATACCACCCTCTTACTCTTTAATAAAGTCACTGCGTGTGGCCATGGCAACACACATCTATAACCCCAGCACTTAGATGCAGAAGCAGAAGGATGGCTGGTGTGAAGCCAGTGTGGGTTATTTAGTCTGTTCCAGTTCATCCTGAGCTACACAGCCAGACCTTGTCACGAAACAAAACCGAACAGCAGAAACAAACACACGCTTTCCTTTCCTTCAACATTCCCACTAGTTTAGTATCGGTCAGTGTTTTCTTGCCTGTTCAACTTCAACTTGTCGGACCTGGAGAATATGAGAATTCTCCCCTCTTATATTTTCATTGTTAGGTTGTTCTATTTGGAGAGAATAGTCACCAATTTGTAGACCAGATAAACCCAGTAGAGACAATTAATTCCAGTTCAAATTGAGCAGCTATAAGGAAATTGCAATTTCCAGCTATCTATTCAGCTGACTGAGCTTTCTCACAGGCCTCCTACTGTATCACACTTCTCTAAACCACGAGGTCTAGACAGTTTCTATACACAGGTCATCCTTAAGCCAGGTTGCTAAGACAGGGTAGGTTAAGTCTCCTTCCTCAAACTCATATGATGATACAACTATTTCTTCCAAGTCTGTGCTTCTTACATACTTGGGCGTGGGAAATTCCCTACAGAAGCTTTAGAATATCTATCTTATTTAGTAACAATTTGTTACTCATTTGGGAAGAAAGACAGATGATCACCTATCGCCTAGACTCAAGCAGCTACCCCATACCCCCAGCCTTTGCAGAGCTCTGCCCATCCTTCCTAGGCTCCCGGGGACTCTCACCCAGTGTCCTCTTAGGCAGTGGCTCCCTGTCCTCCTACTGACAAACTTCTCTAGTTCATTCCCGAGTGCTATGCTAAAGCTCAGAGGGCGGTTTCTTATAGAAACGTTTGTTCAGTTGTCCGAAATATCTCCAATCATCACTCCTTTCAGAGAACGAACTCCATTTCAACCCTGAATTTAGTTTCAGCATCATTTCAAGGGATTTCCTAGAGTGTCATAAATACAGAGACTAGTAGGTGCTCATGGTGTGTGTGTGTTCTGGGGCAGGGGGGCGGGTTAGAGGAGAAAATAATTTCTTCTTCTGAAGTTGACCTTCCTTAGCTGCTGACAGATGAAGGGAAGAATAAGCCGGAAAGCACATCATTCACTGCACACCTCTAGTGCAGAATTCAAGAAGGCTGGAGGAAAAAAAAAAATGCTCCTGATCATAACTGGGGAGCCAGATCAAAATGAAACCTTCCCATTTCCTTTCTAAACGGCTTCTACTCCACGCACTAAGCATATGGTAAGGCTATTAGGAGACACCGCACAAAAGGTTGGTAAGTGGAAGTGTGTTAAAATTCTGATGTTCAGTCCAATTTCCTGCTGCACTTGGTTTCTAAGGAAAACAGTATCTCAGCCACGAGCCCGGATAAATACTATTTAATGAGGGCTCTTAGTCTGCAAAGCCTAGATTTCTATCTCAAGCCATTCATTTCTCTTCCCAGGAGGGAGTGTACAGAGCAGCAATGGCTGCGAACCAGGCTTTCTTCTCTAATCTGTGGACTGGTTTGGCTCCACAATGGTTTCCCATTGGGATGCCATTAAGAGTTGCAATGATCTAAGAGCCTTAATGAGTCAGTGTATCATGAATCCTTTTTTACTGAAATACAAGCAGAGATCTAGAAGCTGGACTGTGAGAAACAGAGCAGTCACCAGTCTTAACTCCATGGCATGTGATCCAGACTTGGTGGACAGTAGGCTTCTTGCTGAGAAGTAATAAAAACAACACGTTTAGCGTGGACTTAATAATAATTTTCTAGTATAAATGACTCTGCTTCCTCCTTTCCGTTAAACTATTGTGGCAATCTTGGTTTTAAAGTATGCTCTTTTTCTAAGCACAGCCCAAGCAAACAATTGCTTTATAACGGAGCATTTATTAATTGGATAGAATAGTCTGCGCATACGGCCTTTTGCTGGCTTGCTGGCATTCATGCACAAATAAAATAGAGTTCCCATGGGTGAAGGTATTATGGAGTTTTTTTTCTATACTTCCATCTTTTCCATTTTCAATATGCATTACTTTTGTAGACTGAAAAAAATTTTAAATAGTTTTTTCTTTGGACAATTTTATGAAAATGTGTATAGGAATGGAAGAAAATGGAAACTATTTCCACAAAATGTTGCCTATAAGTAATATTCGAAACCGTTTTCATTTTCTTCTTTACTTTTTTATGTACTTTCCAGTTTTACATATGAACTCATATCAGTTTTTAAGGAGGGTGTTCAATAGTGCTAAAAGGGAACAGATCAATAAAGGTAGCCACCTTTCACACAGCTTTCTCTCCTGTAATCCACTCTGCCCACCGATGTTCTTAATGGCTATTTCTACCATACAGGGCTATGACATTTTTCTATTAATTGGTCCCCTCAAATATCTGCAGATATATTGCTCGGTACTTGTCCATGGCTTCCTGCTCCAATTGGAGATAGTAACTCCTTGCAAAGAATTGTGAGCTTGTTCTGTAAATATTTTCTAAGAATGCTTCACCTAGATAGTGTGATTGTGTGTGTATGTGTGCGCGCACACACTTGTGTGTTTGAAGCTCATGATCTTATTAGGTTGCCTTGTTAAAATTCCAAACTTCAGCTAAGATTGGCAGTGTATTTCAAGGGCCATGCCCTAGAGGCAGCTACCACAAGGACTCTTTGATTCTATGGTATACCAAAGGCTTTGGTTTCTGCTCAATGTCATAAACAGGTTTATCAGCAAAATTTAGAAGTTTGTTAATCAGCAAGACCTCAGAAATGGGCTTTTGTTGGTGAAACAAATTACTCAAGATACAAGGACTGGCTAAGATACTCAGGAACCTTACCTTTCATTAAAAGGTATTTTCCAGTAACCTGCATCTTTAGAAATGGTACCTACGGTCCCTACATGGCCCCAGGGCCAGGTGCTAGGTCAGGTGACTATGACAGCCTGATAGAATTGATCATGGGAACAAAATTCTGTCCTTGTTACATCTACCTCAAGTGAGGCTGCAACACAGCTCAAAATGCTCAAAGACAGATTGCTGGGACAAGGATTTCAAGCTTTCGAAGTAGATTGTCTGGAATGTGCTGTGGCTGCTTCAACATATGTCTGTGTAACAAATGACTGCAAGCACAGAAGGATTTGATCTGAATTTTGTAATCACGATACTCGACTCTCAAGCCTCTGAGGAAACAGCCAAGATTCCCTTCAAAAAGAATCTAAGAATAAGTTTATCCAAATTGGCTTAGGCCTAATACAAGATGATGAAGTCTAGAACACCTGAACTCCTACAATAGATGCTCAACACACAGACAATTATAAAATCTAGGTATTGTATTTTACATCAATACTCAAGAACAGTATTGTTTTAGACAATCAATGTGTCCAGCCTGGGCTACATGAGACTCTTGTCTCAAAAGAAAAATGAGGAGGGCTGGGGCATAGCTCAATGGTAGAGTGCTTACCTACCATTCATGAGAATCAGTTCAATCCTCAGACTTCCTATGTAGCCAAGGATGATCTTGAACTCCTGATCCTCTTGCCTCCACATCTGTGGGAGACCAGCTGGAGACTGGCTCCCACATTTTACCCCAGGGTACTCTTGAGGAGTGAGGGATAAGAGATTTAGATAGAAGGACAGAGGAGAGAGAAAGAGATAGAAACACAGGATAGCCTTGGGAGGGCCTGGATCCTATTCCACCGGCCCCTTTTGTCTCTTCTAAAGGGCTATTTATAGGAATGCCAAGGGGTGGAGCAAAAGACCACCCTCTAGCACAGCCAAGTGCAGACCTTTCCAATCACCTAGAAACCATGCACATGGTCAAGCAATCCTCTAATGCAGCTCTGCCGGGTAAAGCAAGCTCAGATCTCACTAGGAACCTTTGTTGGCCTCCACACATATCCCTAAGCTAGGAGTGACTGCAGGAGTGTGCCACCTTAATAAGGAAATATAGAGTGTTTGTGTTTCACTGTGGTAAAGCAAACTTGTAAAATATGGTAAAAATTTTTCTAATGGAGTATTTTCAAAAATCACTCAAAATCTTGCTTGCTAGATGTAATACCCATTGATTATCTCTATGTATTTTGAAGTCTAGTTTTCAGTGTGAGTAGCATATCTTTAAATTTTTATAATCTTGCTTTTTCTTCACTTAAAACAATATCCTGGAACTCACTCTGTAGCCCAGGCTGGCCTCGAACTCACAGAGCTCTGCCTGCCTCTGCTTCCCGAGTGCTGAGATTAAAGGCGTGCGTCACCGCCGCCGCCCAGCAACATTTTCTATCTTAATATATATTAAACTACAAAACAGCTCAACAACGATAATAATAGACATCCTTACCTGTTTCTTTTATGAGAATGCATTTCAAAATGCTCCCTCATTAATTATGACAGATAGTGACTTGAGCATTATGTTTCTAATGTAATAAGCATTTAAATTAAACACATCAAATATATGATTTATTTATATGTTAAGACAGAAATGAATTAGGATTTTTTCTATTTGCAGTTTCAGTCCCTATTATAATCTGATCACACAATCTCTAGCTTGTGGTCGTTAACTCTCTTGTTATCTGAGTTAACGTGGGACAACCACACAGATAGCGCAGGCCAGCAAAAAGGACCAAAACATAATGAGCCAAGGACATGGCAAACCAAGTGATGCCTGTGTCGGTGAGCCACTATTCAGCACTCTGTACATAAAATGTCACCACTTCTCTTAATCTTTAGAGAGAAGGACTATTACTGAAATGCACCATTTTAAAGTATTTTGTGTTTCCTTCCACCCAGAATGGAAACACCATAATCTCGAGGCTGAACAAACAGTAATGCCAGATTTGCCTCGTGTGTGTGTGTGTGTGTGTGTGTTTAGCAAAATAGAATCGGATTTCATTATTGAATAAATTTGTAGACTTGGACTTAATCAAAATTGATAATGTACAAATTGGGCCGTTGCCAATTTATTTTATGCTAGATTAATCTTTTGTTATTTCATTTCTATAATTCTCTACACGGACATTGTACAGCTTCCTTCCCCTCCTACATCTGATTTATGGACACATACTTTTAAACTCTACTGAATGTTAAATTTTTAATATTTATAAGATCTGTTTCTAAAATATGGATTCCAGATAAAATAATTTATTATGCCTTGGTATTTTTTCACAACTATTTTATGTTTCTACATTCCAGTTTTTATTCAGAAAGTGTTTAAAGCCTGATATTTATTAAAGTATTCCTTTTAAGATTTAAAAAAAGAAAAACAACTGTGTGTGCGTGTGGGAGAGGAACGTATCTGCGCCATGGTGCCTGTGTGTGTCAGAGGACGACTTTCAAGACTCAGTTCTCTCGTTTGACCCTGGGGAGGCAGGGTCTTTCTTGTTTCTGGTACATCCATATTCTGGACTAGCTGGCCCACAAGCTCCCAGGCATTTCTGGTTTCCACCTCCCATCTCACCACAGGACAGCTGTGACGTGTGCCACGGCATCTGGCTTCTTAAATGGCTTCCAGGCTGGCACTCAAATCATCAGGCATGAGTGGCATGTGCCTTCACTTGCTGAGGCATCGCCACAGCCCCTGAAACCCACCATTAGGACGGTTTTCTCTTTTAAGATTTAGGGTAATTTTGTTCTGTTCTTGTAATGACATACATTAACTATCAAGACTTGGGGGCGAACTATATCCTTTTACAATAAACTACTTATTCTAAGTGTTCTTGCTTTTTTTTTTTTTTTTTTTTTTTTTTTTTGGTTTTTCGAGACAGGGTTTCTCTGTGTAGCTTTGCGCCTTTCCTGGATCTTGCGCTGTAGACCAGGCTGGCCTCGAACTCACAGAGATCCGCCTGCCTCTGCCTCCTGAGTGCTGGGATTAAAGGCGTGCGCCACCACCGCCCGGCTTGTTCTTGCTTTTTTAAATGCACATCTGAGCTAGGGTATGTTTGTGATGTGTTTTTTCAAAGGATGCAATACACATTGTTCAGATCAATCTTTTCAAAAAATGAAGTTAACTGGGAGCTAAACAGATTGCAAGCATCTCCTACCGTAATACGCTTTAGATGCCAGTTTTCACATATCTTTTATATTTAATGATGTCCAAAAGAACAAGGCTAGTTAGATTGTCCTCATTTTTCTCGTAAACTTTTATTTTGAGGAAAGGGCTTTTGTTGGATTCAGAATTGTAGAGAAAATATTCACTAAGATATATTTATGTGTTTTTTTAAAGTCATTTATCCTAGTACACCTTGATTAAACAAACACCTCATAGTCTTCAGAAAAGTGAGGAAGAAGTAATTTTGAGGCGTCGAAGGCCCTAATTCCTGCGATTGTACTGAAAGTTTCAGCTGACCTACATTTGCCTGAAGGTCATCAGGGACATCAGAGGAGCCTTCCACACTAACATTACAACCACGACTGTAGCCACTTCGATAACTTCGCAGTGTCTTTCACATTGTCCTACTCCATGAGGCTTTCCACAGGGGCAGCTGTAGCAGCTTTCTACCTAGTTGCCTGAGAGTATCTACAGACCCGCTCTTTATAGTCTTACTATTTTTCATTTCTGGAGACAGAACTCAGGGCCTCACAGATGCTGGGTGAGCATGCCCCCACCGATCCATGCCCTAGCCTTGTCTGTGCGGTTGTACACATGTGTGTGTTTACAGGAACACAGTGGTTCCTAACAATTAACCTCTTCACAGCTGAAATGACTTGGAGACTAACTTTGATTTTTTTTTTCTTTTTCTTTTTTTTTTTTTTTTTGGTTTTTCGAGACAGGGTTTCTCCGTGTAGCTTTGTGCCTTTCCTGGAACTCACTTGGTAGCCCAGGCTGGCCTCGAACTCACAGAGATCTGCCTGGCTCTGCCTCCCGAGTGCTGGGATTAAAGGCGTGCGCCACCACCGCCCGGCGATTTTTTTTTTCTTAAGATCAAACTTCTTCCCTGATTAGCAAGGCTGTTCCATTTTCATAAAATCCCACTTCCTGTTGCATGGCTCTTTCCCCCTCAGCTGTCCACTCTGTTCTCATACCTTTGTTTCTATTTGTGTTCTCTGGCTTCTATTTCTAGCTAGCTTACTGTTCAAAACACTGTCTGCCTTCTAAGAATCAGCCTCCTTCATAACATTTGCCCTGATTGCACCAGAAACACTCCCTCCCCTTCTGGCTCCTTCCCGAGGCTCCCCTTATCATTGCCCTATACTTTTGCCACACTTTTCTTAACCTGGCTATTGGTATGTGCTACACAAAGGGTGAGGACTCCGCCTTGGTCAGCTTTGAATCTTTCGTGGCATTTTGCAATAAGGGCGTTTGATGCTACTTGAGTGTCAAGGATGGGCGGCTTTTTAGATGCTAGATCACAACAACCTAGATACCTAGAAGACATCAGGCTTAGGTCAGAAACACTCATTCTAGAAATATTACCTGAACAGGTCCGTTAACAAGCGAACGAAGTCCTTTATTTCATCCGTATGGCTGAAGCTGGGTAAGTGTGCTCCAAGCGCTTGGCAGAATCTTTCAGCTTCTTCCCAGTTCCTCTTTCTTACCGTTCTTTCTATATGGAACACCTTAACGAAAATAGAATAGTGTTTTTCTGGAATGATCATAAAATATTCATAGTTTTTTTGTTTGTTTGTTTGTTTTTTATCAATTGCAGTCAAAGGTGTGGGTCCCTGACATGAATTCTTTCAGGTGTAATGGAAACATAACTAAACGCATACACAGCAAACACGCAAGTCCTGCCTGGAGTGAGCTAAAGGCCCACACAGTGGTGGCCACTGTCACCAGGTGAGTGGCCTTCCCCAGCCAGGCTGGAGAACTGCTCCAACTAGTACATTCCTAAGACCTTGAAGAGAAAGCACACCAGGGTCATGGCTGAACAGGGTGCACAGGAACACTCTGGAAGCAGCTTTCTGTGAAGAAGTGTGCCAACAGCGTAATTCTGAGCATCAAACACGGAAGCCTGCGGAAGAACAGGGCTCTTTTTCTGATCAAGAATAATCAAAGAACTATCTATATGGGTCTGTGAACATCGACAGATGGTGCCAAATCAAAGCCTGGCACTTTTGACTCTTTCTTTGATTTGTGATGATTAACTCTATGCTAAAAGAGACCTCCCTATTTCAAAGAAGAGGAAGAAGCAGGGGAGCAGGCCGAGAGTACGAAACCACAGTTGTCTGATTGCTGCCCCTGGAACCTACACTCTAGCCAGGACTAGAGTGTATGGTGGAAGGAACATGCTTCTCTCCACCTTTACAAGGGACTTGGCCATGTAGTGTGCTGAGGTTAGTGGCCCTGAAGTAATAGAGTTCTGAGATGCACCAACTTGGTTGGCCTCGCTTTCTTGGGCTCCAGGAATTGACTATGAGAAAAACAATCTGACAGGTGTCACCCCTTTGCCTGAGCCCCAGAGTGAAGGGTAGCAGACACCAGGTCACAGCCTACAGCCCAGGATAGCTGACTAACAGCTGGTAGAATTCTCAGCCGAGCAGTCAAACCCTAACTGAGTCAGACATCTATAAGTGTGAAACTAAATGTAATTACCATGGGGTTTAGGAAGGATATTGAATGGTTTGGTTATGGAACTAGATGAATGTTACAGACTGGTAGTTTGAAAGTAATTGGCCCCCATAATCTCATAGGGAGTGGTACCATTAGGAGGTATGGCTTTGTTGGAGTGGGTATGGCCTCCTTGGAGGAAGTGTGCCTCTGTGGGGGTGGGCTTTGAGGATTCTGATGCTAATGATAACATCCAGTATCTCAGTACATTTCCCGTTGCCTGCAAGATGCAGGACTCTCAGCCACCTCTCCAGCACCATGTCTGCCTGCACACCGCCATGTTCCCTACCATGATGATAACGGACTGAACCTCTGAAATGGTAAGTGAGCCACCTCAATTTAAATGTTTTCTTTATAAGGGTTGCCATGGTCTTGGTGTCTCTTCACAGCAATGAAACCCTAAGACACAGACCTCAAATTACTATTTTTTAACACAATAAGAACTGGCTCTTATTATGCAAGAAGGAATTTTAAGAGTCTCATGCTCTACCGACTGAACTAGCCGGGCGTCTTATAAGAATTTTAATCCAATAAGAAGAATTAGAGGCCTATGAAAATCCTACACATGATGTCAGCATGCTGCAGGTCACCCAGTTTCTCAGAAGGAAAGAACCATGGGAAAAGGTCACTCCGGCTTTGGTCTTACTTTTGAGGGCAGGACATGGGTAGGGTATGGGTTGAACTGTCTGATACCAGAGTCCAATGATGCTTTTCTAAGGACCCCACGCTCCTGAACACTTGTATTAGGTTCTGCATGCTCAAAAGGAGGAGCATAATTTGTACAATAACAAGAACCAGGATAGGAGAAGAATGACTCCATTGAAGGACTGAATGAAAATGCAGCTTTACCTTATAACAAGAAAGACTGGAGGGGAAAGTGAGCCAGCCTTGAGGACAGGGGCCATCGGGCTTCGGGACTGCTTCCTTGGGCTCCTGGGGTCCCCTCATTTTCTTGCATATTGAAAGTGCTCTGAAGCTTTTGCAGTTTTTCACTTCCCACCTGCCAAGAGTCCTTCCGGTAGACATAGCCACACACCCACCTGGAGATGCTGGGGAAAAGTCAATGAAAAATTAAAACTTCCAAAGAACAGCCAGGTGGTGGTGACATATGCCTTTAATCGCAGCACTCGGGAGGCAGAGGCAGGTGGATCTCTGTGTTCGAGGCCAGCCTGGTCTGCAGAGGGAGTTACAGGACAGCCAAGGCTACACAGAAAAATCCTATCTTGAAAAACTAAAATCAAAACCAAGAAAAAAAAAAAAGAAAGACAAGTTCTTGCTATGTAGTCCAGGCTAGCCTCAACCCCGGGGTCTTCCTGCCTTAGCCCTAATTGCCTGGATTACAGGCATTTGCCACCAAGATGTCTATGTCTTACTTGTTAGAATATATCTACCTTATCTGATATTTAACCAGGATTAGCATCTATATTCTACCTTCTCTAAGTAAAAAGATAATTTTGTTATTATTAATGCTACTCAAACTGATAGTCATGATCATGAGATTTTTTTTTTTGTGGAGATTCTCTGTTTAAAATACTGTGTCCTATTATGAGATCACACAGTCCAGTTTCCATGTTATAGAAAAATACCTTAATGATCACATTATATAAGATCATGCAAAAAATATTGAACATTTAAAGAGAGAGAGGTGGAGGGACTTAGGACCTTTAGCTTATTCAAAGCCAAGTCTAAACAGCGCTGGCTTAGAAGTTGGAAGGTCTTGATTTTATTAATTCGACAACCAGGTATATTTTGTTAAATAAGTCCTTGAAGCCTCTATTTTCTCAGCTCTAAAATCAGATGGGACTTCTGAGGCCCTTCTACATCAAATCCTGGTTTCTGAGGCAAATTGTGGTCAATCCTTGAGGCTGTTTGGAGAAAAATGAACTAGCTTTTGAAATAAATGCTACCTTACACTGCTTTTCTAATTTCTCCTCACTGAGATTAATACAAATAAACCTTTAATTCTGCAGGATGAAGTTAGGTGACAGATAAAAATGTAAAATACTTCACAGGAAACATCTAGGTTTTATTTGAGACTTATATTTAAAAAAAGATGGAAAAACAAAACCTCACCCCACAACACACCAAACAAACAAACAAACAAAAAAACAACCAAAAACCAAAACCCAAAAACACCCAAATGAACAAACTAAAAAAAAACAAAACCCAAAGCAAAGCAAAACAACCCAGCCCTCATACTTCTGCCGCTGGTCTGGGTACACCGACCCTGGCTTTGGAAAGCACTGGACTTGATGTCCAGGACAGCGGCACTGTTTCTGACTTCACAGCCTCCAGTTCTGAAGATCCCCAACTCCCTTAGACCCAAACACAGGTGGCAGGTGTATCGGGAGGGACGCTGTGTTTCATCACTTCCCGGTCTACCACTTCGTTTCTTAAAAATGAAGCCGTATCTCTATAATACCACCAGCTTTCTTACACTGCAGTTGGTATTCTTTTGTTGGTACCCTTTAAATCTTTAAAGTTGAAACAGCAGAGATGGTCCCTCCCTCTCTCCAACCTTGTCAGGAGTTAGGTGTCATACTGTGGTGCCCAGTCCATAGGGCAGAACTCACTAATTTGTCAAACAGATTTCTCAGGGTTTTTTTTTTTTTTGGTGTGTGTGTGTCTGTGTACTGAGTCTGTGCTCTTTTGTTTTTCTCTATAGGTTATATAGCTCTGGCTGTCCTGGAAACTCACTATGTAGACCTAGCTGGCCTCGCACTCACAGATATCTACTTGCCTCTTCATTCTGCGGGCTGGGATCAAAGGTGTGCGCACTACACCCAGCTAAGCCTGTGCCTTATCTTTCTCTCTCTCTTATCCTTCTCTTTGAATGTTCTGCCCCCACTTCATCACGACAACCAGCTGGCATGTGTGTGATACTCTTTAATGAGTTAGCATTTAGAATAGTTATTGAATCCCAAGCATGAGAACGGCTTCTGCTTCCCCAAGCTCCCCACTCCACCTTTCACCTCAGAACAGCGAGCTGTTGGGGAAATCATAAACTCAGAACCACAGATGGACTGGCACAATGCTAAGTCATGGCCTCCTGTGACTCATTCCTTTTGGGGTTGTCTGTCTCTGTCCCTAGTGCCACATGGTCTGCTACGGTCTATGTCTCCTGGGAAACCTGAATAGACAGACACAAGCAAGCTTTGCCGACTGGGTAAAGAGCATCTGCAAATCTGGTGTCTCGTGAAAGCGTTGGGCTCAGCGCTATACCAACCCCCTCCTTGTAAGCTCTGTCTCGAGGCGTTGTCAAGCCTTCATAAAACACTCACCTGGTTCAAGAAAATTCCAGTTGGAAAAGGTCATAGCCTGCTTTACTCCACCAGTGATGGCCCAACTGTACTCTCCTCGGGCATCGGCATCTCTCAGGCCCGTCCAGAAGTACTTCTGAAGGGACTTGTCATACTTCTTCATCATATCATTCAAGTATTCCTGTTCAAATCTATAAAAGATGAACCAATCTAGCAAATGTTTCACAGTTTTTGAAATAAAAGCCACTCCCCCCCCCCCATACACACACTCCCGCCTGCCACCTTAGGGAATGGTTTAGGCAACCTCAGTTAAAAGTTATCTAGGATATGTGTGCTGATGGCCACACCTGCTGGTGATGGTCAAATTGCAGTTCGTTCCAAAAGGGGCCTCCTTCTCGTAAATTTTGTAACAGGTTTCTCCATGTCTTTTCCAGCCCTAAATCAAAAGAGGAATAGCATCACAGCGTTTGAAACTTAATGATGTCCCCCTCAAACAAGTAGGATTCTGTTACTTGGACAAAATCATCCACGTGAGGAAGGGGTGGACATGATTATTCACTTGATAAGGGTGGATCAGTTTCACAGATCTCTACATGACCGAGATGTGGCATAATTTTCTTTGTCCTTTGTACCCGACACACCCCATTGCAGCTGTTAGTTGAATTGTTTTTCAGTAAGAGTACTGTCATTGGAGGAAATCGAACCATCAATAATGAGGCTAGTAGTCATATTTGCATGTTTATAGAAACATTCATAAATAGGTAAATCTTTCTTTCTGTAAGAATGCCAATGTGTTAGGATTCTCTTCTTTCTCGCTTTTTCTCAAATAAATGAGCAGAAATCAGTACTTTTACTTGGCAAGTTTGAATTGGTTAAACTTCAATGTCATCTTTAACCAAGGAAGGAAAATTCCGCTTAGGGAAATTCGTGAAGGGATTTCCTTACCTCATCTGGAGGACACAGTTTATCAGACCTTGTATCACTGGTTACTTCTCCCTTTTTCTTGCATACATATCTGAGTTTCTTGTCACAGGACTGGACTTTCCACTGACCTAACTTTTAAAGAAGAAAAAAAAATATTTCTTACCAAAGGAAATATTTGCCAAATATGTAGAATTAAATCACAATAACTCTGGGAGGCCAGGAAAGGTAATGGCTCAGCCTGTCGTTCCCAGGTCACAGCGAGCACAAACTCCCTTTCTTAGAAGCTTACCAATAAAACCTTACCGAGGACAGTTAGTCAGAAAGTTGAATAGAGAAAAGCCCCTCTGTAGCAGAATATTATTTTAAGGTGTGTTACTTTTGTTTATGTTGCATTTGTTTAACTCTGTGAAGCTGTGTTACTGTGCCTGTGTAAAACACTTGATGGTCTAACGAAGAACTGGCCAATAGCAAGGCCGGAGAAAGGATAGGCGGGGCTGGCAGGCAGAGAGAATAAATAGAAGGAGAAATCTGGGAACTAGGAGCCAGGGAAGGAGGAGGGCTCCAGGGGCCAGCCATCCAGCTACACAGCAAGCCATGGAGTAAGAGTAAGATTACAGAAGTTAGAGAACGGGAAAAGTCCAGAGGCAAAAGGTAGACGGGATCATTTAAGATAAGGAAAGCTGGCAAGAAACTAAGCTAAGCTAAGGCTGGGCATTCAGAAGTAATAATAAGCCTCCATGTGTGATTTATTTGGGAACAGGATGGTGGGCCCCCGAAAAGAGTAAAATACCAACACCACCACCCCTCACACAGCTGCCAGCGTCTGGTCGCTTCCCTGTGACCTGGCTGCAGTTAGTTCACAGAGTAAAAGTCTTTGGGAAGCACCAGCCAATGTTTGCTCACATTTCCTTATCCGCATAAGGATGATGGTGATTGTGTGGTCTACTACTCAAGAAGTCGAAGGGCAAAAGTTTCTTTTAATTCTACTCCAATATAGACGTCAAAATTCTCTCTTTCAAGTATGCCACATAAAATTAATTTGGCTGAACTAAGTTGCATTGCTTCTTGAAATGAAATGTCAGTGGCTCAACTGTGAAGAGGGTCAGTGTTGAACTCAGGCAGGCTGTGGAGCTCTGCCTTCTGTTCACGCGTCACTTCCACTTTTGACAATGTTTTTGAGACATCTTGGCTTTTAAAGTAGGCCACCAAGTGTGACACCTTCTAAAACACATCTTCACGACTGAAACAGTTCTAAATACGAACACAATTTGTGGGTTCCATTTAAAGTCTAGATGTCTGGGTGACAGTCACCCTGAATACCAGGAGAGAGCTGCCTGTAGGAAAGCAATCCAAACAAAATTAAAAGAGGTGCTTAAGTCCTCTGTACATGATACAGCCTATTTTAGGCTCCTAACCAGAGCATGTTCAACGAATGATTAGCAAGCTATACATCTCAGGAAAAGACAGTTTTCTGGACAAATCTAACCTAATACTTTATAAAAATTAAAATATTGAAAACCGTATAAAATTGAAATATTGAATAGTGTTTTCCAATTAGCCTCAAATTATGATTAATTTGAACTTAATCGTAGCATGGATGGAACCTTCCAGGCTACCCTGTGGCTACCTGCCAAACGTCAATCATAGCGAGCATAAAGGCTGATGGAGACTCAGACCCTCGAAGAAGGCAGGTTATTTGAGACAGTTTGACACAGAGTTCCAAAGCATCTGTATATCTTTTCTATACAGAAAGCAGGCTGCTTATTCAGTGACTGCCTTTGTTTACCCTCCACTCACCCGCTATCAGAATGACACTCCCCAGGATTTTACCTTTTCCCTCTCAGCTTGCACACAAATCCCGTTCCCAGCACAATGTTATTATTATTAGCTCTAACAAAAAGACTATAAATAAGCCACAGGAGGTGTCCTACCTTTCCTGAATAGGAAACGCAGTTGGGAGTCTTGTTGTAGGGAACACTCGGCTCATTCTCGCTCCAGTACGTTAGAGTGACTTCCGTACCATCTGACCACTGGAACAAAGTGGGGCTGTTTATGTTCTTAAGGCCTGTCCATATTTCTTCTTTGACATCTAAAAGAAAAGTCTTTTATTTGTTTGGTTTTGCTCTGCTGTATGTTATAATATGTAGGTTACTGATTTTTACGTGCTGATAACGTCTTTTTAAGAGCTTCCTGGTATTCTTTGGTCGCCCGTGTTTAGAAGGCTGATGAGCAGGCAAGGTGGTGGGTCTTGAAGGCCTGTAATGTCACTCATGGAGGCAAAGGACATAGAGAGAGGCTGCACTGGGGTTGGCCACCTGCATGTGTCTGAGATCTACGGTACAAACCCTGCTTTCTGGGTATTAGTGAAACTCTACAGATACAACCACAGGTATTCTAATTAGAAATTGTTCATGTCCACTGCTGCCCTGAAATGACTGACTACTGTCTTCACATGGAAAAACATTAGCACCATTCGGACACGGAACAGGGACCTCTGCAGCCTGAATCTAGGAAGAGGGCGGAATACAGGCAGTCTAGGATGTCTTTGTTTATCAATCTAGTTCCCGATAATTGTAAAAGCTAAATGATCATCAAGTCAGTTGTCAGAAGAACTCAAATAAAGTGTGGCACAATTATGGGAAGAGGGAGAGTTTTTGATTAAACAGTGGCCGCTAGGCAGTAGTAGCTATTCAAACTGTAATGCAAAAAAAAAAAAAAAAAGAAAAAAAAAAAGAAAATTAAACAAAACTAACACTTCAGCTCCTTATTCTTCCTAACTACCTTTCAAGAGTTCAAAAGCCTCTTGGTAGCTACAGCACTGGACCGGGCAGGTCCAGGATGAGTCCATTTCCTCTGAACACCCTACCTCCACTTACAAATGTGCCGATCCAGGGACAGTTTGTAACCCTCTCATTCCCACCAAGAGTCTGAAAACAAGGAGACCTGAAATTTTTTTTGTTTTTTGTTTTTGTTTTTCGAGACAGGGTTTCTCTGTATAGTTTTAGTTTTGTGCCTTTCCTAGAGCTCACTTGGTAGCCCAGGCTGGCCTGAACTCACAGAGATCCGCCTGGCTCTGCCTTCCGAGTGCTGGGATTAAAGGCGTGTGCCACCAATGCCTGGCCTGAAATGTTTTAAACTCCTAAAACAAGAGGTTTACAACAAAACAAAGCAAAACAGAAAACTCACCCCCACTATGGAGTTTTGTGACAACCACCTCGACATCTGCTAAGGAATGGATGCTGATGAGGTCACCTCCGAAGGCTTTGCATTTCAAATGGGCTGCATCCCAGGAACCACTTTCATTTGCCAGCAGATAGCAAAATCCATTATTGGGCAGCCAGCCCACCTCACAGTGGGTATCTGAATCCGTCCAAACATCTGGGGGAAAGCAGCGATTTACATTCCAGTAAAGACAGATCTAGTTTGAATCAACAACACTGCAAGTTTTTTCTTTCTTGAATCACAAGGCTTCTGGAAACCTGGGAGATGTGATGTCAGCTCTCAGGGTGACATGAATTGTATGCTGTGCTTAATGTATATTTGACATCATAAAAATTCCTGCAGAGATTCAGGTACGAAATGTACTTACTGAGAAACACATATGCTATGTGACTGGACTGTACTGCTGAAGGGGCATAGACAAGGTCAAGGAAGGGGAATGACTTCAGTCCTCATAGGCAGAAGACAGGTGTGGAGTAAGCCAGATGCTGACAACATTTTTCCAGGTCTGAAATTTGGAAGGCACCCCCACCCATGGCTCTGACATTGGAAGGAGTCAAGCTTTCTTTCCTTGCGTGACCAGTTTAACAACGGATGCCTATTAACACTAACTGTTGAATACAGGCTGGGTAGAGAGGGAAGGAACTGGATGTGGTATTTGTCTCCACTCAAGGGACGGCAGCAAAGGAGGAAAGGGGAAGGGCAAATGGCTTCTCTAGACAGCTTCATCCACTCTGAAAGACCAGTGGAGGAATCTCAGCTTGACCATGGTGAAATCCACAAGGGAAGACTAATCTTTCAGAGACAAAGGGCTACCACTCTCCTTAGCAAAACTAGAAAGTATGTTGTTGTTCAACTTATCCAGATCCTCTCTGGAACTTTTCTTTTCTTCTTTTTTTTTTTTAACAAGCTAACTCAGTTATCTTAAAAACATGGAGTAGTCCAGCAACTGATGGAAACAGATGCAGAGACCCACAGCCAAACATTAGGTGGAGCTCGGGGATTCCTGTAGAAGAGGGGGAGGAAAGATTGTAGGAGCCAGAGGGGTCGAGGACACCACAAGAAATCCCACAGAATCAAACTAACCTGGGCTCACAGAGCCTGAACTGACAACCAGGGAGCCTTCCTGGGATAGACCTAGGCCCGCTACATATATGTTACAGTTGTGTAGCTTGGTCTACTTGTGGGACTCCGAACAGTGGGATCGGGGCTGTCTCTGACTCTGTTGCCTGTTTTGGGGACCCTTCCCTCCTACCAGGTTGCCTTGTCCAGCCTTATAGGAAAGGAAGTGCCTAGACTCACTACAACTTGATATACCGTGGCTGGCTGATATCCATGGGAAGCCTGCCCTTTTCTGAAGAGAAGAGAGGAGTGGATGGGGAAGAGGAGGGGACTGGAGGAGAGGAGAGACGAGGGGAAACTAACTGGTCAGGATGTAAAAACAAACAAATAAACAGCTACAAAAATTGTAGAGTATTTTTTTTAAAAAACAAATTGATAAAGTTTAGGTTCAATTAGTCTCGGGTTTGCAAGATTAACTCAATTAACTTGGGCTCTAAATGGCATTCATTATGACCATGAGATATTTCAATTATGGTGAAGGAACAGAGAGAACAATCACATGTAAATGAACTCAAACAATCCTCCCCATAGTCTAGTCTTTGTCTCCACGAAGACACAGTTTTACAAAATTAAAATGATAGGTAAGCATATCATTGTGCTCCGTTCCTTGCTTCCCACCGGCACAGCTATAATAGATACACACCGTTCAGTGTTATGGAAACATCACGGTTTACTAACAATGGCGACTTCAGGGTGTTTACTTACTCCATCATCAGCGCTTGCACATTCCCCCTTGTACCAGTATCTCTGTTATACTTTCTGTCAGATGGGCTACAATCGGTAACTTGGAAGATAAATGTTCATTTCTCCCTATTATCAATAAGACATTTCCCTACATTCTTTGTTCTATATAACCATTTTTTTTTTTTAAATTGCTCTATGCTCCTTTTTGGATAAGAAATTGACAGTGCTGAGGAGATGGCTGGGTAAGAGTGGGCTCTCAGTGTCATGGGGACCTGAGCATCTGAGTTCCAATCCCAGCACCCTTGTAAAAATCTGGGCATGGATGTGTGGACCTGTATGTATTCTAGCATTGGAGACTGAGACAGGTGGATCCTGAGAGTGGGCTGCTCAACTGGACGGCTGAAAGGGTGAACTTCCATTAGTGAGAGCCTTGGCCTCCACTAATGGGCACGTGCACCTGAACACTCACATGCGCGCAACACACACAGTTTAAACTCTTACTTAGTGTGCGTGTGCACCCGAAGGACAACCTCAGATTGTCATGAAAACCATCAGCCTCCTTTGAGATAGTCTTTCATTAACCCGAAGCTCATCAATTAAGCTAGACTGCTAGACAGTCAAGCCTAGGGATCCTCCTGCACTGCCCCCAGCCCAGGATTTCAAACATGCACAACCGTAGCATTTTAGCATGGGTTCTGGGGACCGAGAAAACATCGGCAGTATCAAGTGTAGGAAAGGTGAAAATGGGTATCTGGCATGCATTTGCTTGACCAGGAAACTCTGGCCTTGAGACTTAGCTGTACATATGAGGAAGAGGGGAAGAACCTGTGAGCTCCACCGTGTTGGTCAATGGCTTCTTGCAGACATAGGGCTGCTGAGCTTCACAGGAAACACTCCGCCACAGCCCCGACTCTGTGTCCATCCGGGCGCAGCTTGCTCCACCTATCATGGGTGCATTGGGTGTGTCTGAGGAAGAAAGATGTTCAAGGAGGCAGGAGGAGGTTAGGGCCAGAGTGGTGCTTAAAATCATTCAAATTCATAAGTGTATGTCTGTATGGGAACTCGCAGTATGGTTCAAACTTTCAACTAAACCGAAAAGTTATAAGCCGCAGTGAAGAGCAATGAAATCATTTATGCCTCTTCTAAAACGCAAGATGGAGGGGAAACATTCTGATCCATGATAGCGGATTCGCGGCAAGGAAGACAAATCAGTTTCTGCTCTAGAGCAACTTCCACGACAACAGCCTGTGGCCAGAACCTCTCAGTCTATATTAAATTTACTCTCCAGTAAATATTTACAACCAGATGGAATATTAACATATGATTCTGCCTTTGAAGGCCTTAAATATTACATTAGGGACTGGGACTGTAGTTCAGTGGTGGAGCACTTGCCTGGCATTGTCTAGTTTTGACATAATAGAGTATTACCTTGTTTACTAATAAGATTTGTTAATGCAAACCTCATGGTCATTTGATAGTACTGATAGATTTCTCCTCTATGTAGGCAGAACACTTTTATTAATGTTATTTAGGTTTGGCCTTGGTCAGACCAGTTTTCCAAAGGTTCCTCGTCCTTTCTTTTGTAGAGTTTCTGGCTAAGCAGGATGTTATTTTCATTGTGGGACTGATTTGTGTAATAAGATACAGCTGTTGTGTTCTCAGTGTTTAGGTGATATAGTGGGCAAGCCTAAGAACCAGAAAAGGAAGGGCTATTCCTGCTTTAAAGGCAAGCTCTAGACTAAGCATTGGCAGTCAAGACCCGAGGGGCTGTAGAATGGTTCCCAGCCATGTTGTGGGGTTCATTCTGTTCTTCTTAAAAATCTAGGGATGCTCTAAAGCCCCGGAGCAAATGCTCCTTTGCCCATGGTGTGCTTCAACTTGGCAAAAACAACAGCACACTTAAGAATGTTTTAGAAAAAAATTCTGAGAAAGCAACCATGAGATCTGACAATACATGAAACTTTTAAAAGCTCTGGATGAGTAAAAAGTTCTTCGTTTTTGAAGGTTTTACCCTGTATACATTTACCTGGATCCCAGTTAAGAAATTTTAGTGGCTTGAAGTCTGACCATTCCCAACCTCTCGCAGAATAGAGCTGATTCAGTCCAATCCAAACAATTCTAGCAATGCCTTCTTTTCCTGTAGGAATTATATAATTTTAAATTGAAAATAGGTCTTTCATACAATACATTCTGATTATGGTTTCCCCTCCCCTAACACCGCCCAGATCCTCCCCACCTCCACACCCACACAAATCCACATAAACAGGCATATAAAACAATAATAATAATAATAATGATCAATTAATACAAACAAAGCATAAAAAGACAAAACAGACAGAAGAAAAAGAGCCAAAGAGAAAATACAAGAAACACATAAGATGAAGAAATGAATGGAATTTATATAATTTTTAATAGTGACAAAATTATATAAATCAGACTAGGTTTCTATTGACAGTCAAAAAACAGAAGGTCTTGACTGAAGCAGGAATCTCACTATGGATAGATGTCTAGGCAACAGAGGCAGGTCACGTTAAGAGACAACAAAACTTTATTCTTTTGAGAAGACCAAAGTCTAATAAATTTCTTCAATTCTGCTTTCCAAATAGCTTGTCTAGTTCTTCCTCCTCTGAGGTAAAAGAATTTTCTCAGAGTGGCAGTTTCACTATGTATTTTCACACACACACACACACACACACACACACACACACACACACACACACACCTGTTGTGAAGGGGACAGGGAAGCACAAATAGTTTCAATAGTGAGTCTAGTTGTCCATGTGCTACCTGATATGGATACAAAATATGGATGCGTCCATGCATGAATGGGTCCATACAAATTGGAGAAAACGCAGAAAGAATAAGAATGATTGTAAGGATTTTTACCACCATTTAGGAGATTATGAAGCTCGAAAGAAAGATTTTATCAAAACCACAGGGGAAGAATTTGAAAAATTAATTGAAGGCTTGATAGAAGAGATAGAGCAACGATGAAATGGTCTATGAATGACGAAGAGGATGTTGACAAACATTAAGATGGGGGTCTTTATAAATCTGTTGGAGTCTTTTTGGCTGTAAATTACTTAATAACTGTTTCCTAATTACTCACAGGGGAATATGTATATTATTACATTACATCCTTATCTATCCCCCTACTAGGTGTCTATGTGTGTGTATTATAGACTATAGGGTTTACAGAGAGAGAAAACATATCCAGATTATGAGGACTTTTCAAGAGCAATTTTGGTTATACATAATCTTCACCACAATGAATACTTTAGAAGCCAAATGTATAAAGCAGGACTTTTCGGGGTTTGTAAAGGAACTTGGTTAAGAGAGGAGGCAGGCTCCCAGGACCCAGGAGCGAAATGAATCTTCAATGGTGGATATTTACACAGGATGTAGACAGTTGAAAAGGAGTCAGTACAGTGATAACAATGAAAGTGTGAGAGAATGGCTGGTCAGACATAAAGATCTTGGGGAGAAGGGAGAGCTTTGGAGGAGCTGGAGGGGCCACAGTCTAGATACAGATATAAGCGTGGGGTGGGAATTTAGGGCTTGCCCCACCTTTCTCAAGGAAGTAGATGGCAAAGATGCTTTATTAAGGAAAGAGAGGATGGGTGTTTGTGTAGAAGCTTTGACAGGGTTGGGGGAGAGAACTTGGGACTCATCCTTCTCTTTTACCCCACAAGCACCTGCAACAGCTCCAGCACGGTTACAGAACACACTAGAAGATGTAATCTAATGCACATTTGTGTTGGTTTTCCAGCATTCCCGAAGAAGTCCAGGAAACTAAGAGATATGTCTGGTGCTCCAGACTTAATCGTGTTACCTGATATTTGGAATGCTTTTTGTTTTCTCTTCTACTTTCCTGCCGTGGTTCAAGCAGGATACTAAGGAGTACCCATCCTTCCTAACCACCGCAGATTCAGCTGCATCCTTCCTATGAAGGTTTTTCAGCTATCCCCACCCCGCCTCCCAGGAAGCAATCGCTGCTCTGTATAATCCTGGCACTTACCTGCAGGTAGCAAGGACACACATTATGTGATCTTTTGAACTAAAGTCCCTGATTTGTCTCATTACTGCATAGTCTTTGTAATTTGTATGGACTTCACTGGAATTATAGGATTTAAAGTGTTCTACCATGTTGGCAACCCAGTGGATGTCAGTGAGAAATGGGTAAGTTCTAAGTGTACTTGTTGGATAGATATGAAGCATCCAGGCAGCATATATGGTCAGGACCATCAAGAGCTGGACTTTTTCTCTCCTTCCACTTGGACCAGTTTGAGGCTGTGTTAATTGTCACCTTTGCTATCACGCGGATGATTGACAGTAGAGAGCCTCAGACTAAAGGAAGGGCAAGTCCACTTTGGCAGGTGTTCTTTTTGCTTCAATTACTTTTTATTTCATTACTGTTTTTAATAGGCACATAGTAATTGTACATATTATGGGTCACAGTGTGATACTTTGATGCACTGTATAATGTCCAAATCAGGGAAATGGGCATATTTATCACTTTAAACATTTATCTTTACTTTGTGATAAGAGTGCTCCAAATCCTTTCCAGTTATTTTGAAATATGCAATGTATGACTGTCAACCATAATCACCCCATTGTGTAAGAGAACACCACCATTTAGTTCTGTTACTTTCTACCTGCTGAGCAACCTCTCCCCATCCCCCCTTCTTCCTACTTCCTTCCCTCTCCTCTCCTTTCAGTTCCCATGAGATCAAGGTTTTAGATTCCACAGATGACTGACAGCTTGTGGCATTCACCTTTCTGCGCCTGGCTTGTTTCACTTAACATGATGTTTGCATTGTCACAAAGGACAGTTTCTCTTCCATTTGTGGCTTCACAGTATTTCGTCCTGTATCTATGCCATTTTTTTCTTTATTTCATTGGTGGGTAGAAATCCATGTAGATTGCTGTTGATTATTTATGTAAGTCATTGTGAGGAGAACTGCATGATTCACCATCTAATCTATCTTCCTCAAATTCTCTCTTTGGTGATGTTCAGAGGTTTAGAGTTCACTTTCTCCTCTCCATTTTTTCCCATTTAGGATGAGGGTTTTATATTATACTCTAACTTGCTTTCTAAACATCAGTTTCTCTCACAAGATCCATTTCAACACATGGAATTATTATGTTTACATTCAATCCTTTTTTTCCCCCCTTGCAGGCTTCACTGTTAAGGTTTAAATTTTAAGAGAGGCCAGAAAAGACATCGTCAAAAGAGCACGCCTGGATATGAAATGTCGAAGAAGGAAGCATCTTTACAAATCCAGCTATCCGCTCTACCACATGCAAGCTAAACCTACCCGTAATATACGCTAATTCAGCAGCACTGTGGATGCTCAGTAAGTCAGCTCCTTGGTTCTGACAGGAAACATAAGCTTCTTTCCAAGAAACAACTTCCTGAGTATTAAATTGGTAGCAACTTCCAATCTGCTCATTCTTTTCCCAATTACCCTCACAGCCGTTTTCTGTTGATAAAAAAAAATTAGTGATCATGAAATAAGGGCATAGTGTTTTCTGTTACTTGGAGCACTTACAAGATTGCAATCTATTTACATTTTCTTAGGATGTGCCAAAATGGAGGCAGTCACTGCAGGACCGTACTTGGGTCCTTTCACTATGTGCTGAAGTGGAAATCAGAGCAGCGCAAAGGACTCAAGCTGGTTAAACCTTCCCTCTGTCCCCTGTTAACCACAGTACCATATTTTCACCAGTTCCTGTGTGCCCTTTGCCTGAAGATGGGAGTCTCCCTATGTACAGGGTGGAACACTGAGCCAATGGAAAACATGTTCCCTAGAGCTTGGCAAAGATGTCCGCAGTCTTCTCTATAGCCTGCAGAGAAAGAACTGTAGGTGTGGGTACAGACATGCTGCTTAAATGGCTAAGATTCGGAGCATAGCAACTCCTTTATTTTGGAAATTCAGTCCAAATTTCTCTGTAATATTTGAATAGATGATTGAATCCACGAATAGAATTAATATTATAGAACTCACATTACAAATGCATACATGGGCATATAAGCATGAGTGTACAGCATAGAACACCCATAGTATTTATCTCTGTGTGTATGTGGTACATGTGCACAGGTTGGCACCTGCGGGTGCCTGTGCTAGTGGTGTGTGTGTGTATGTGTGTGTTCAAGCAGAGGCAGGAGGGAGACACCAGGTGTCTTGTTCTGTCACTCTCCATCTTCTCCCGAGACAGTTTCTCTCATTTAACTGGAAACTCGGCTGGCAGCCAGCAAGCCCCAGCCACCCTCCACGGTTCTGGGGTTACTGGCAGCATCCTCGCCATGCCTGGCTTTCTAATTTTAACCAACCCCCCCACTCTTGGCTTCAGACCACAAATACACTATAAGTCGTCACCATCCTAAATACGGTTTTTCAGCCCCTTTGTACCTGTTGCTCTTGTTTGCCTCATGAAACGCACAAGGGTGACTTCCTTCTGCCCAAGCTACGGTCTCCTACATTCCACTTTCTCCCCAACTCGTCCTTTGAAGCTGCAATTTCCCATCTGCTCATGCCCTTTCCACTTCTCCCTGATGTAGACGAAGCTTCCGCAGTCCTCCCCCTCCTCATTTCCCAGGACACAAACTGTCCTGCTTCTCTCCTTGACCGGCTTCTGAAGGCACATTCAAAGCTGCCCACGACTTCCCCCCCTTCCTGCCAACGCACACTCCTCCTCTAGGATCACATCTGCTGCAGACACTTCCAAGTCACCTTCAACTCCCTCTTCCGCCCTTTACCTCACTCTCTTCTCGCCACTGGAGCTCGCCAGCCCATACATACCTGCTGTTAAGCAGATGCCCCACTTTTGATCATATTCGTAATTTAGGGTAGTGGCACACCAGGGCCCACTGTGATCTTCATCACGAACACAGTCATGGTGCCACGTCTCGCCAACTAAGAACGGAAATTCACAAGGTCTCCCGTGGGAGTTCCCATCTCTGGTATATATCTCTGTGGGATGGGGAGGAAGCAGGGGAGAGTTAAAAGCTGAACAATCCACCTTAGGATAGCTAATTCCTAAAACTTTTAAAAGAAAGAGTGCTGGTCTCACGTATGAGCCTACAATATCTGAACAGGCTATACACTGTGGAAAGAGCTTAGATACTGACTGCTTGGGTCTGGACTTTGAAATCTGGGGTCTCCTGTGTGCCTACAGACAAACTTAGTTTCTGCATTTCAAACCGAGAATATCAGTGTTTACCTCAAGGGTTGTCCACTGTGTATTTGGTGACAGAGTAAGAGTCCTTTTCTGGCTTGATCAAGGCAGAAGCGACTGAGCCCAGCATGGGGGGCAGAGACAGCTTACTTCCTCAAAATGGCTGTCTGGACAGAGACTCAACTCTCCTCCATTTCTTTGGTGAGTGTGGGGCCAAAGAAACACCTGGGACCACTTATGCAATTAGCCAGACGGGCAAGGGACACGGTTACCCAACAGAGTTGAGGCGGTGGCTTTGGAGGAAGCGAAGGAAGAGAGCTGCTAGATTCCCAAGTAGCTGCTTGGGGAGAGTCAGGACATGGTAATTCGGGTTATGCAAAAAGAACTGGCCTTAACAGGGCAGTGATGGGAGAAGCTGGTGACCAGGGAGGTGGCAGATCTAGCTTTCATTTTAATATTTTTCTCTAGTCCCCAGAGAGGTACTGGAAAACGATCACAATGCAGATATGCCTGGGACCCCAGAGGAAGTGCTCAATGCTGTGCCAATAACAGTCAGTCCCCTTGAAAACACGTTTTACAGAGCAGCTAACCATGTAGCTATTTCTGTCACCTTTTCTCCTTAGCTTCGATTTCTTCAAACCTCTGGTTATTGAGCAATGAAAGAATGGCCATAAGGGAGAGTGTCATCATCAAGACTCATTAGCCTTCATCAGGCTTTTAGGGTCTCTCAGAAAGTCTCACAGGTTGGCTTTAAAGTATGCTTAAGCTAGCCTTTGATTCTATCTACATCCTCTGTCATTCCCCAGTCTTCATGTGCCTGAAGCAGAGACTTAAGTTTGGAAGGTATCACAAAGGAAGAACCATCTGGATGCCTTACTGAAGAAAAATAATAATAAATCTTTTGTGGGTCATTGATTTTGTTTTCCTGTGCCACATAAATAGCTTTCAAGAGAATAGTTCTGCTAAATAGTGTGGTGGCCCTTTGTGGTAGCATGCTCATCACATGTTTCAAATTTGACCACATCAAAAAATTCCCCTGGGTGCATATGGTCCTTTAATCTCAGTACTCTGGGAGGCAGGGGCAAGTGGATCTCCAAGTTCCAGGCCAGCCTGGTCTACAGAGCTAGTTCCAGGACAGCCAGGGCTACATGGGGAAATTCTAGCTTGAAAAACCAAAACCACAAAAAGAAAAAGGAAAAAATTCCCCAAGGCCCGTGACCCATTTTCCTCCCCTTTTACAATACTGAGAGGACAACCCCAGGACACGATGCAATGCGCTGCTGCTTCCGGGATGCTCGGGTTTCCCTAAAACCTTTTATTTCCATGTGCAAAATGCTTTCAGACACATTTCTGTACTTGTTCCTCACCACAAACCTGTAAGATCAGAGTTGTTCGTGAAATCCCCACTTTTCAGGAGTGGTTAAAAGGACACATTTGGTGGCTCATCGTGAAGCATGGTATAGGGACAGCCTCTTTGACAAGTCACTGACACACACCAACAACTTTGCACCATCAACTGCTTTTATAGGTTTCAGGTTACACATAGCTCCAAGAGGAGTGTCATTATACAGCTCTCTGTGTCACCCAGTGCTTTGTAAACCAATAAGCAAACAACAGCCAGGCCGGATGCAGGCCTCGAACGGAGGCTCTCTGTTAATTAGGCCTTTTATTCCCACTTGTCTTTGCTGTTGACAGACCACCTGCATCCCATGGGTTGTCTTCGTAAGACAGGTTCTCCTAACAAGACTCTTCTCTGAATGTGTGGATTTGGGGTGACAACACCTTCAGATCAACAGCTGAGTGTGGCATTGACACAAAGTTATGAGATCAGGGGTTTACATGGAAAGTGAATTGCTTAAGCAATGAGACAAATAGTTACAGAGTTTGACAGGCTTCAGGGAGTCGGCAAGAGCAGACGGAGTTCACAGTTCATTCCTAGGAACTGTGAACTCCGCTGCGTAAGTCAACAAACATTTGTGATTTGAAGATGCCAGTTGGGTCAAGATGTCTTATGACATCATTGTATATACAGGAGCTAGTGAACAGCAATTCATTCATAAAAAATTTTACAGTTAAAGCATTTTCAGTATAAAGATGATTTCTATGATGAAGTTTGAGGAAACCACAAACATCATGGTAGATTAATATAGTCAAAGTGAAAAAACAGGTTACAAAAGCTAAGGGAGAAAAAAGATACTGTTATTTGGAGAAATGAATGAATTTTGACCCCCAGCTGTGCCTCAAGCAGGGTAACTTTGGACTTTACTTGCTTGGGACTTGAATAGCCTACTTTCCTTGTTCCTCTTTTGATAGACAGCTGGGCTGGGAGTTAGAGGAGGCCTGGCAAAGGTCCCTCACTTTAAGATAGGAAGGGGCACATGTAAATTTTAAAAGTTCGAAAGGGCAGGACCTCATATCTGGTTAAATTTGAGCGGAGGGAGACAAAGCAGGACAAGTCAAGAGGGCCTTGTAGATTTCCCACTTGTAGAAACCGAGTGGATCTGAGATTGGGGGCAGCCTTGGCCTCTGTGCAAATGAAAATCTGATGGGACTCTTAATCGGGCAGAGCGCTAAGGGTCTAAAAGTTTTTAGGATTTCAAGTATTGAATTTGGAACGGTAAAGAAACAAATCCAGCCTTTTGGCTGTGCAGCGCACAGACTCTGTCCCTCTCCTGGGCACTGCTGTGGAGGGTTCGAGGCCTCCCCCTCCCCATTTTTGTGCTGCTGAGCACTTTAGCAGTTGTGTGAAAATTATTAACGCATAAATAAAACACAGAATAAGAAAGAAAACACGTTTCAGTGGAATGAAGACACTTCAGGGTCTGAGGGAGTTGGAGATTACAACTGTTCTCTCAAAAGAACCGAGGGCAGAAGGACAATGGAGCGCTGCCAAGGAAACGATCCTTCCTGATCCCCGAACAAACAGAAACAAAATGCAATCTGGAGCCATTCTTTCGGGTTCAATGTTTTCTTTCAGTTGCCAAGTTAGAGACTCTTGTTGCACAATATTTAAGCCTGTCCTTAAGGGGTATCCAGAAAGCAATTGCTTTAAGTTCAAGCCACAACCCGGTCTCTCCCCTGTGATCTCTGTCTCTGTCTCTCTCTGCCTGTCCACCTCCCCACCCTCCTCCCTCCTCCTTCTCCTTATTTCTCTGGGGTATATGTATGTGTGTATGTGTGTGGGCACACACTCATGTGCATGTGAGGCCATGCATGTGCATGTGAAGACATTGGTCTTTTTCCTTGATCACTCCCCAACTCAACTGAATCCACAGTTTACTGATTGGCCTAGACTAGCTAGCCAGGGATCCCTTGCCTCTACCTCCAGAGCAATAAGATTACAAGCAGGCTGCCACACCCACCCAGGATTTCCATGGATGCTGAGGATTCAAACTCTGGGTCCCCATGCTTGCAGAGCAAGCATTGTTCACACTGAGCCCTGGCCCTCAGTGAACAGTTCTGGAGTTCCAAAGGAAGCTGGCCAAGAGAAAATTTAGTGATTCAAAGGCCATGAGTTGAAGGCAAGGAAAACCCCATCTCCAAGTCTCTAATATCACTTCATTAAGAGCAGAACCAGACACTCCTGGAATTTTTTTTTTTTTTTGATCTTCACAAGAAATAGAGATTCTCTAAGCGGAAAAACTACGGTTAGAATGGGGAATTAAGTTGCCATCCTAAGTCTTTGGCCAGATATAAGAGGATGTCCTTTATCTTCCCTTCAAACCCATTTACGTTGACTATGGCCATAGACTCAGGAAGAGGAAAGGAAGATCTTAAGGGGGGGTAGTAGAACACAGGTGATATGGAGGGGAAAAAGGAATAATGGTGAGGGGGATTTAAGTGGGGAAAGGAATAGAAGGCTAGGGCAGAGGAGGGGTTGGGAGAAGAATAATTAACCCTTAGGAAGCTTAAAAAAGCCATATAAAACCTACTTTTTAAGTAGAAGTTTCATATAAATGAGTATCTACATATTTTCATATGCGAGAATTTACTTGGCGTTACCCTACACAGAAGTCACAGGTTGCCAAATAAAAGGCTCAGTGCCAATGTGGGATACTTCCCCTCAAGTTGTTGGGTCACAGGTGTCCTAAAGATGCCCCAAACCATCAGGCTATTGGCTTTGCTCTTAGCTGCCCAACAGAAGTTGATGGTCAGACCCTCTGCTGAAGACACCACACACATTGATGACAGGACATGGAGAAATCAAGTTGGTACAGAGCGGGAAGTTTCCACCTTGCTAGGCAGCTTCCATAGCACTGGAAGATGCTTTCCAGTCTGCTGGGCGTGGGAGGGAGTCAGCCAACAGTTTTACCCAGCGATGAATGCTGTGAGCCGCAGTGATGACCGGGGTGCAAGAAAATGCCCATGGGTAGGACAGTGGCACAAATGTAATGGGGTGACCAATCGATTCCTGATTGGATTTAAGACTCACTCCACAGGAAACATATGCCTGGTATGTAAACAGGGTCAAGCTCTACGGTTGGAGAGCTCACAGGTCCCTGGGGGGACCTGCTACTACTATTCTGTGAAACGGACACAATATAAAGTCACCATTTAAGTTTGTATCTTTCTACCTGTTGATTAGTACAGCTCTCAGACCCCATCAGAGAAGTCTCTTTGTGTGGTCATGGTGGTGATCAATACAAAAACTCACAATTGGCCAAGTGCCGAGAACAAGCAGAGTGCTCAGCTACTAATGGAACGTCTATAGCACACCCTTTCTCAAGGCCCAGGAACCATCTCAGAAGATGGAATGGGAAGGTTAGAAAAGAGCCAGAGGTCAGGGAAGATGGGAGTGCCACAGTGTCTTCTGGATACGACAGGATGGCTGCACTCATGCCCTCACAGCGGCTATGGTTGCCTGCAGATGACGTGGTCCAGATCAATATTCAACTTCTAGCATGGAATAGGAAGGGGGTCTTGAGCCCCCACCCCTAACTGAGGAGCTATGGACAGTTGATGGCTTCTGTGGGAGGGAGAGTCGGTTTTCTTTAAGGGTGTGTTGGTAGGTTGACCATGTTCCAGAGGAAAGTCTCACAACTAGGGCTACTTGAGCAGCACAAACTCCAGTCAGTGAGCTATTATTATTATTTTTTAAAGGACAAATTTGGAAGCTCAGAAGGTGGGTGTGGGGGGTGGGCCTGGGAAGAATTTGGAAAAGGAGCTGGGAGTGAAAATGATCAAAATACATCGCACTGAATTCTCAAAGAGTAAAAGTATTTTTTAAAAACTGAAGATTCATTGCAATCTAGAGCAAAGGTCATGACAATATTCACGTACTTGTTTTTGGAAATGACCAAAGAAAAGTTCACATTTAAAATGTCAAATCATAAATACAAAGAGCAACATGTGATACCTATGCCAAGGATGAAAATATTATGAAAACCCACATGAGACTTGCAAAATATTTCCATTATATTAAATTTCCCAGGCATGAAAAAAAAACCCACTTCTTTTTCTTCTTTTTTTTTTTTTTAAAAAGGTTTATTTATTATATATACAGTGTTCTGTCTGCATGTATGCCTGCAGGCCAGAAGAGGGCACCAGATTCTATTATAGATGGTTGTGAGCCACCATGTGGTTGCTGGGAATTGAACTCAGGACCTCTGGAAGAATGGCCAGTGCTGTTCACCTCTGAGCCATCTCTCCAACCCCTCTTATTTTCTTTTTAAACTTAGGATTAGATCAATATTATTCGATTATGTGCCTTTAGCCTATATGAAGTATTTCCTATCAGTATAACATTTCCTTTTTCTTCACATTTGAGGAAATGGCATCATAGGAAGTAAATGAGGCATAGGAAGTCAAGTCCTGGGTTTACCACACCAAAAGGCTGTGTGACTGCAGCTCACAGTACCTGCCTAGTCACTGTGACTTCATTTCAACTCAGTCGTGGAGAACTGAGGAAAGCCTGAGTGAATGTGTATTGTTGACATGGGCACAGCCACGCTAAGGGCCAATGCCTCAGACCCATGGGAAGCTGGCAAAGCCTTCTCCATACCGATCAGGCTGAGAAAGGCAAAGCTTTCCTGTGGTCCAAGTACAAGTGACTACCAACTACTGACCAGTGTGGGCAAACACTAGCACCTGCAGCTTCCTCCTCCTGGATGTTTAGAGCCTGAGACTGCTAGCCCATAGAGACCTCCTACCTGGACTAGCTAGCCCCTCCCCGTGCACTCCTCCTAATAAACTGGGTTCTGGGTTGCTTCAGTAGTTAGAACCACTCCATCAGACTGCATGCAGCTCACCTTTACCCAGTCAGGTGTCCAGGACCGAGCTGTGCTGGGTGTGACATTTAATGCCAAATTAAGCAACCATTACAGCAAGAGGGTCAAAGTCCCTCTCTCCTGTACTCACCATGGTAAGGCTGGTCACAAAGGCTCTCCCTGGAGCCTCCCTTCTTCCAGACAGCAGTTGAATTGGTACTGGCTGTGGCATATCCATCTTTCAGAGCCAGCCTGTACTGGGCGGCAGTGTACAGAGAATGGTGCTCACATTTCCACCACAGCATGACACTGGAGTCACAGCGGAACATCCGCAGGTTGTCCGTAGCTTTGGTAATATCTAGGCCAAGGCACTTCTGGGATTCCAGGTGAAAGAGACGGTGCTGGGACACCCACTTCCATAACATGTTTCCAGAGTCACTACAGTCCTGTGCCACGATCCAGTCAGCCAGTGGCTGGATGCACTTGCCCGTGTTTTCGTTGACGATGGTGAATGGGTCATTACCTGGGTCAAGACAGCGAAGGAGGACATTTCAGGATTCGGAGTCACCTGACAAACGCACCTTGGTCCTGCTTGTTTGCTGAGGAGAGTCTGATTGGCACAGGACGGCACTGACCCTTGGGCTTGGTAAACTCATGTGTTCCACAAGGAGTGAGGGTCACAGTGTGTGGTAAGAGCAAGGCTCTAAAGCCAGTCTGCCTGGCCTCATACTTTGCCTCTGCTGTGCTACGAGATCAGAGCAAATTAGGCAACTTCTCTGCTTTAGATTTCTCATTTGTAAGGCTGCATCCACTTCACACTGTGGATGTAGGGATGCTGGAATGAGCTGACCCATGCCAGTAGAGAGTAGGGTGTGTACTTAATTTTGCTATTCCAGGGAAGGTTCCCTGTCATGCTTATAAAGCACCTCCTTAGTTTCCCCTCTTCTTCCACAAGTGGTCTGTGGCCAATGAAAAAGTATGCACAGCACAGCGGTCACGCCATCAGACCTGGCTCTCACTTCAGCTCCTCCCCCTCACCAATTGTGAAGGCAGGGCTCTATGTTCCTCTGACTCAGGGAAAGTTACTGCGGCCATCCAAAGGGAAATCTACTTGAAAACCACTTCTCCTGAGACTTACTTCTGTGGAAGCCAGCCTCACTGAGGTATACCAGTGGAAGTGGGGACACTTCTGAGAAGGCAGGGGGAGAGAAATTGGGGTAAAGCAATGGGAGAAAATAGAGGATCTGGGTTCTGAGGTGGGGAACCTGTGGCCAGCCCCACTGCAGCACCTCCAGGAGAGACAGAAGCTTGGGGATTCACCAAGTAAATCAAGCGGATCAGACACTGGGCTCCAGGGACAACCTGAGCCATCAGGTCCAATGTCTGGCATGTATGGACAAGAGAAAATGGGAATTAACCAGTGGCAGTTGCAGACTAGAGATGGGGCCTCTCTGAACGATTTCCCAGCACTCTGCAGGAGCTGAAGAAAATCTCTACAAAGATGCAGATAAAATTTCTGTCACCTTAGTGGGATGGGGTTTCAGAACCAAATTTAACCTATTTTCTAAAAAACAAAGTAATTGGGTGTTTCTTATACACCTGAGTTTGAGGACCAGGATTTACATGAATTATAATAAAACACAGTGAAACACTTTGGTCAGTTCTTTTACAAAGAGAAAAAAGTATGGCACAGATGGTCATGTTGATGAACATAAAGCTGGACTATTTTAGACAAGCTTAAACAGTCATTTGTCAACAACTCAGGGCACAGCAGAACATAAAAGATTTGGGTTCTCAAAAGGGGTTTTCATCCTGAGGTCAGCTTTACAGTCACTGGGTTTACTAACACTGAAAACTTTCTCAAGTCATAGATTAAAGAGCTAAAAATGGTCATGCCAGGTACTGTTGGCTAGAGGGGAAATTTCATCATGTAAGCCATCGCTCCAAAAGTCTATCTGATCGTGTGAACTGTGGGTGGAATTCTGTTTTGTTTCACTTTAAGTAACAGTAAGACAAACAATGGGAAGCACAACAAAGAAAACCTTAGCGCTGTGGTCATTTCTGCTTTCACATTTGAATTTAAAAAGATCACAGGCCGGGATGCTGGCTCATTGGTTGAAAACATTTGCCTCAGAAGCATGAGGACCTCAAACCTGCCTCAAAGCAGGACCTGTAGCATGAGCATCTAGAACCTTGGTGTTCCCGAGGGAGATGAAGGCAGAGATGGGGGCCCCAGAAGCTCTTGGGTCAGCTGGCCTGGCATAAACAGCAAACAAACAAACAAACAAAAACCCAAACCAAATCAACAAAAAAAAAACCCCAACAAAACAACAGAGAAAACCTATCTCAAATAAGGTGGGAAGTAGGGACCAACACTCAGAGTTGTTCTCTGACTTCCATAGTGCATGCTGGTGTGTGGTGCGCATGTATGTGCACACACACACACACACACAATTGCCTGGGGCAGTGCTAGGTGGGTTTGTCCAGCAGCTGCTGTCCCCACTCTCTCTTCTGTGACACTCACTCCTCTGTCATTCTTTCTTTGATGGTCACAGGTTGGGAGGATAGTGAGCACAAAGGAAAATTTCTCTCATGTGCTTTTCAGCTGCCCCTCAAATACCTGATCTACCCTTGTCCCACACTGCTCTCTCCCGCATCTCCAAACTCTTTGTATTCCAAAGTACCACAAACTAGAGCCGGTAAGAGAAGTCTGTTGCACGTGGCCCTCAGCGTAGTTGAAAAATTCCTCTCACGGAGCCTGTAGTCTCAGTGCTCTTTCCTGGGCACTCGGCTCCATGACCCTTGACCCCGAACAGGTTTCCTGGACAAGCAGCAGCTTTGCTTTCTTTTGGAGTTCCACGTTTTTCAGATCTCTTGATAAAATTCACTAGGTTAGTTCCAAGTCCTAGTGTGGTGGGAAGGGCAGAGGAGCAAAGGATTGGAGTCCCTAGACCTACTTTTATTACCGGTTTGCTGGGAGACTCATGGAAGTCAGTCACTTCCTCTCCAGGGTCTTCATATCCCTAAGTATCAGATGAAAGCTGTGGAGTATAGGCAAGCCATTCCAGAGCTAGTATCCCATGCTTTCACCAAGTAACAGTGGCCTAGCTCCCCAGGGCTTACTAACCTTTGCCAAAGTCATTGCACATTCTTCTTGCAGTTAGCTCACACTACTGTACCACGAGTAACATTTGAGGTCGGTCTCATTTAATCTATAACGAACGCGTGGAGTTACGTGGCAAGTCCTGCTTCCTCAGCACTCATCGGAAGAGAGAAAGTTTTACTTTTCACTTTCTACACTTAGGTTACTTCCAGGCCACTTGTGGACTTACCAACTTGGTAGGAGCCAGACGACAGGTGAAGTGTGGAGTAGCATGGAACAGCAAAGGAGGTGTTGCCAAGTATCTCATTAAGTTGTCCTTTTGAATGTAGGTATGTGTGCCTGACTAAACCTGTGCTTGAACTGAGAATGTAATCATTACCAGTGTTTGACATACCGATGAGATTTCTTAGGACAATTATTCATTATTAATGATTTAAGAAACTTGTCATTAGCCTTCATATATAATGTATGTGTAAGCATTAATAAATAATATATCTGCTGGGGGAGAGATTTATTCTCTCACAATAGTTTTCCATATCATTCTTAGCCCTATGCAATAGCTGTTCAGTCTGCCTCAGTTTTATGACGTTATGGGATTGCAGATTGAAGAGTGGGAAACAAAACCGGTAAACTAAAAATAACTTATTTAGAAAAAACTGTTTTATAAGGTCATATAAACTATTTGAGAAAGATATTGCATTCTTTCTGGGAAGGTAACCACAAACTTTAATGACTATTTTTTGGTGCTGGGCATCAAATCCAGAACCTGGCACTGAGATCTTCCCAAGCCCCAAACTGGATTCTGTCCGTAGCTTTAGAGCACACTGTCCACTTTCCCTCTCCGCACTAGTCTTCAACAGAGTTCTCACATTCCCCTCCAGATTTATGTTTGGGACAAATCTAGAGGGCAGAGGTTGATGACAAGAAGCCCAAGTACATCTTGGAGTCCTCTTTATATGCTTCATTTTATATAAAGACTTCAGTGAGGTTTGAGGGAATAGCCAAAGAGCATGTCATCATTGAAAATGATTTCTTAGCATTCTTATCTCTAGCAAAGAAAACGAGTCCTTTCAACATTTTCTTATTGTCTAATCACTATGGCCTGTTTTTAGGCCCAGCGCAAAGGGCTCTGTACATTCTGGGAGCGAAGCTGGATGTGAGCGTATACCCATTATCACCACAGATCACAGGAAGGAAAAAGGGGAAATGGGGAAGTGGAGGGAACAAAATGGCAGCACCGGTCTTCCCAGGGAATTTCCACAGCTTACTTTGCTAAGTGTTTTGTGATCTCTGTCAAATGTAAAGGACATACAGATGTAGAGGGAGACAATCAGAAGTCTGGATTTGCTAGTTCAACACAAGTCCTGAAGAGACAAGTGGTTCCATGACAGCATACTAGGTATCAGAAAGCCATAATCCCAGACAGGTGGTGGGCTGGTGAGATGCTCAGAAATCCCTAAAGGATCACATTACTTCATGGCGTTAGCTCTCCAAGGAAGCAAAAGGAAAGGAAACTTGGCATCTCCCCAAGAACAGAGAGATACACTTTCAGCATTTGGGTGGCCAGGACCAAGCTGCCCAAGCTTCCTGCACACATGTGACCCAGTGCTTGCCATTGCTAGCATCCTGGATCTGACCCACCGCCAAACAAGTTGACAAAAGAGATGGAAGTTCCAACTCCAGTTCTGGGCTGGAGAGATGGATGACTCAATGGACAAGAGTGACTGTGGCTCAGGCATGAGGACCTGAGTTTGAATCCCCAGTGCCCACATTATATTAAAAAAAGAAAAAAAAAGAGGAATTCCCGCAAGCCCACAATTTTGGGGGAGAGACAGGCAGAGAGATCCCAGGACCAGCCAGCCTGGACAAGCTGGTGAACTTCAGGCACAGTGAGAGACCCGGTCTCAAGAGTACAAGGTGGAGAGATAGAACAGGGGATGGGACATCCTTCTCTGGCTTTCTGGCCTCCGTGCACGCATGCATACACACACACACACACACACCCCTTTATATGTTCACCCCAATATAAGGCCACAAGTCTGGCCTGAAGATGGGAGAAAGCCACCTCGGCAGCTGTTAGAAGTGACGAAGGAGGAAAATAAATACCTGTGGGGACCTAGTCCAGGGGGAAGAGACTTAAGCCCAGCATTTTTTGCTGTGGGTCAATGAGACAGGATATAGACTGTGGAGACCGCGGTGTTCTAGTCAGAGTTCCTACCATTGTGATTAATACCACAACCAAAAGCAACTCGGGGAAGAGGGAGTTTATTTCAGTTTACACTTCCATATCATACTCATGGCAGGAATTCAAGGCAGAGGCCATGGAGGAATGCTGCTTACTGGCTTGCTTCCCCTGGCTTGCTCAGCTTGCTTTCTTTTGCTATCCAGGAGCACCTGTCCAGGGGTGGCCCCACACACAGTGTGCTGGGCCCTCCCTCATTAACCATTAATTAGGAAGATGCTCTACTGACTTGCCTACAGGCCAGTCTGATGGAGGAATTTTCTCAACCAGGGTCCCTCTTCCCAGATGAGAGTAGCTTGTGTTGAGTTGGCCACAAACAAACAAACAAACAAACAAACGAATAAAAAACCTCAACCAGGCCATTTGAAAATGAAGGAAACCTAAAAATTTGTGAGGCAATGAAACAGGACTCACAGACGTGGATGGAAGCCGGGAGAGTGGGGCGGGGGAGAGTGACTAGAAGTCAGCATGCCTTCGCTGTAAATTGCTGCAGCTAGATTTTTCTCCTTGGATTGTGCAGTAGACAGAATTGAATTTTCATATCCATAAAAGATTTTACTGTTAATATCTCCTTTGGTGGAGTGAGTCAAGACAGAACACATCAAAGGTTCTTGGTGCTGACAGGTTGACGACACCCACCTTTCAGGAAACTCTCCCCGTAACTTTGGACAGTCTACATCAGAGGGTAACTAAGCTTAGCTCCGAAGAAAGCAAGAGCCACACTCAAGAGCCACATTCCTAAAACCCATCTTGACCATCTTTCCTTTTTCACTCGGGCAAGACAGCAGAAACAGTGGGTGAATGTCGGCGGCCTTTAGACTGTCAGTTATATACCAGAATCAAGTAACAAGGTCATTGGCACACCTTTTGCTGAGGAAAAAGAGAAAGTAAAAGCAAAACGTAAGTGGGTTGGTGGTGCTGGCACCACCCTGAGCTTTACAGAAAGCATCCTTTCCCCACTGACAGGAAGTGATCTGCACTTCTATCTGGGGGCCACCTGCCTCAGTGGGGAGCGTTTGGAGATAATAACCAAATTAGAAGGGCCATTGCTCCCGGTGGCAGGGAAGGGCATCCTAAGACTCTTGGCTGACTTCTGGAGGCGATGGTTGAACCTGGCTTCCTTTCCAATGCGTTCAGTGGCCACGGTGAAGTCAGGATCTCTGGGAATCCTTGCGGTGTGGGTGAAGGCTCATCCTCATCATGGAGGGGTCAAGATGACCATGGGGCGACAGGGATGCAAGGGAAAAATGGGGAGCCCCAGGGTAGCACGCTTTTAGGGGACAATCGAGGAACAAGAGGCAGAGAAGACTCTGGGAAGACTGTGGCAAGGCCTCTTCTAGGCAGAGGGTTCCTTCGCACCACACAGCCCTGCCCGCCGCCCTCCTAGGCCAGACCTCCCCGCTTGTCCACTCCAGAGACGACTGTGACCTGACCCGGAGGAGGCAAATGCTCAGAACAGCATCGTCGAGGCCGCCCGGTTACCTGAGCGCTCGAAAGGCTCCGCAAGCCCGAAGCACCGCAGCAACAGCACTAGTAGCCCCGTCGCTCGGCCCGGGGTGGCCCAGCGCGTCCCCATCTCCAGTCCCAGGCCTCTGTTCCCGGCACCGGCTCCTGGGGTGAGTCCCGCCGGTTTCACGGTGCCTCTGGGGCAACCTCTGGGGCGAGCAGGCCCCGCCCCCGCCGCCCTCGACCAATCAGAGCTGCGCCTGTGGACCAAGCGGGGGCGTGCAGGATTCCCCCACCCACTGCAGACATCTGTGCCGGCTTGGGACCTCCAGAAGGCGGGAAGAGTGCTCAGGAAAACCACAGTGCATGGGGTACCCGCTCCCCCTCTTCTTCAGTGAAGTTGGGAAAGTGCGGCTCTGTCGGTTTAGGACTTGCCCCGCGGTGTAGATAGACAAGGCAGCGAGAGAGAACTTCATATCGTGGCGGGCTGGAAATGTGCGCCCAACCCTGCCCACTTCGGCTTGGGGAAGTGTACGCTTGGAATAAAGGCACCTAAAAGGTGGAATAAAGGCACCTTGGAGGTTGACGAGAAGTTGTCAAACAGTACTTAAAGTAACAGTTATCCTAGCGATTATACTACTTTTTATGGCGTTTTAACCATTTTGACCTTTGCAAAAAAAAATTTTTTTTTTGGTGTAGTAATAACAATTCAGTCGAAATGTGGAAGTCTGCATCTAGAATCTGAAATTCAGTCCTTATTCTGTCCGTCGGACAACACTATCACAAATAGGGCAACGTTACCTAGAGGTAAACGTTTTATATTGTAAACTCTTATTTGTTGATTATAGGATGTATACTTGAGATAGCCCACATCCGTTTTCCCCAAAGGTGCCTGTTACCGTCAGGATGAGTCTAAGTCAACTTTCCAGGTTCCAGCGGTCCATGTGGCTCCAAACCCATCCTAGTTCCGTTCCCCTCCCAGGCTCTTGGCATTTAGTGGCTACAGAGAGCACGTATCACAGTAACTGGGCACTGCATGAGCGAGGATGCTAGAGCAGCATTTTAGCCTTCTGGTGTTTACTACGGAGCTGTGGAAGAGATGAAACCTAAACAGTAACTCAAGAGTAAAACGCACAGAAGGTCAGACGACGCTTCCAGACAGGCAGCTGGTCAAGTGGGACTTGAAAAATGGGTGGAAATCTGACCAAGGGAGGTAGATGTGACAGAACAGAGGTAGAGAACGCAAGAATGCTTCAAAGTTCAGTGTAACTGATAGTAGTGTGTGGGGGGGGGCGGGGGGGAGTTGAAGAACAGCAGGAAATGGTGTTCTGTGAATGGCTTTCTCCCGTAAGTCTCAAACAGTGGGAAACGTTAACAGCAAGCAGCACCTGCTACTGCACCTGCCCACCAGAGTTGGCGCCCCTTGAAGGCCGCTGCTGTCTTTACAAACACACTTTTTGCCTTAGGAGAGGGGTTCAAGGCTTTCAAGAGAGTGTCGAAGAAGGCAGTGATCGCAAGAGAAATCTCCGTCTAGAGAAAGCAAGTCCTCTATGATGTGACCCTTGCTCTTTAACTCCCTTCCTACTTATCCCTGTTTACACCAACCTGTCTAAACCGGTCTTGTCTCCTCCAGTCTGGCCAAACTCATACTCAGAGCACTGCTTGTTGCAACTGACACTTGCTAGCAAAGGGAAAAACCAGTTTTCTCCAATGACCTATCACTGGGTTTACCAACCACACTCCAGGGCAGGCTCCATGCCCAGCTGTAGTTGGCCAGCTCAAAACGAACTCGGTGGTGCTTCTGTGGTCTTTTTGTTTCAGTTTGCTTTGCTTTGGATTTTTTTTTTTTCTTTTCTCATTGGGCTTTTGCCGACTTTTATTTTTGTGGTTTTTTGTTATTTATTTTGGAAGGGTTTTGGTTTTATTTCTTGCTTTTTGTTTTGTTTTATTTGAAAGAGGGAGAGAAAGAGAAAAAGGACATAAAGTCGGGGAGCAGGGCGGTGAGGAGGAACTGAGAGGAGCTGGGGGAAACATAATAAAATACTGTATGAAAAAAGTTTTTAGTAAAAGGAAATACTTTTTATTATTATTATTGTTTTAAATACAAAACCTTGCTATGTAGTTCAGCCTGGCCTTGAACTCTCAAACCTCCTACCTTAGACTTCCAAGTGCTGGAATTATGGGTGTGTGGCTCCACAACAGGACTAGGATATCCCCCCACTCTCTCTGTCTTATTTCCGTTCTTCACTTAACTGTCTCATCAGAATTCACATTTTATTTCAGTCTGTCTCTCAGTCTCTCTCAGGATTATCCCTCGAAATATCTGCATAATGTCGTCCATCCTGTTCACTCAGGATTTGACATTTAATACTCGTTGCCCCTGACGCTGTTTGTTCCTTGGGTACATGTGCACTGATACTCTACTGAAGTTACAAAGCCTAAACACGTATTGTTAGTGGTGACAATAAATGGTGGCATATCTTTCATGTCTGTCCTTCACTGTCATCTTCTTTAAGAAATCTGTCTTTCTGAACTGAATGGTCTAGACGATCTTCCGTTGCAGCAGGTTTCCTAGACACCCCTCACCCTTTCCTGACAGAACCCAGCACACCTGGATTAGATAATTATGGTCCGTCTCTCCACTTCCCTCCCTCCCTCCCTCCCTCCCTTCCTCTCCTCTTCCTTTTCTCTCCATCTACTTCTCTCTTCTCCACTGCCCTCCAGAATGCAAGCTCCATGGGGAAGTGATCATTTACTGATTTCTGTGTGTGGATAACCTGGAATGGTTTTTCTGGATCAGTGAATGAATGATAGAATATGTCTCATAAAATGGTACAGGCAACAGGAGTTTATGTATTTAGAAGGAGAAATGGACTTGGGCAACTCTAGATACAAATGGCGTCCAACGTGTTGGCAAGAGTTTCCACCTAAAAACTGAGAAAAAAGATTCTAAAATGGAGCTAAAAACAGTTCCTAATTGTCTCTCTCAAATGAGCAGCAGCTGCCGGTTTGAGCTACTGGTGGGTTCCTAGCATGCGCACTCGACCTGCCGTGTGGCGGGAATGAGGCCTCTGCAAGAGGCACATTAAGCTGCGTGGTGGTTTTAGACTTTGCTAGTACAAAACAAAAAAAAGAGGTTTCTGGGCTACACGCTGCTTGGCTAAAAGCATAGATCCCCAATAGCTCCCAGAACTGGTGGTAAATCATGGCCATGATGGTAAGCTGAGGTGGGCGGAGCCAGCAGCTACAGCTGCTGCAGTTTAAAGCAATAGATTCACAATAAGACAGATTCAGATGTAATAGTTTATAACGTGTGTAAAATATACGTAAGCTTGAAAGAGAAAAAAAAAGGTGATATATACATTTATATAAACAAATACATAGTTTTAAAAAATAAGCCGGGCGGTGGTGGCGCACGCCTTTAATCCCAGCACTCGGGAGGCAGAGCCAGGCGGATCTCTGTGAGTTCGAGGCCAGCCTGGGCTACCACGTGAGTCCCAGGAAAGGCTCAAAGCTACACAGAGAAACCCTGTATCGAAAAACCAAAAAAAAAATAAAGTCTTTAAAGAGACAGTAAAATTAATATAAAAAATAAGCCACATAAAGATGAATATTACACAGAGAATCTGGATTGTGTTGTCTTTGGGATTCTTAACTGCAGAGAGATATTTGTAAAGAAAGCTGAGTTAAACCAATATGTATACTTTAAAGATATCTTGACTTCAAAATTTGCATGTAAGGATATGTTACTTTGGAAAGGAGGCTCTGCTTTTGTTCCCACAGAAAGCCAAAGGCTATGGATTTGTTCCAGATTAAGATACATCAGATTTGACCAGCCAAGACCCCCTGAAAGGTCTCCGATGACACCATGGCCCAGATGATCCAACATCCAGAACGATTTGAAGGCAACTGGCTCAGATGATACACCCTCATGGACTATTCCATAATCCTAAAATTTTCTTTGTGTCCACATTAGATACAGTGCCCCCCTCCAGCAGGAAGTAGTAAGAGAAGCTATGCCCAAATTCCCAAATTATATGTAATTTTACTTTGTTAAGGTTAAAACCTTCCTTTTTGAAAAAAAAAGGGGGGAAGTGCTGTGGGATGTTCTGTATGGCAAATGTGTTGCTGATTAGTCAATAAATAAAACACTGATTGGCCATTGGCTAGGCAGGAAGTGTAGGCAGGACAAGGAGGAGAATAAAGCTGGGAAGTGGAAGGCTGAGTCAGAGAGACACTGCTAGCCGCCATGATGAGAAACAGCATGTGAAGATGCCGGTAAGTCACGAGTCATGTGGCAAGGTACAGATTAATGGAAATGGATTAATTTAAGCTGTAAGAACAGTTAGTAAGAAGCCTGCCACGGCCATACAGTTTGTAACCAATATAAGTCTCTGTGTTTACTTGGTCGGGTTTGAGCGACTGTGGGACTGGCAGGTGAGAGAGATTTGTCCTGACTGTGGGCCAGGTAGGAAAACTCTAGCTACAGGAAGGGTCTTCAGATACTGGACTAGAGGTCCTCAGATGGTCACATTAAGGAAAGGCAGTGGGGAGAGTGGACACTTCAAGCTGAGGCAATGTGGGAAATGGAGTGGCATCTGCAGATCTCTGGTTACCAGACTATTGGAATAAGCATTTCTCATATTCAATCTAGTTTGGTAATCACCCTATGAAGTGGGCATTCCCAGTACCCTCATCCTGTAGATGTAGAAACTGACAACATATGCAGGATCGATAACTGGGCCAAGGTTATTAACCACAAGTGAAGATGCCAGTGACAGTCTCGGTAAAGAACTTGGTGTGAGTGGATGAGATAACATTTAATTAAGTACAATAAAATAATACTCCCAGTAACAATTAGGGAGGAGGAGAAATGAACCTTTGGGGCTTCTAAAGTCTTGCTTTTAATGACAAAATATTCTGTACCTAAAAATTAAGAGTAGATGTACTGTAGGTTTCTTCTGGTCATGGCCACCTTTTTTCCTGCCAGAGGTAACCACTCCTCTGAACTATTTATCAATCCTTTGTCCTCTCTTTTCAGTGGTGGGAATCGAACTCAGGGCCTTAAATATGCTCAGCATGTGTTCAACCACTGAACTTAGACCTCAGTTGATTATTCCTTTCCTGGTAATTGGTTTTTCTTTCATAACTTTTATTTAAAATTGTGTGTGTGTGTTTGTG